TTTTCAGAGCCGATTGCTTAATGCTTCGTTGCAGAGTGGAAATATGTCGCAAAGTTTGAACATCGAATCAAATATGAGAATTGAACAAAACGCATATCCTGCCCCCCATCTAGAGAAACATGATATCATGTCGTGAAGTTAAGGAGAAACACAATTCGCATAAAGGGGATAGAAAAGGGTAGTCATCATAATAACAGGGAGAGAAATGAGAACAGAGAATATTATCAGAAGGCGAACAACCATCACCAGCGGTTGAAGCCGCCTCCGTACATCATAGTGTGATTGTACCCACCTTGACCCTGACTCCCATAAAGCGCTTGCCCAGCAGCAGCATTCGCACCCACCTGGTGCATCCTCGCCTGCAGGATACTCGGGTCCGCAAGATCTACTACACCGCCTCCACCGGAGGAAGTGTTAGCGTGTCTGTGCTTCTTCCCCTTCTTCTTCTGCTTCTGTGGCCCAGACTCAGAGAAGTTCCCAGTCTGAGAGCCATAGAAAGAGCTGAGAAGGCCATTGGCAGGAGTCAGGGGAGGGGGAGTTTGGTGCTGTTGGAGGAAAGGAAACATGAACTCACGCTTAGCGGCATCCGGTGCCTGTAAACCACTAGCATTTGTGCCACTACGGCTCCGCAGAAGCTCGCGCATCAAATCGGGGTTGGCCTCCTGCTTCCCAATACTGCCAGCCAAACCCAGATTCGAATTTGTTGTAAAACCGTGACCTTGAGCGAACATTCCTCCTCCGCTAATTGGGGGCGTGCCGGCCGTCTTCAAGCCTGGAGGTGGGCCCTGAACGCCGCTGGTGTAGAAGCTGCTAGTAAGTCCATGTTGAGGACTGGGTGCAGCAAGTGGGTTTGGGGTCCCGGATTGCATCAAGGAAGTCTGCTGGCTTAGCATCCGTGCGTTGGGGAGGTTCTTCGATCCGGCATCGTTATTGAAGGAAAAGCGAGAGTTTTGGCGGTTCTGCGCCTGCAAAGCGTTGAGCTGTGCCATCTGGGTCTGCAAAAGGCCTTGGCGAACAGCAGCCTGATCCAAAGCGGCAGAGCCAAGTCCACTCTGCAATGGGTCCACAATGCCGGCCTGTTGGTTGCTAGCAGATTTGAGTAGCATCAGTTGCTGCTGTTGGAGAGGTGTCAAACTCCGGCCAGCCAGATTCAGTCCGTGGAACTGATGACTCGATGCAGAAACTGGGGAGCCGACCACCGAGTTCGTTGTAGTACCCTGCTGGGAAGGCGGCTGGATAGCACCATGTGATTCCCGCGAACCACGACCTCTCGCAGGGTGGGCATCATCCGGCTCGCCACCAAGCTGAAGGCTGCCGCTCTCCCTGGTTTCTTCTTCAACAGCTGCCGATTGAAGCAGCTCTTGCTCTCGCTTTGCACGCTCTTGCTCTGCTTTCTCCCGCATAGCCCGACGCTTTACGCCACCATAAGGATCAATGAATGAAGGGTGGTTCTCGATGAGAGCAACTTCATCTGCCGGCAGACCAGCCGCCGAAAAGACAAACTTGAAATCAGGAGAATTAACTGCCTTGATCAAATTCTCAAATAGAGGAACCTCCGGGTCAGCAACGGGCGGTTGAGGTTCAGAGGGAGAGCTAGGGGTGGTTGAAGACTGTGTCTCCGGCAGCGGGGTTTGGCGGCGTTCTTGAACAGGGGCGGGTTGCTTCTCGACACGCTTTGGTTCCTCTGCACTGGTCGCAACAGTAGCACTCGCGGGTCGTGGACTCTGAGATGCTTGACTAGCTGTAAGACTTGCCCGCCTTGTCCGGTTGATCACCGAGTCCTTATTCGCCCAACTTGCAGAGGAAGGAAGGGCGGACCCATCAGGAGGGCGGCTGCTGGCACCATCGTCTTTACTGGGCTGACGGCGCATCGGTTGCGATAGCGGCATTGCGGAAGAGCGGGCGACGTGAGGGGGTATCGTATGACTGGGTCCACTAGGCGCACCATTCGGACGTTGACTCGAAAGGGTGTTCATAGAAGAGAGGTCCTGCCGACTATAGCTTTCGCTATCCTCACCCGTCTCGTGTAGGAAGGTGCAATTTCTATTATGGCACTGCTCGTTGCGCAAGAAGGAGGAGCAATACTTCGTTGTACCGTATTGAGCCCTAGTCAAGTTAATAATCTAGTTGTGTTGCAAGCACGTAGTGAAGAAGCGGCGTACCTTAAGACACGATCGCCGTTTACAGATCCATCCACTGAAGAGATACAAGTTGCGGCATCCGACTTCCTCGAGTAGGTAACGTAGACGCCGATGCCTTGGTTGGGGTTGCCACCGGGCTTTGCTTTGCTGACGACGATCTTTTCGATCTCTCCATATTGGCCGAAATAATCCCGTCCGCGAAGCGTCTGGAGGAGCTGGCTTTCGTCGCGTATGGTGGGGTTGAGGCCAATGACATAGACCAGATTCTTCTGAACGACTCTCACACCAGCCAAGTTCTTCCGGCTCGAAGCTTCGATCTCGCGCTTTTCTGCCTCCTTCTTCTTCGCAGCGGCAGCCTTTCGATGCTTTAATGCCAAGTCCGCTTTAAATCTAGTTTGCGGGATCCGCAGTTAGCGCCAAGAACCGCCGAAAAAGCAACGTCTCAAATCGCAAGGGACTTGGACTTACTCGTCTGCATCAGGAACCTTATACTGTATAGTGCTCTCATCGTAAACCCGTCTGCAGTTGGGGCAGCGGCCTTCTTCACTGTGGGTTTTGATGTTGTTGTAACAGAATTGGCAAATCTGGTCATTTTCATGTCAGTGCCTTGCTAAGTCGCATACGGGGGGTCGCGAATGTCGTTTGCTGACAACCGTAGTCAGAATGACGATAGAGCGAGGGGTAACGTACCTGATATCCACAAGGACACGGCTTAAAGTTCTTGTCGGACAGGTCGAATTCCTCAATGCACAGGGGGCTACAGAAGATCGTCATTGTCAGCCCAACCATATTCATATTCCAGCCCAACAACGCAGCACGTACCAGAACTCGTCGTCGTCATCAATGACGGAGTCGATCTGTTGGCGATTTGACATGGCTGCCGAATGTGTGTGTGTGTGTGGAAAGGTACAATCTAGAAAGACGATAGTCGGATTAAAAGACCAGTACACATCAACCAACCCGGGGCGGAAGGAGGAAGAATAGAAAAGAAAAACGTATTAAGGTAGAGTGAGAAACCCTCGCGGCAAGAGAAGAAGAAAAGAGGAGGAAGGATTGAGGGAATCTAAAGAGAGATCGACAACGTGGGGAGAGTAACAGAAGCGGACCAGAACAGGGAGAAGAGGAGAGACTTGGAGGCGAAAGAGAAAGAGAAGTGAAGCTTTGGTTGGGTTTGCACCCGTTTGCTTCGTTTGCAGCCCGCCGGAAAGAATGCGTGGCTTATGTCAGCGGACACGTGATGCCTCACGTCCAACTTCGAGGAAAAGCTCCCTGGGAGTGGATGACGAGCATCTCCGCTGTCTCCCCTCCACCTCCCCGTTGCCTCTCACCCGCAATTGCCATCCACAATGGCCTCTGCTCGCTCCCTGATGCGGTTGGGCACCGGCCGCTCGCTGGCTTCGGCCGCGCGGTCGTCCCGCATGTGCCGTCCTTTCTCGACGACCCCTCTGCTGAAGGAGTCGATCCCCGAGCCTCCCAACATGCGCCAGGCTCAGCGTCCTCGTACGTGTGGCTTCGGACGATAGCCTTACGTTGGCACCAATTGCAATTGACTGACTCTCTACAGCTGAGGGCGCCCTTCGCGCTCCCGTCGTCAACCCTGCCGACAAGTACCAGGACAAGGCCGATGCTCTGCACCAGTACGGCCAGTACATCATGTCCTGTCTGCCCAAATACGTCCAGCAGTTCACCGTATGGAAGGACGAACTGGTCGTTTACGTCCCCCCCTCCGGTGTTATCCCATTGATGAGCTTCCTCAAGTACCACACCGCCGCCGAATTCACCCAGATCTCTGATATCACGGCCGTCGACTTCCCCACGAAGGACCAGCGTTTTGAGGTCGTTTACAACATGCTGAGCGTTCGTCACAACTCCCGTATCCGTGTGAAGACCTACGCCGATGAGGCCACCCCGGTTCCCAGTGTCACTGGTCTGTTCGAGGGAGCTCTCTGGTACGAGCGTGAAGTGTACGATATGTTCGGTGTCTTCTTCACCGGCCACCCCGATCTGCGCCGTATCATGACCGACTACGGTTTCGACGGCCATCCTCTGCGCAAGGATTTCCCCTTGACCGGATACACCGAACTCCGATGGGACGAAGAAAAGAAGCGCATTGTCATTGAGCCTCTTGAGCTTACGCAGGCATTCCGGAACTTCGAGGGTGGCACTGCCGCCTGGGAGCCTGTTGGACCGGGCGAGGACAGAACCCCCGCGTCGGTATGTTGGCTAAAACTCGCAATTGACATACATTTGCTAACTAAATGGACTAGTTCAAGCTTCCTACCCCGAAGCCCGAGGAGAAGCCGGAGGAAAAGAAATAGAGCAGTGTATTCGTATTTCCTTTCCTGTTTGTATGTACATACGTCTACGAGTGAATTCAGTGCAATTGTTTGGCCACAATCCTCTCAAGTAAAAGAGAAAAGAGACAGCAAGAAGTTATCATTCACCATTGAAAGCCCGAATATAAAATCCACTGCAATTAACCCTTACAAAACGAAAATAGTTTAATGAATAGCTCCAGGTGCCTCGTCCAATCATTACATCCCGATTTATAAGATATAAATAAAGGCAGATAAGGCCACTAGTGAGAAAATCCTGGTTAAAAAAATACTAGAGGAAAGCAACGGCACAAGCAAAATCCACTTCTTGGCACGGGCATAAATCCGCATCATAAAAAAAGAAAAAAAGAATATTCTAAGACCCCCCCATCAACCACCACCACTCAAACCGAAACAACCACAACACCAACCAACAGTATCCCAACTCCTTATCCCCTTATCCGCAAATATCCCGATACCTCGCAAAACTAAGCAGAGAAAAAAAAGAAGAAAAGAAACAAAAAAGCAATACCAAACAAGCAAAATGCCCAAACGCAAACTCTCCGACGTGGACTCCGGTCCCAAGCGCACATACAACGTGCAAACCATGCGCCTGACGCAAAAGTTTGAGCAGGGCGTCGTCCTCCTATCGCGAGCGCTGAAGGTCGCCAAGGGCTTTGAGAGGCAGAAATTATCGAGGAGAGAGAAAACCGCCAAGTCGCAGGGTAGCTCCGAGGCGTTGCAGAAAATCGCTGAGGAGATTGATTTTATCAAGGTTTGTATTGTCTAGTTCTACTTTTCTTTTCTTTTCTATCTATTTCTTTTATATCTTGGGTGTGATGCGCGGTATACTGCTCAGTTGGGGTTGATCGCATGCTAACTGCAACTGGTGTGGTAGAGTCTTGATCCAACCGCTACGGCGCAAAAGTATCTTTTCAAACAGCTGTTCAAGACGAAACGGATTTCCGAGGCGCCTGCTTTTATCCAGTTTAAAGAGTCGAAGAATATCTCTGCGGAGGGGCCGCGGAGTACGGCTGAGGCGAATGTTACTGCGCGATTATATAAGTCCAATCCGGTGAAGAATGCGTTTCCGAATATCATGACCGATATTAAGAAGCTACTAGGGGTGGAGGACGTGGCTGGCGGCAAGAAGGAGAAGGGCAAGGAGGCTGGGTCAAAAGAAAGTGCGCCGAAGACGAAGACGGAACAGCGGGCTGTATCCGTATCGGATAGCGAGCCGGAGGATCCTAGAATAGCTGCGGCAGTTGCGAAATTCGATGAGGAAAGTGAGGAAGATGAGGAAGTTGAGGCAGCAGATGAAGTCATGAGCGATGCAGAGAGTATGGACTTTGCGCAATTCGACTCGAGGCTTGCGCCGGGTTCGGAGGATGAGGATGAGGAAGGTGCAGATGGTGCAGCGACTGATGATGGCTCCGACGGAGGCGTCAATCTAAAAGCACCGTCTGACATGTCTATCTCCCGGTCTCCATCACCGGACTCGCCGCCGGCTAAGAAGGCCAAGAGCAGCAAGGCATCAAGTGCCCCGGCTACCAACACAACCTTCCTGCCTTCCCTAACCATGGGTGGATACTTTTCCGGGTCGGAGTCTGAACCAGAAGACATCGAGGGACAACAACCACGCCGGAAGAATCGAATGGGTCAGCAGGCGCGTCGTGCCCTGTGGGAAAAGAAGTACGGCAGTGGAGCAAACCACGTAAAGCAGCAACAGAACCAGCAAAAGAGGAGTCGGGATAATGGCTGGGATATGCGCCGGGGTGCAATGGATGGCTCGGAAGGCCCGAGAGGAAGGCGAGGCCAGGGACGAGGTGGGCGGCCTCAGTATGGTGGAGACCGTCCTCAGCGTGGTCCTCCCGTACAGAGGAAAAAGCCCGAGGATGACAAGCCCCTGCATCCTTCCTGGGAGGCAGCCAAGCGGGCTAAGGAGCAAAAGGCTACGGCTGCATTCCAGGGTAAGAAGGTCACTTTTGATTAAACATATACCCGCCTAGATGCCTTGCGTGTCTAGTTTCAATACATTTCAAGCGTTTGATGATTGTGCTTCAATGAACAAAGCATTCGCCATATACTATCTAGGTATCTTGTATGAACTGTAGAGCGCCGACTACTATCAACTGAAAATATTCAACGATTGCATCGCATGTAAAATGACATCGCCACGCTTAATAAGACGAATAACACAACTGAGTACTCATCGTGAAAAAAATATATAATATGTACCCAGGGCAATAAGTTAAATTTAATCAATCAGTGGTAAATTGCATCCACTTGGTATCCGGGTTGTTGATGTCGCTAGAGAGGTTTTGCTGTGCATCAGGTTCAAAGCAGGGGATAGCGGTAAATTCGTCCAGTTCTTGCGGGAAGTTGGACACAAAATGATCGAAACCAAAACGAGGCATTGGGGGTAACGAAGCTGCATGAGAGGCGGAATAGTCCGATAATGTGGTAATTTCTGTATGTGCGACGTCGCCTTCCATGGGGTCGTTGCCACCGGAAGTGCCGGTCATTGGAGTAACAGGGACAGGTGGAATGCTGCTCCTTCCAGCCGGATATTGCTCTTGGAAAGGAACAAGCTCGGGGGACATTGGCCCGGTTTTCCAGAGCATCTCCCAATTCTTGAAGCGATCATATGCTGATTCCATGGAGCCGGTATTGTCCGGTGCCTGTCTTTCGCTCCAATCTTCGAGACGGCTAATGGCTCTCTCGAGAGTCTCAATCACACTAACAGCAGAGCGTGCAGATCCCACGCCCATTGACATGATCTTGATTAAGACCATGCCTTTTTCAAGTGCTTCGCGTAGCCGCTCGGTTCGCTTCGTCAAACTCTGTGCGAGGATAACAAGAAGAGCAGCACGGCAAGAGCTGAATTCGGTGAACGATGCCCGAGCAAGACCGGACTCATCTCGGAGTAGCTGGCAGAGATTAATGATTTCGAGGGCAGCTTCTACACAATCGGTGATGAGTGTCGACCTGTTCTTTGAAACGCCCGATGGTGTTTTGAACGGTTGGGCTTGAGGCGTGGTTGCATTGAGGATCTTCATGTTGCTGAATAGGAATGGGCGCCCAAGGAAAATGCGAGTCAGGCAGTAATCCAGTTTCAAGTGAACATTAGAGCGGAATAGTGGTCCTGAGGGGTTCAAATCTCGACAGTTGGTCTCTTCTGGCAGTGTAGCCCACCAATCAACGAGGTTCTTCCGTAAATTGAGTAGTCGTTCAAGGCAATCCTGCTGTTGGCCCCTGCGAGATTTTCGCAAGGCAGATCTTTTTTATGGCGTCAGCGAAGGTCTAAAGTAGAAAAGAGGAAGTCAATACGCACATCTCATTGGCAACTTCTCCAAGTTTAAGAGTTAGGGTGATCAAAGTCACCATGTTAGTATGATTTGAGACCTGCCCTGTTAGGTTCAGGCCCGGAAAATCAACCGGCATAGCGGCATCCACATCTGAATCTGACAAAGATACGGGTCGGCCGTGAAGAATACTGACACGTCTAGAACAGAGTAAGCATAGAGCTCAGAGTACAAGGCAGGGGATTGCTCACTTCTCAATGGTGTAAGCTGTCCAGAAAACCCGATTGCGGACTTCGATCATCCGAGGCGAGAGCCCTTCACCCTGGTACCTCCGGTGCATGCCATTCTGGATAGCCATTTTAAGGGCTAGGCCGAAGTAAGTATAACAAAGGCCCGAGGTGTCGAGGGGTAACAAATAAGTTCCGATCAATAAGCAAGCTTGTACGCTCCGGATGGAGACTGTTGCAAGGATATCAGGAACCAGTTTCGAAGCGAACTGATAAAAAGTCAGGCCAACTTCATCTTCCGAAAAGTGATGGTCTTCCATCGACGATAGGTCAACCGGCGGCCGATTGACGGGAATGGCCGATTCCATATGAGCAAACTGTGTCCCAACGGCTAGGACCATAAGTATCGAGCATACGGAGCCAGCATCATTGGATGAGAGGCTCGATGGGTTAGTATAACAAATGTTCAGTTTCTCTCGTATCCAATCTTCTTCCACATAGAAGTTATTGGTCTGCGCGTATTTGAAGAATATTTGAACGAGAAAGTCGGCTACGAAACGTGGTGGTAGGCACGTCACCGATGCCGATACTAAGGAGGAACCCGATTGGAGCTGCGTCGCACGCCATCGCTCTTCAAATGGGTCTGTTTCGGTAGACGCCTTCTAGGATTAGCAGGCAGTATGGCCAGCGAAAGAGCGGTGGCTTTACCTCTGGTGCTGCTGTCTTCATCCATTCATCGATCTTCTGTCGGATTTTCAAGGACAAGTTCAGATAGGAAAACTCTCCGGAATATTCTGCAGTCGCTCGAATTAGAAGATGAACTAGTACACGAAGCTGTGTCTAACAACCAAGAATGCAAGTTCGGGCGATGGCACGCACGTGTTGTATTATCCGGTAAAGCCTTCACCATATAATCCTCATCGTCGATGGCCAAGTCCTCAAAATCCTCCTCGTCAAGGCGAACCGAAGGGCTTGCATCTGTGAAAGAATGGCGATGTCTATGTTTCAGCTCCTCGGCCGTTTTACGGAGGGACTGAATATCAAAAGAGATGTTCGGAACATAATGCTGAAGGATCCGTTCCATGTACCGAATTCGTTCCGTATCCACCAGATTCTGTCGACTGAGACCGGCATTCCGTTCCAGGAGACTATATAGACGATGTAATATAAGTATTTCGAAGCTAAGACGCCAAGAAAAAGGTGTAGGGGTCGTACGAGATCGACGAAGACCGAGCGACCTTCTCCGCATGGTCGGGGTGTGTGAATACGCATTGGCGGCGATAACGCAAACATCTGCGACAAGGTACTCCTCCTTCACATTTTTCCTTCACCCGGCGACATCCATCGCAGCTGGAAATCAGGATTGACAGGTTAGTATATCTAGGTATTCCCCGACAATTACTGGAATTAGAAGCCACGTGCGACAGCTACTTACGCTCGAACGGCTCGTTTGCGATTTTCTTCGGAGACGCGGGGTCGTTTCTGCTGACCGAGTCCAGCTGGTGTCGGTAGACCACTGTCCATGGTAAAATGTAGGGCAAGAGGTCAAGGGGGCCAGAATAAACGAGGGAGCATGGTAAGGATATACCAATAATAATAAGAGAGAGTCGGGGGGAGGGAAGCTTAGGGTGCAGTGGCTGCCGGCACTATAGTCACTGGGGGGGGAAAGAAGGAGAAAAAGTACCCAAGCGTACGGTTAGTTTACTGACATAATTTTCCCTGATTGGGAGTTAGATTGAAATTTCCACTCTGATAAGCACGCGGGTACAATTACCCAGTCATTACAGCGCCCCGCATGAGAAGATAACCGAATCTGGGGACTGGTATTGTATCCAATACCAAGCCTAGTATTGAAATAAACCATTGTACGGAGTCCAGAGTATATATTTCCGTCTCTCTTATCTACTATATGCAACTGGATGCACTCGGACACTAACTCTATACAACGGAGCTGCGTCTTGACTCTTTACTACAATTGAATCCATTCCAGACACACCATCACTCACGTTGTCTTCTGAATGACTCCATCTAGAAACCATCGACCTCCATCCCCAGTCCCTGTTCTTTTCCAAGGTCCAGGAGCGTCTTTCCGATAGTGAGATCCATAATTCCCATGCCCACGCATTTGAACACCACATTCTGCGTGCCCGAGACTGGGATCGGCTCGGATTTTCCGAGCTTCCCGTACAATTCTCCAATCTCAATCAACTGGTCTTCTTTTACGTGCGCATCGATCAGCTCCCCCGACTCTTCCAGGCATGCCTCCTTCGAGTCGACGTAGATTTGATTCCCGCCCGAAAAGAGAGTTTCCGTATCAATCTCTTTCATATGAGGCTTGTACGAGCCAATGAGAGAGATAAATCGCTGCTTAAATGGCTGGAGGTAGGAATGGGGGAAGTTAGGCTCCGTAGAAGGCGTACAACTAAAGATAACGTCGCACGCTGCTAATGCAGCCTGCAGTTGTTTCTGGTAGTCAGGTGTATCCTCTTTTGCGAGGGTTGTAAATGTAACACCAGGGTGAGCGGCTTGCAGCCCCGCAATGATATCCTTCATCTCGTCCAGCCTTTTACGACCCCGGTTGATAAGCGTAATGCTGCGGACTTGATCCGGGACTAGGAGAAGTGCAAGCCGTGCGTGCCACTCGGCCTGTTTTCCAGAGCCAAAGATCACTATGTTCTCCTTCTTCAGAGAACTGCAACGCACAAACAGTGTCATAACCGCAAGTGCAGTGCGGAAGGCAGTCACTTCGGTTGCGCTAAGCAAACCTAGCAATTTGCCCTCGGGTGAGAAGATGTTGATGACTGCTGTAAGGCCCTGTGCCTGGGAAAGCGTTACGATCTTGATTCCTGTGTTCGCAGTGTTTGAAACTGGCATGAAAAGCGACATGTTTTGGTCTTTGGTCATAATCGATGAACGGAGCGGTTGGTGGATGAGTCGCTCCGACTCAGGAGTTGTCGCCTGAGACGACACTTCCACTAGGGACTCAGAGAGAGCATCAAGAAGTGTATAACATTGTTCCCGACTCAGCTCTCTAAAAAATCGAGTAACGGCTGGCTCTGGCAAAAGATACATTGTCAAGGTATGTACGCTGTATCGGCTTGCTCAGTCTTTGTACGGTGTTCGATCAGACCAGGGATATATCGCCCCAGGTGCCTGCACTATTATGAAGCCAACGAAACTGCAAGATTCACGCCAAATCAAGTAAGATGAGTGGTTTCCAAGTGGGTTGATGGAAGCGCGGGGTTTTATTTATCAGGACGATGAATTCCGCCGGGAAAATCAACCAGGCGGGGTGCTTAATTTCCCGGCGGAATTGACTTATGAAATTACACATGTTCGTAAAGTAGGTACGATATAAGAATCACGGGACAACAGCTGTGTCTAACTTCATTATCATTCATTAAGTTCGCCAAACCAGAATCGCTAACGCCATCTATATGCAATTCGCCCAACAACAGAGCGTGAGGGAATCAATCAAAATGCCAACGACATGCGAACTTGGGGATCACGCCAAAAAAAAAAGAGCAAAGAAAAGAAAGCTAAGAGTGAAGGAAGAAAGATGAGGATAATCAGTTGCTGCGGCGGAATGCCAGGCGTGCCCGGCGCTTGAGCTCCTCAAACATCGCCTCCTGGGATTGCTTGGTGCGGCCAACAGCCTCGGTGTTCTCAATAGCGCGTCTCATCAGGAAGCCCATGCACTCCTTAACGGATCCCCAGGTCAAAAGCTTGAAGACATTAGGAGACTCCATAGAGGCACCCTTCATCACCTCAGCACTCTGGAAGCCTTGCAGAAGTTCACAGCTGACCTCGTCAGCCATTCCCTGGAGTTGAGCATAGGACAGATCAACACCGTGGTTTTCTCCCTTCATCGCCTGCTCAGTACGAAGAGCATGTGCCTTGCGAACGGAGTCACGGTTGTGGGTGGCGATGATGACGTTAACAGATGGCAGGTCAGTCTGGTGCTTCTCAGATGCAGACTTGAGCATCGAGTTGTACTTCCGGGTCAACAGGGCTTCCACAACACCGTCGTAGCACTTGTCTGTGTCCTCCTTGGTGGACCAGATCAAGTGACGAGGCTCGGTCTTAAGATACGCGCCACGGACCAGCTTGACACCAAGAGTGTAACCTTCCTGGCGAGAGATTTCAAGGTGCTTGGCAAGAGTGGTCGGAGTGGAGCAGAGATAAGCCTGGTAAGTGTTGTAGAAGATGGCGTGGCCAGGAGTCTGAGAGTTGCAGTATTTCTGATACTTCATGGTCCATTCCTCAATACCGGGCTGGACGGCCTGCTCCTCCGCATCCACGAGCAGGCGTACGTTGCGCGAGATAGCCAAATCGCAGACCTTCTGGATTGCACGGTCCATGAATTCGGTTGGTGCAGCCTGACGCTGCAGGACATCGAGCGCCTGAACACCCATACCGGTGAATCTAGACCAGTTAGCTTACGTTCAGATCCAAGACGAAGAATTGAGACCAAGAACATACTTCAGAGCCACGAAGTCTCCTTCCTGCGCCATATCAACGGTCTGCAGGGTTCCATCCAGCCACATCTGGATTTCCTCACGTGCCGCTTGCTCATCCTTCGGGTCCACGTTGCTCTCTCCAACTAAGACTTCCTTGGCGTATCCGAGAAGCACACCTCTGTATCCAAGACGCTTAATGTCTTCAATGGACCGCTGGACTTCGAGCTTGTTTTCGCCAGCGTTGAACTGCTTATAGATGGTATGCTTCACGAGCATGTTCAACAGGGGGTTCTTGGCCACATCCAGAACAGCAGTCTTGGGATGCGCCAGCATCGACAGTGTCTTGATGCATGGCTTCAGGAGAAGTGAAGAAGATGAGACGGACAGGATCACGAGAGAGCGCAGAACCGACGAGATGGGAAGCTTTGCCAGAGGGGAAGACTCTTGCTTGGGAGCCTGAGGATCTTGCTGCCACACATTGTTCGTTGTGGTTGTTGAAGTCGCCACCGATGACTTAGGGTTGCTGGTGCGGCTGACGTATCTGGGGGTCAGAACGGAGGAGGGGGTGCCAGCGAGAGGGCGCAAAGGACGACGGGCTGCTTTCATTGTGGTGGTAGGTGGTAGAGCTGGCTGTCTATTGTTGAGGTATGGGGGTGGACAAGTCAAGCAGGCAGGATGATGGTTAAGTAGGGAATAAAAGTACGGAAATATGAATAAGTACTTCCGGAGGAATCCACCGTAAATGAGGGGGAAAATTTAGACCGGTAGCTTTCCATGACATTTTTTTGACCAGAGTAAAAAGTCATGATTAGAGATAGACGGGTAAAGGGGTTAGCCGGTGAAAACCGCAATGGCAGCCGGTCTGAAGAACAAAAAGATTGTTGGTTGGTAATGACTAAAGAATACCTGGCGTGTGACGTCCGCGTGGTGGCGCTGATCGTGGGCATTACACTCCAATACCGTCACGGGAATGTTTTTCTTTCGCCCTGATCTACCCACCGCATCTACTGAAGTGGTTAGTATGAGATCGACTAAGATCGACGACTACTGTACGGGGTATGTTCTAATAGTAGTTATAGTGCCCTTACTCAGGTTTTCCGGGAGTACATTCCACTTGGAGTCAGAGTCAATTTACGTTCTTGAGACCTGTAAGGTTAACATATTCTGACGTTGTCGAACAGAACAGCTTATCTTCTACTTGTCTGACCTTGATGGTAAAATTTACAGAATACAGGGTCATACTGTGTTATCAAGAATTTTCCATAGGTTCTTGATAAGAACAACCGTGCCGAAGGTGAACCGTCTGAATGGGGGCGAATTACCTTTAAGATCACCGACCGGTTCACGGGCCGGGAAAAAGTCCCCACCGGAGGATAAGCTGCTTGACCGGGCCGGTGAACTGACCACTCACAGTTGCTGCCGACCCTTGCCGGTAAGCTAGTCCGACGCCAACCGGTTTATCTGTTACCTAAGATCGTGGCCCTGCAGTTCAACCGCTTGGAGGTTACCTGTACTAGTACCAATCAAGTCTAGTAGCGCTTCTAGCAGTTGACACTTGGACCACCTCGAATAAGATAAGCTGGGATATCATACAACGCGGTTCCAATCATAGACTTCAATGAGCCTCAAGCTTTTTAGGCCAATCCCACTAAATGGCAGGGGCTGTGTGGTGCGGACACTGCGAGCCTCTATCCTGGAGTATGAACTATATGTTGTTGGCCATATGATCTTCAAAACTTTCAGATCTTCTCGATAAATCAGTAGTAGAAGTGAATTGAGCATCTAGTATGATAGGCGCACACAACCAATGACGATAACTAAATTGATATTTGGCAGTTCTAATCTCCAGGTGCTCTTAACGTCGGTATCGTTCTGGCAGCGGATAAACCGTAAACCTGGGGTAGTAAAGTTATCAGATACCCCACAAAGGTTACTTAGTCGCCTGGAAAATGTCCCTGCACCATTCGCAGAGACCTTCTGGAAGGTTCAATCCACTTTCCAGATGTAATATGGTACAATGTAAAAAGTGATTGGTGATAACGATTGGGTCACCAGGGGGATAGTTACGCTATCCAGATGCCTTATCACTTTTACTATCGGTATAGTTGGAATATCACGAGGAACCTCGGCCTATAGACCTGGTTGAAGCAGTAAATAGCGTGTGTTTGTGTGTTTGTTCGTCTGTATTCGTATATTGTCCGATCTGAGTCAAGTGATCGATAAGCTCTGCATCAATGGGCAGACCTGTGATAGGTTCTTTACCTTCTGATCTTGCATGAGCGGCTCCTAGGACAATGTGTTTATCTTCTGGGGACTACTAGTAGATACTAGATTCCACTATACAGCTTACACTCGTTACACTGCCACGTGGCATACATGTAGACGTACTCTGCAGCTGATGAAAGCAGATCTATGAGTGTTACGTTGCTTTTCCTTACTGTCATCATCACTCTCGTGACCTCGTCTTTGTCTAGATTTTGTTTTATTTCAGTTGCTGCTTTCATTTATTTTTACATACATAGCTTTCTTCTGCAATTTCATACTAGGTAATGGATTGGAAAATCTGCCCAGGAATGCTGCGTTGGCATGATGTACTCGTGCCCAGACATTCTTCAATGGATTTGAACCAACACGTCACAAGTGATGGCGGTGGTGTTGGTTGGACAGTGAATTCCATCATAGGTTTTATTGTTAATCTTGCTGAATTCTTCAAATTTCTATCCTGCGTGAATTGACTTCATAATTAGTCTTGACTGACAAGTTGTAACAGTGTTCTTCGACGTACTGTACATGATACAAGGGTCTAGTGCTCACGTGGCAGTGGAACTATTCAACTACGTCATATACAAGCCAAAAATGCGGGGAAGAAAAAAAAAGATGAGATGGAAAGGCAACGCCGTCAATGCCGAAGATACAATGGTAGCTGGAACTCTTTTGGCATACCGATACTAATAGCAATAAGTTATCATAATAAAATTGTCATATCAGCAATCGGCAAAGTAGAAACAATACCCCAAATGTATGGAGTAATATGTACATTTTGCCCATCCTACATAAGAGAAATGCAATGCCGGCCCGGTCGGTTTCGTCCCACCCGGAATGTGTACCGGACCGTATCAGTACTCGCGGGAATGCTGGAGGATGCGCAACCTTCCCGTGTACCGGTACGGACAATATTGTATTCAGCAGAGAAAAAATTAATTGTAATTAAATTCTAATAAAAAAGAGGGAAAGAAAAAGAAAAGCCGGTTAAAAGAGCTGACTAACACCGCTACTAAATCCGAGAGCTTCCCCGCAGTACTTTTCTCCTCTTCTCCTTCTCCTCAGCTTTCATTCTCTACGCTTTTGCTTCGAGCTCATCAATCCTCTATACTAGGACGGGAGATTGATTAGAAGAGAACCATCACAATGCAGTCCTCATTGCTTCTTCGTGCTAGGGGCCTTCCATTGGCCAAGTCCTCCTTCGCCCGCTCCAGCATTCGGGCGATGGGATCCTACGCCACCTTCAAGGTCCCCCGTATTGACAACGAACCCAACGTGAGCTTCGACTTTGTATCCTTAGAATTGCTTCTCTTGCGATATTAACCTCAAAGCAGAAACACTATGCCCCTGGTTCTCCCGATCGCAAGGGTCTCGAGGAAGCCCTGGCGAAGCACCAGCAAAATGCTCCCTTCAACGTTCCCTTGGTGATTGCTGGCAAGGAGGTTAGTTATGCACTTGGAATGTATTTCACAGAATCAGCGTTAACAGACATCACAGATCAAGAGTGCCGAAACCTTCACACAAGCCAGTCCCGCTACTCACGCTCCTTTGGCCACATACTCTCATGCCACCGCCTCGGATGTCCAGGCCGCCATCGACGCCGCTCTTAAGGCCCGTGAGTCTTGGGCTTCCACTTCGTTTGCCGAACGTGCCAGCATCTTCCTCAAGGCGGCCGACTTGATTGCCACCAAGTACCGCTACGATATCATGGCCTTGACCATGCACGGTCAGGGCAAGAACGCCTGGCAGGCGGAAATCGACTCCGCCGCCGAACTGTGCGACTTCTTCCGTTTCGGTGTCAAGTACGCCGAGGACCTCTACGCTCAGCAGCCCGTTCACAACGCGCCTGGCGTTTGGAAGTGAGTTTCTTATCTGCAGGGTTTTCTTTACAGCGACTAACAGGAACTAGCCGCGTCGAGTACCGTGCCCTGGAGGGATTCGTCTATGCTATTAGTCCTTTCAACTTCACTGCTATTGGTGGCAACCTGGCTGGTGCCCCTGCTCTGATGGGTAACGTCGTCGTCTGGAAGCCTTCTCCTTCCGCCATTGCGTCCAACTGGCTCGTCCACGAGATCCTCCTGGAGGCTGGTCTCCCTAAGAATGTCATTCAGTTTGTCCCTGGTGACGCTGAGGAGGTTACCAACACTGTCCTCAACCACCCCGAGTTCGCTGCTCTTCACTTCACTGGCAGCACCAGCGTGTTCCGTAGCCTCTACGGCCAGATCGCTAACCGCGTTGCTGAGGGCAAGTACCGCAGCTACCCTCGCATTGTCGGTGAAACCGGCGGAAAGAACTTCCATCTCATTCACAAGTCGGCCGACATCCGTAATGCCGCCGTCCAGACCGTCCGTGGAGCCTTCGAGTTCCAGGGACAGAAGTGCAGTGCTACTTCCCGCGCATATGTCGCCGCTTCCGTCGCCGACGAGTTCCTCGAGCAGGTTGCCTCTGAGACCAAGAAGCTCAAGGTCGGCGAGCCGACCGATTTCACCAACTTCTGCGGTCCTGTCATCCACGAGGCTTCTTTCAACAAGCTCTCGAAGGTGATCGATGAGGCCAAGAATGACCCTGAGCTCGAGCTCCTGGCCGGTGGCAGCTACGACTCCTCCAAGGGCTGGTACATTCAGCCTACCGTCTACCGCACTTCCAACCCCGATCACCCTCTTCTGTCCCGTGAGCTTTTCGGCCCTGTCCTTGTCATCCACGCCTACAACGACGCCACGGAGGCCGACTTCACCAAGATCTGCGAGAAGATCGACCAGACCGGCGAGTACGGTCTGACCGGAGCTGTGTTCGCGCAGGACCGCGAGGCTCTCCGCCAAGCCGACGACGCTCTCCGCAACACTGCCGGTAACTTCTACATCAACTGCAAGAGCACCGGCGCCGTTGTCGGACAGCAGCCTTTCGGTGGTGCCCGCGCCAGTGGCACCAACGACAAGGCGGGCAGTGGCAACCTGCTCTCTCGTTTCGTCAGCTTGCGTTCCATGAAGGAGGAGTTCGTCCCCACCTACAACGTTGCCTACCCTAGCAACGCATAAATTGTGTCATGAAGGTCATTTTTGGTTAATGTATTCCCCGATCTGTATCTGGTTTGTTAATTTGGTGGGATTGTCTATTTCTGCATAGTATTTTGGCGTTCATATGACATCTTTCCGCGCGACAAAAGTTCGCTGGGCATTGTACGAAGGTATATACCACATCAGTCAATGAATTTCATCGGGTTCATCCCATGCACAAGCTCTCTGTCTCCAAATCTATAGATCTACGCCGCGGACCTTTTCAAAAACCCCCGCACACTCTCCATAGCACTTCGCGCATACTCCCCCATCTCATATTCCTGCCCTTCCCCATCAGCCCCTCCATCAAAAATCTCCATGGAGAACCAGCCCCGGAACCCCGTCCTCAGCACCGCTCTTCCGACCTTCTCAATGGGCAAATACCCCCCACCATACGGCCTGGGCCGATAGTCATGGCTCCACCGCGCCCTCGGCCAAGCCCCATTGACCATCTTCGCCTCGATCGGCCGCACAGGCTTATACGCATCCGACACCTGCAACAGATCAATCTTGTCCGCTGGAACCGTGCTTGCCAACTCCTCCATACTCTTCTCGAACCGTCGATTCAATTCCTCCATGGACAAATCCTCAATTCGCCCGGTGGATGTCGTGGGATCGCCCCATTCAGACCCAGCTGTTTGGAACGTATCAAGACAGAGCCCGATATTCGGTCTATCGACTTGACGAACGATCGTCCAGACGTCTTTCCACGTGGGCGCATGTGTAGACCAGCACCAGTTCTCATACGCAAGACGCATATTATGCGTTGCAAGGAGATCGCAGAGCTCGCGGAGATCGTTGATGATGGTTTCTTGGGTTGCGGCGAGTTTGTCGAGGGGTGTATCTGTTGAGCCGACCTTATAGCACCCCATTAGTATTTTCACACATACACTATCACTCTCTCCCCCCCCAACTTAATTCATATCAAATAGATGTATGGAAAGAGGGAAAATACCTGTAGTAAATCCGTCCCCACCGCCCTCATAACTTCAATCCACCCTTTCGCTCTCGTAAACGCATCCGCCCTCTCCCTCGACCCCCGCGGCCAGCCCTCGAAGTTCGCGAACGGTTGCAACATCATCACCTCCAGGTTCTTGGCCTCGCATTGCTTGCGGATATCTTTTGCGACGGTGACGAGCTCGGGGTAATTGTCTTCTGCGACTTCGTGACCGAGGACTGCTGGGGCGTAGGCGAGGATGTCCGGGAAGGCAAGCTCGATTCCGGTGAAGCCGGCTTGGTGGAGGGCTTCGAGTTTGCGGGGAAGAGTGTCGGACTTAGATGTGCCTATTGAGCAGGTGGCGTAGGAGAGGGGGATTTTCTTTATATCGGTGGGCATTTTGGGGATTGTTTCTTTTACGGGGGATTGTGGTGATGTGTGTTGGTTTGGTGCGTGGTTGGGTGGATTGTTGGGGTTGCTGGGGGTATGGCGCTGAAATCATGTTTAGGGTCTAGCAGTGGTATCTGTAGTCTAATCCGCGGTATAGTAGCTAAATGTGCTTAAAGTCATAGCAGTTTGGCGATCTTGTTTCCCATGTTGACCATATGATGTAATGATGAGAGTCAAGAAGTTAGGGTTCGGAGATCCACTTGACTGCAGACCGCGCGCATTGAACAGTACATAGAGAACGGACATACAATTTCATCGTGATGTCCCAGTGGCATGATGTAATCACAGTGTCTTATTCCTAGACTCAAGGGGAGAGCTTTTATCGCCACAATGCTATTCAAGTAGGCGCGGAATCCAGCGCTGATCGTCAACACCAGATTTGACGACCGTTCTCCTTCCAATTTCGTGAAGCGCGACAATGCCGTCAACAGATCCGGACCAACAGTTCCGGCGCATTGGTATCGTGGGAGCCGGGAACATGGGCTCCATGATGGCCTTTGCGTTCTCGGAGCTCGGTCTCGACGTGTCCATTTGGGACGTCAAGAAAGAGAATGTGGACCAGCTCTTGGAGTCGGCTAAGGGTATCAAAGGTCAAGGGAAGATCGAAGGGTTTGAAGAGATTGGCGAATTCACCCAGAGCTTGGAGGGCCAGGGAGAGCGGAAGCTGTTTATCTTCTCCATCACTCATGGCGATCCCGCGGACTCGGTTCTTAGTACGATCAAGCACGCACTGAAGAAAGGCGACATTATCCTCGACGGCGGGAATGAGCACTACCGGCGCACGGAGAGGAGGCAGAAGGAGTGCGAGGAAATTGGAGTCAGTTGGATTGGAACAGGTGTTTCCGGCGGATATCAATCTGCTCGCCGTGGACCGAGCTTGTCTCCTGGTGGTGATGAGAAGGCGCTGGAGCTGGTATTGCCGCTTTTGGTGCGCTATGCAGCCAAGGACCGCAAGACCGGTCTTCCTTGTGTAGCCAGAGTTGGTCCAGCGGGCTCGGGGCATTTTGTCAAGATGGTGCACAATGGGATCGAGGGTGGCATGCTTTCAGCGGTCGCCGAGGCTTGGTCTATTCTCCATTACGGGCTAGGGCTCGAATATGATGAGATCGGAGACGTCGTTGATGAGTGGAATCAGAAGGGAGAGCTCAGGAACAATTTCCTTCTCGACATTGGTGCTGAAATATGCCGTAGAAGGAAATCTGCCGGCGGAGACGGCAAAGGTGAAGGAATTGGTGACAAGAATGAATATGTCCTTGATGATGTTCTCGACAAAGTGGTACAAGATGACGACGACACCGAAGGCACCCCCTACTGGTGTGTTATGGAGACGGCTAATCGTCATATTTCTGCGCCGACCATTGCAACTGGTCATTACATGCGTATCGCCAGTGGTAACCGTGCGGAACGGCTGCGAGTGGCGGAAAAGCTTCAGATGCCAAAACCCAGGTCCATTGAGGGCATCAAAGACCGACGGCGTTTCATTGAAGATCTACGGCGAGCAGTCTACTGTTGCTTCCTGTCTTCCTTCTGTCAAGGTCTCGAACTAATTGCCCGCGCATCCGATGACGAAAAATGGGATATCGATCTTAGCAAATGTCTCCAGATCTGGCGTGGCGGTTGTATCATCCAGTCAGAAGCCATTGCCGATCTCCTGCAGCCGTTGCTCCAAAAGAACGTGCACTATACAAACCTGAAAGACATCGACGAAGTCGCTCAAGAATTGAAGCAAAACTTTGACTCTCTCAAACGGATTGTAATTGACTCGACAGCGTTCGATCCATATACCCCGGCGATATCTGCGACCTTGGAATACCTGAAATATGCGGGTGGGACGATGCTACCAACGAAGTTCATGGAAGCCCAGATGGACTTATTCGGTGCCCAAGCATATTACAAGCCAGGTATTCCCGGTGAGGATCCAGGGCCGGTCAAGAAGGGGCCTCATCATTATGAGTGGCGGCCAGCTTAGATTATTTTTATAGTAGTTGGGATCCAGGTTGGCCCATGGTTCGGCCTGAAAATGCCATATTTCGTGGTTCATGTTTATATTTGCTTTCCAATCCAGACCTCATAGCTGCAGGGCTATTCCAGCCTATAGTAAGCCCTTTGATATATATATGTAAGTGGTAGAGCATCGGAGGTGCAGCAGACATTAACTAATCACGCCTAGTGTTATTCATACAGGAAACTCATGGCTAATTTATACGAGACTAATGTTATTTGGACCTGTATACCCGGTTTACCTTTCAGAGTACATTGGCAACGGATAAGATGAATGGTTGGTGCCTGGCTGCCTAAGGAACCGCCCACGTGGGGAATCTGATAAGGCGTGATTACCCAATCGGGGGAGAAAATGACCCCGCCCTCAGAATTTATCGCCAACGGAATTTCCCAGTTGCATTGGATGCCCTCATTCCCTCTACTTCGCCGTTCCCTCGCAACCTTGACCACGAAACCCCTCCGGAGAATCGAGTCTGCTAAGCAACTTGCTAAAAGAATGGCTTCTCTTCCTAGCACCTACGCGGGTTCGTTTCCCCTCATCCGGCGACAAGGAGCAACTGTACTGACCCCATCGCTCTCGTAGACCCTGTCCGTATCGCGGTCATCGGTGGCACTGGTCTCCGCGAACTCCCTGGTTTCACTCAGGTTGCTTCCTTGAACATTTCGACTCCCTGGGGCACTCCCTCCTCCCCGATCACGATCCTGCACCACCAGTGCTCTCACAACAACCAGACCGTCGCTGTCGCTTTCCTCAGTCGTCACGGCCAGCACCACCAGATTGCGCCCCATGAGGTGCCTGCCCGCGCCAACATCGCTGCCCTGCGCTCCATTGGTGTCCGCACCATCGTTGCCTTCTCGGCCGTCGGTAGCTTGCAAGAGGAGATCAAGCCTCGCGACTTCGTGATCCCAGACCAGGTCATTGACCGCACCAAGGGCATCCGGCCTTTCACATTCTTCGAGGGAGGTGTGGTTGGTCACGTTCCCTTCGGAGACCCATTCGACGAGGGTGTTGCCAAGGTTGTGAGGGCTTGCGGCCACAGCCTCGAGGGCGAGGGTGTTGTGCTGCATGACCGCGGCACATTGGTGTGCATGGGTATGTAATTCGTCCAATCCAGTGGTTGTGGTAGGTGTCGTTATACTCAGTTACTGACTTTCTTCTAGAGGGACCTCAGTTCTCCACTCGCGCTGAGAGCAAGCTCTACCGCTCTTGGGGAGGCAGCGTCATCAACATGTCTTGTCTTCCTGAGGCGAAGCTTGCCCGTGAGGCCGAGATTGCCTACCAGATGATCTGCATGTCCACCGACTATGACTGCTGGCACGAGGCTACCGCCGATGTCACCGTGGAAATGGTCATGGGAAATATGAAGGCCAATGCTGAGAACGCTAAGCACTTCGTCACTGCCGTCCTCGATGAGCTCGCCTCTGACAAGAACTCCGAACTCGTCCAAGCCAAGCATGTGGAAGGTTCTGTCAAGTTTGGTCTCAGCACTGCCCAGCCCAACTGGAGCCCTGAAGCTAGAGAGAGAATGAACTGGCTTTTCCCTGGATACTTCAACTAATTACTTTTGCCATTAGAGATTGTGCTTGAACATACCAACATACACATATTTCTCTTGTGATAGATGTTTATAGTTGATTATGAACTTATGAAATAAAGCCTGTGCCAATGATGCATTTCCATGATTCTCCTCGTTCTATTCTTCTTTATTCGTCACGGCAACGTGTTATCACTTTCATTTTTCATCACAGCAAGGATTAGCGGCGAGACAAACAAATATTCACTGAACGTGAGCCTTGTCGCCGAGAGCTTATGCGCACAACTTGATACAAAGAGGTTGATTATGTCGTTCGCTGCCTATCACACGCAAGAATTCTGTAACACGTACACATTCTCTGATGAAATCTTAGTCCTCACCATATACTCCCTCAGCCGCAGCCATGGACTACATCATAGATCCTGAAGGAGATATGCTCCTGATCGTGGAGGAATGCTCAGGCAACCTTCATCTAGATTTGGTCCAGAAGGGTAATCGACTCAGACCGACTGAGCTTTGTTGACAGATACACTAATCTTGTTGTGTTGTATACTAGAATCTTCAACTCCAGAAACTCTCCCTCTAGAGTCTACTGCAGACGCGCAGGCAATCAATGAGGCGGTTCTGAGTCCAACCCAGTCCCAGTCCCAGTCCCAGCTCACTTCAGATCACGCTTCCTCCGCTGGTAACAGTGGTCAGGCTGCCGCCCTTGCCAAAACGGTGATGCTTAAGATTCGTGTCTCCTCAAAACATCTGACCCTGGCATCATCATACTTTCGCCAGAGACTCGTCCCCGAGACCGTCGATCATAGGCCAGTCGAAAAAGACGTGGTCCCAGCATGCGTTGAAGACGTCGATGCCTTGCTCATAATGCTAGACGTCATTCATGGTCAAACCAGGAAAGTGCCGCGTGTGATTACCTTCAAGCAGCTATTCATGATTGCGGTGCTCGTGGAGCACTATGAATGCGTCGAAGCCATGGAAGCGTTTGCTCAGATGTGGACTGAGAACCTCAAAGGCGAAATCCCTTCAGTGTATTCAGAGGACTTGGTTAAGTGGATCGGTATCACTTGGATCTTCCAACTTGAGAGTCTGTTCAAAAAGACTACTCGTACCGCCATCCGACGATGCACCGGGCCAATCTCCGCCATGGACGTTCCAATTCCGCTTGCGTTAATCGGTGAGCGCTTATCGTATACCCTTGTCCAATACCCATCCAGTGCGGCTGATAGATGCTAATGATATTTTGAAACAGAAGAGATTGAGTATTCCCGGCAGAGCACCATCGACGACATAGTTGACCGTCTTTTCAGGCGAATCAACTGGGAGCTAATGCCTGACACCAACCTCTATTGCTGCAACGACTGCGACGCAATGGTACTGGGAACTCTCGTGCGTCAGCTGAAGGTTCATGAGCTCTACCCTCTGCCATTGCCTCCTTTCCGAGGGCTCAGTATAGATTTCATGATTCAAACCTTGACCACGCTGCCTGAGCCCCGTTGCTATGAGCTGGTTCATCCAATCTGCGGCAAGCTATCCAAGTGTAACCTTATGCCGAAGGCGAAGGACTTGGTGGAGAAAGTGGACCGACAGGTACACGGTCTATTGCTCAGAAACGCCCACTTCTGACCCGCATACAGCCAGCGTACGACTTGAGAATTTTTTCTATCCGTAGGCCGTCAGGGCAGGATCAACGTACGAGAGGAATACTTCTGGTGATTGGTTGATAGTGAAGAGGTTGGGATTTGGTTTGAGAACTCGGATATGTCTATCATAAGGGATTTGGTCTGAGGTGGATTTTCAAGATCAATTTGGAGTGACTGACTTGTGATAGTTCATCTTTTTGTTGAATAGTCGGGTTGTATCTCTTATTAAGTTAGTTGGTCGGTGACCGGCAATGCAGTCTTGTAACCAGTGCAGTCCTCTATTTCGACCCGCTTATGGCACGATGTATTTCAATGGCCAAGACGGCCGGGCGTCAACGCCACCCGGCTTTGCTCGAAATACTCCGTATGCAATAATCATCACATTAGCCTATAGGGCAAAATTAACCCAGGTACAGGACGGAGAATAATTGCTGCTGATAGGTGGAATCAATGCCTTCGCAAATTCGGAGCTGTTGGACGTCCCCTTTTCCAGTTTCTGCCGACAAACCAAACATCAATGTCGGACTATCGATGCCTTTCTCGGACTAGATACCGAGACATTACTTGCAGTCTGATTATTTTTAGACTCGTCGATTGGGGACTCCTGGTGCTTTAATTTCCCCCCATTTCCTCTTGCGCGTTGAGATGGATCAAAACCTTGTGGTCAGTGCTATACCGTGTGGCTGTATAGGGCTATTGCAGGTCACCCTTTGGCCGGTCACATGAAAGGTTCTCAGAGATATCGAGGCCGAGAGAAACGAAAGGAAATGTTCAAGAAAAACATGGAAATGAACTCCCAAGAGAGAAAATCGAACGGCAAACGTCATCCCCCCTGACGATCGAAGGATCCTTATCAGGCGATCGACAGGTACTCTTGCTGTTCACGGCCCTCACCTAACCTGTTCGACTCGCAACCTAACATTTAGCCGAAGCGATCGTCCCCCCGCGGTGTTTATTGTGCAAGTTATGAAGCCGTACTACCTTAATTCACCAGTTTCTGTCGTCTGACCCGTCTTATACTTTCCTACTATGCGGGGTACGCACAAGTCCGACTTGAGCTGTACATTTGACTGCGATGATCACTCCCGGTTACGGGGCATATCCTTACCGGAAGAGCAAATGGACAAGCAGCTAATCCAAACGGCCCACGGCCCCAGGTGCGGTTTTCTGCAGTGTTCACGGACTCGTTGCCGGATTGGACTAGCCCTGACGACAACCGGCTCTGATCATGGTGTCATCTTACTCGATCGTTCTTCAGTGCCTGCAAGGATTAACATTGGGGGGAGCCAATAGATGCCCTTGGCACGGGGCTGCGCACCGCATTCCGGCATTATTTCAACCCTGGCTTAGCCTGTATTGTGACCACCGTGCAGCATACTGCGCCGGGTGGATGATACTTGCAGCCTTACATCACGATCCCATGACCGATCACCCTGCTTTGCGGCCCATCCGATGGATCCCTATAAAGCTACGCCCCCCTAATTTAATGAGGCCGTATCGTTAGTCGGCTGTTCCTGGCCTCTAGTACTCTATCTACCATGGATGCCTTCCTGGCCTATTTGGCTCTTTGGTCTTACTTGGTCCCTGGGGCTCTGTCCACCCCCGAGGCGGAGACTCTGACACCACGAGCCTCTACAGAAGCTTACTCCCCTCCATATTACCCGGCCCCAAACGGAGGATGGGTCTCCGAATGGGCCAGCGCCTACGAGAAGGCGCACCGTGTCGTAAGTAATATGACCTTGGCCGAGAAGGTCAATCTTACAAGCGGCACGGGTATCTTCATGGGCCCTTGTGCCGGCCAGACTGGTAGTGCTCTCCGGTTTGGGATCCCCAACCTATGCCTTCATGATTCGCCCCTCGGAGTCCGCAATTCGGACCACAATACAGCATTCCCGGCCGGCATCACGGTTGGCGCAACATTTGACAAGGACCTGATGTACGAGCGCGGAGTCGGTCTTGGCGAAGAGGCGCGAGGAAAGGGTATCAACGTTCTGTTGGGCCCGTCCGTGGGCCCGATCGGGCGGAAGCCCCGGGGAGGCCGCAATTGGGAAGGGTTTGGGGCAGATCCCAGTCTACAGGCCTTTGGGGGCTCGTTGACTATCAAAGGAATGCAAAGCACCGGTGCTATTGCCTCACTCAAGCATCTTGTCGGAAACGAACAGGAGCAGCATCGGATGAGCAGTGTTGTCACGCAGGGCTATTCGTCAAATATTGATGACAGGACCATGCATGAGCTGTACCTGTGGCCATTCGCCGAAAGTGTCAGAGCCGGTGCTGGTTCGGTCATGATTGCGTATAACGATGTAAGCTCATCTGCGCACCGCCGTCTCGGACAGATTGACTAAGTAGATCGTAGGTGAACCGATCCGCCTGCAGCCAGAATAGCATGCTCATCAATGGAATCCTCAAGGATGAACTGGGCTTCCAGGGCTTTGTCGTCACCGACTGGCTGGCTCACCTTGGTGGGGTTTCGTCCGCGTTGGCTGGCCTGGACATGAGCATGCCGGGCGACGGGGCTATCCCACTCTTGGGCACGAGTTACTGGGCGTGGGAGCTGTCGCGCTCCGTGCTCAATGGCTCGGTCCCGGTCGAGCGTCTGAATGACATGGTAGGCACTTCGACGCGACCAGTTTTGCCCTGTGGCTAATGGAAGAATGGCAGGTCACGCGAATCGTCGCAACATGGTACAAAATGGGGCAGGACAAAGACTACCCACTACCAAACTTCTCCTCAAATACCGAGGATGCGACTGGGCCGTTGTATCCCGGCGCCTTATTTTCCCCAAGTGGCATTGTCAACCAGTACGTCAATGTCCAGGGCAACCACAATATCACGCTCGGGCCATCGCCAGAGACGCAATCACGTTGCTCAAGAATAACGATAATATTCTACCTCTGAAACGGAATGACACCTTGAAGATCTTCGGCACCGATGCCGGCACCAATCCGGACGGGATCAACTCTTGCACTGATAAAGGCTGCAACAAAGGCGTACTGACTATGGGCTGGGGAAGCGGGACCTCCAGACTCCCCTATCTCGTCACACCGCAAGAAGCGATAGCGAATATCTCATCCAATGCCGAGTTTCACATCACAGATACGTTTCCTTTGGGCGTCTCCGCAGGCCCTGACGACATTGCAATTGTCTTCATCAACTCGGACTCCGGCGAGAACTACATCACCGTCGATGGCAATCCAGGAGACCGTACGCTGGCAGGGTTAAATGCGTGGCACAATGGTGACAAGCTTGTCAAAGCCGCAGCGGAGAAGTTCTCCAACGTAGTCGTGGTGGTTCATACCGTGGGACCCATCCTGATGGAAGAATGGATCGATCTAGAATCCGTCAAAGCGGTGCTCGTCGCTCACCTACCGGGACAGGAGGCAGGCTGGTCACTAACCGACGTTCTCTTCGGGGACTATAGTCCGAGCGGGCATCTGCCTTACACCATCCCTCGCAGTGAATCAGACTACCCAGAGAGCGTCGGGTTGCTTGCTCAGCCATTCGGCCAAATCCAAGACGACTACACCGAAGGTCTCTACATCGACTACCGACACTTCCTGAAGGCAAACATCACCCCTCGCTACCCATTCGGACACGGTCTCTCCTACACGCAATTCAACCTCTCCGAACCCAACCTATCCGTCATCACACCGCTAGACACAGCCTACCCGGCCGCACGACCCGCCAAAGGCTCTACGCCCACGTACCCCAACACCAAGCCCGCCGCGTCCGAAGTCGCCTGGCCCAAGAGCTTCAACCGCATCTGGCGCTACCTCTACCCCTACCTCGACAACCCGGACGGCGCAGCCGCCAACTCCTCCAAGACATACCCCTACCCAGACGGCTACACGACGGAGCCCAAGCCCGCCCCTCGCGCCGGCGGAGCCGAAGGAGGCAACCCGGCCTTGTGGGACGTGGCCTTTTCGGTCCAGGTCAAAGTGACGAACACGGGATCTCGGGACGGTCGTGCCGTTGCCCAGCTGTATGTGGAACTGCCCCGTAGCCTGGGACTGGACACGCCGTCTCGACAGCTGCGGCAGTTCGAGAAGACCCAGATCTTGGCTGCGGGGGAGAGTGAGGTGCTGACGTTGGATGTCACGCGCAAGGACCTTAGTGTTTGGGACGTTGTTGTGCAGGACTGGAAGGCGCCTGTCAACGGGGAGGGAGTTAAGATCTGGATCGGAGAGAGCGTGGCGGATTTGCGCGTTGGGTGTGTGGTTGGCGAGGGGTGTTCTACTTTGTAGTTCGTTGGGTTGATTGTATATGTTGTTGTTCAGGGTGGTGTCTATCAGCTTTGTTTTGTATATGTGGGAGTTATATAGGTCGTGATCTTCTTTTTTTTTCTCTTTCTTTTCTCGTATATATTACCCATACTTGGATGTATTCGAGAACTAAACCAGATATAACACTCGTAAGCAGTCCAGTGCATATATATAGACCAGACAGGGTATGTATAGAACCCATGATACACAACAATAAAACATCAGAAAGAGTAACAAGACGAGTAGATCAAGTAACACAAAATTGACAAGCGTGGAATTCTCCACTCCATTTAGATGACAGAAGCTTTGGAAGCTCGCATGGTCAGGTATACTGAACCATGCGTCGGCCACCTTGCCAATTATGCAATGAGATATCGATTTTAAATTTATCAAGGGTTGACTGTGCTCAACATGGCTGTTTGGCTTTCACCAACGAGTAAGTATGAAATACAGAGGGGTTGCTGTTAGTCTCAGTTGGTATAGCATAAAGGCACGACTTCATGTTCCTCTACGTGTATCTATAACGAGATGTCTCTTGGATGAGTGAGATATGTATTGCATGAACGAGAGGAAAATTGACCATTGGACATATTACCATAATATATAAGACCCCCGCCTGTTTCGATCCTCCCAGTCGGAGCTCACTAAGTACCGGTGCTGCAGATGCGGCTGCTTCAAAGCGAACACACGGAAGCATTATCTATCCACTTGGCACATGTGGAGTGGACCGTACTGTATCCATTGGGCTACTGGTTTCCATTCTGAGCGACTAGGGTGATATATATGTGGCGCAATCGTTGCATACTGGCTTAGCAGTCCACCTTATTGGCCGCATGTTTGTTAACATGGGCATGCTACTAGTAGTAATTCTTCTGGTTCCTTATTTGCTGATAATGATTCGTCGGGGTGGCATCGAATGAGCCGAATAAGCTCATGTGGGGCGGGAAACAACGTTAATACAAATCAAATTCAACACAATTGACAGGCGGCTATACTATCCCTGGACTAGTGCAGATCTGCAAGCGGGAGACCAATTGACCCTGGAAGTATCCCACCAATCATGATATTCAAATCATTGTGAGTGAACATGACTCATGTCTTGGCGGAATCCAAGTGGATCCCGTCTGCCAATGTGATTGGGGTCAGAGTACAGAAACCATGGTAGTACTACTAGTAGTAGCTACAATATTTATACCATCAGTATACCAGATGCTTGAGAAGTATCCCGCTCGACAAGTCACAGCTTCGGCTTCCTCATGCCTCTCCTTGATATCCTATAGAGGTGATCTTGTCAACGGACGACTGATATCGGAAGTCGTCTATTATCCTGTTTTCCTCTGGTGACACCGAGAAGTCTGCACATGAAATGCTCGCGATCATGAAGAAGCTTTTCACCTCCAAGAGCAAACTGCTGGAGAAACCAACCTCCGTCATGTCTCCCGATGGATCTCAGTTGGTAAAGGAGGAGTCCCATTCGACGGGAACCCTCAGAGTCTCCCAGAACGGCGACCAGCAAGACGACGAGCCTCAATATCCCGGTCCACTCAAGCTGACGCTCATCGTGCTAAGCTTGAACCTTGCCATGTTCCTCGTGGGGCTCGACAACACCATCATTTCGAGCGCCATCCCGAAGATCACCGACCAGTTCCACACTCTCGGCGACGTAGGCTGGTATGCCAGCGCCTACCTCCTCACGAACTGTGCCTTCCAATTGATATGGGGGAAGCTGTTCACCTTTTACGTCGTGAAATGGGTCTACCTCACGGCACTGTTCATTTTTGAACTAGGGTCTCTGATCTGCGCCGTGGCTCCAAGCTCGACGGCTCTGATTGTCGGCCGTGCCATTGCAGGCATTGGTGGCGGCGGTGTCGGAAACGGCTCCTTCCTGCTCATTGCTCACTGTGTGCCGCCACGCCGACGTCCGGCGTTTATCGGCATGATGGGCTCCATGTACGGCATTGCGTCCATCGCGGGGCCCCTGATGGGAGGCGCCTTCACGGACAACATTTCCTGGAGATGGTGTTTCTACATTAACCTGCCTCTCGGGGTGCTTCCCGCCGCCATCATCACCTTCTTCATCGCCCCATTCCGCGGCAGCAAGAAGGGCGAGGTTGGTTTCCTCAACCAGATCAAGCAGATGGATCTCCCAGGCACCGTGTGTCTTTTGCCCGGTGTCATCTGTCTACTGCTCGCCCTCCAGTGGGGTGGCTCCACCTACCCCTGGAAGAATGGCCGCATCATCGCTCTATTTGTGCTCGCCGGTCTTCTCTTCATCACATTCATCGCCATCCAGTATCAGAGTGGAGACCGCGCCACAGTCCCAGGCCGTGTCTTCAGCAACCGGAACGTCTGGGGATCCGCTCTATTCGGTTCCTGCGTGACCGCCGGGTTCTTCCTACTGCTGTACTACGTAAGTTGCCGACAATCTACCAAAGACAACGAACAATATTAACCCTTATCCCAGATCCCGATTTGGCTGCAAGCCGTCAAGGGCGCCAGCGCCATCAAGTCCGGGGTCATGAACCTGCCTATGCTCCTGGGCAGCGTGATCTTCTCCCTGCTGGGCGGCGGCCTGACCTCCGCAATCGGCTACTACATGCCCTTCGCCTATCTGACGGTGATCCTCATGTCCGTCGGCAGCGGCCTCCTCTCCACCCTGCAAGTTCACTCCGGCCACGCCCACTGGATCGGCTACCAGTTCCTGGTTGGTGCCGGCGTGGGCAGCGGCCTGCAGACGGCCTTCGCCGCCCCACAATGCGTGCTCCCCCTCGAAGACATCCCCATCGGCACCGCCGTTGTCATCTTCACCGAGAACCTCTCCGCCGCCATCTTCGTCTCCGTCGCCCAGAACGTCTTCTCCAATCAGCTGAGAACCAACCTGGCCACGTACGCGCCCGACGCAGACACCAGCGCCATCTTATCCGGCGGCGCCACCGATATCAAGAATCTCGTGCCGCAGCACCTCTACCAGGCGGTGCTGTTTGCCTATAACAAGGCCTTGGATCAGACGTTCTATGTCGCGGTCGCGCTGTCCTGCTGTGCCGTGCTGGGCGTCCTGGGTATGCAGTGGGTGTCGGTGAAGAAGAGCAAGGATGATACATCATCTAAGTAGATAGATTTATTTAATCGGCCTTGGTTTAGTGTACCGGGTAGTGTTTAATTAGACTTTACGAATTGATGCCTGTTTCATGCCAATATCTTCTCATGAATCCATGCGTAGGATAAGGATCTGTATTAGTAACACTGTTATTGGATGTAAACGAAGGTCGAAACAAAAAAAAAAACCAATTAAATCCTTAAGTCTCCAATTACCATTTAGATAGGCAGTGGCGCCGGGGCTGACGAAGCTATTTCTCCTCGTTAGGGTTGGGCCTGAGCCTAATGATTGACTCATTCCGGGACCGTCGTATGGAATCAACCATTCTGGTCCGCTCCGGATTTCCTTTCTGTTGGTTGAAACAAGCTCTCTCTCTCTCTACTCTAGTTTTAATGGATTCCTGTCTCCAGTCATCAAATCTGGCTATGTGATTAACGAGTGATGAACCAGGAATAGACTACAGTCCTGCTATCCATCTAAACAGACTAATACTATCTTTCATTTTACATACTCCCACTTAGCATTACTGGAATACCAATATTAACCACCCAAAAGTTCACATCCACAGAGAAACTGGAAAGCTAGAGTACCAGTCCACCCCTCCTCCTCCTCCCCACTAGACCACACTCACTACCTCACAACCAAGGAACTAACAAACTAACCAACCTCAGAAACATAAATAATGACCCCCAACCCAGGCCAAGACACCTCATCCAACCCACTACCCTCCTTCCCCGATACCTCGACCCACGAGAGACCGCAAAACGGGGTCAACAAGAGACAGAGACAGAGAGAGGGACACTACTCTTCTACACGCTCATACAGCCAGAGACAGCTCGATCGGATGGCCCGCGTGCAGGCCGAGCTGCAGAAGGTCAAGGAGGAGTGTGAGGCGCTGGAATTGTATGTTTGGCAGTTGGAGGGGGAGAGGGAATGGCTGAGGGGGGTTCTGGGGGAGATTATGAGGGAGACTCTGAAGGGGGAGTAGGTTCTTTTCTTTACTGTTTTGGGGTTTATAGGGATGTTGTGTACTAGAGAATGTATGCCTCGCTGTGTGTGTGTGTGTGTGTGTGTGTGCTGAAAGGGCTTGTAAGGTTTGGCTGTGTGTGTGGAGATAGCTGTTGTAGGTTAATCATAGGTTTAAGGTCACTGTCCTGCTAGCTTCCTAGACTGGCTGGCGATGAAGAATAAAGTAGTAAACCAGAAGGCGTAATGTAATATCCGACGAAATATGCCACACAGTCAGGCCTTAGTCAGAAACACCTACCGTTGACTAATAACTCGACTTAGAGAAGAGCAGAATACAAATGTCCTGTTGTGCTTCTAGGGCTGTTGGTCCACGTGGTATGGGTCAAAGATATGGAAAACAAAACCGTTAACAAGATAAACAAGTTTATTACACCTGTCTCGCCAAACCCGCTGAAGACCACGATATCCCTGTCATTAGACACAGACCGTAACTCAACATGACATCCAATCAGCAGGGGTCGCAAAAGGGCACTTCTAAATATTAAAGCAAACATTGCATGCATGAATATGCAAAATGTCACACTCGCGCCGGGAGAACGGAACGCAATCGATTCGTCAAGACGTTGAAGCCGTGGTCCTCACGTCAAAACGAGGTCCATTGATCGTGAGGGGGAGGACGCAGATAGTGAAATATACTACGTCGTAAGTATTCTTTTGTGTTTTTGGTGGGCTTTGTATTTCTTGGAAATGCTCAAGTGTGGGTTGAGACGAAGATGACTATGCTTAGAGCCACGCTGAGCGTGATGTATAGTGCGATATCCGTCTTGGAGATGACGAGGTCGTTGTCCTCATGGGAGCTCATGAGCTTGATCGATTGCTTGAGCATTTTGTATGTTTCAGACAAGGCTTTCTTCGGGGGTATTTGAGGTGGGAATCCTGGGGTAACTGAATTAGCTACGGCTGTTTCTTTGCACCCTCGATAAAGATGGAACTCATATCGGATTATCTTGCACTGGACCCCCTTCTCCTATATACCTGTGTTGCTGACTTCCCACCTGCCGGTGATCAAATCTTATCTCCGTCGTTTTCTGAATCTTCGATGTCTCATGGAGGACAAACATACAGGGATGCGATGGTGATACTGACCAATAAACCCCCTCAAGGCAGACCCTTTTCTAATGCACGGTGACGGCTGTGACCAAACCTTTTTAACCACTTTCATCATTTGGCATCCTCGTTTACATGGTAGGAGGATGGCAGTGGGCCACTGTCAGGCCTCATGAAGTTGAGCCCTATGGCTTGCGTCGATCATGGTTGGCTGTGGTACGAGTCATTCGAGTCCGCCTCTGCTGCAGGACTACCGATTGGGAAATAACTAGGATAATAAGATAGAGCATTATGTATGCATCTAACAAGTCACGGCAAATGTATATGCAAGGAAGTATGAATGACAGAATCAGTGTTACTCACGGTATGCAGGGAATTCCCTGATGACGTTGGTTCAAGGTCTTTCTCCAATGATTGATGTTTAAGCGCAGCCCATGAACGCAGGGCTGATGCAGACAGATAGTGCTAAATGCGAGTAGATGAATTATACCATTGACGATGTCTTCGCATGTGAGGTTAGATTGCTTGCTGTTCTGGTTTCTCATGTCCATGCAGTCTCCAGGATGTCAAGAACATACACACGATTTCTCACGGCTCGTGGAGTGGCCCCTGACGAGTAATTAGGTTGTAAAGAACCCTGCTCAGCCTGGGGATGACATACACCCAGAATTGTACAGCTCACGACTAGAGTGGACAGTAATGACGTCTCGCTCATAGGTGAAGCAAGTTTCCCTGTTTAGGCATGACGATTAGTTATTTCTTTCGCAACGAGTTTTGAGGGTGGAAGGCCGGGGTTGAATTACCTCAAAGCGAATTAACTACACGTTGCTCGCTAGAATATTGGTATATCCCCTAAGGCTGGCCTTGCCAGTGTTTGATTGATACTCTTCGGTAACTCCGAACCGGCGGTAGGAGAGTAAAAAATGCAGTAATTGTTATCTTTATCACAGAGCCAGTATACAGTATTGCGTCTTCACATCCCGCCATCATAAGCCCGGTTTCATCTCTGCAATATCCAGTGGCTTCCTTTGAAGCAACTGAGGTTAAGGTGTATAGCACTACTGAATACCCTTATAAATTTCGAATCTGGACTGGTTGTCCTTGAGTATCCTCGATACGGCGCTGTTCCTGTTCTGTGCTTGAAGTTGTGGAGTTTAGAAACACGTGGGTTTACTTCGGGGCAAGGTCCCTTGACTTTTGTACCGGAGTATCTGACGTGGTGTCAGGCACTATAGTCGGCTATAGAGTATTAGCGACTATAAGTCGGCATTATTCAGAACAGACCTGTTAGCCTAGGAACCAGATATATCCACTGAAAGAGAATGTGACACAAGGCATATCCAAGGCCTTGCCCTTGGTTGTTATGAGGGGTGACACCGCACATGCAGAACCATAAGTATCAAACACACTATCCATAGTGAGATACTTACATATCTCTACACTGTGTGCCCTTGTAGTATGCTGTTTGACATAAAGATCTTCCATTACTATCAATGGCGTTATATGCGTGGTCTTGGAATATTAAGGCCACGGAACTCATCGAAGACACCACGAATCTGCTGCACATAATAACAACGCATAAAATGCCAGCCTTAGCAACATATGATAAGGGCTTATGATGTCGTGTATGAAGTCATGAGTAAACTCTGAGAATATTTTATTTTGAATGTTGTATTCGCGTAAACCAAAAATTAGCAACCAGCCCTACGATGGAAAGGATGACCCGACTCAGCAAGTATGTCAAATATCGTTGGCATGTATGAGGGCCCAGTTTACAAAATTAGAGGTAAATTAACTAAACCTGGTGATTTGTTTAGTTTATCGGCATATTTTCCTTGTTATCTCGGCGAAAATAACCCATACTTCGGGGTAATTAAGCGATGGATCATGGTATTACCATATCACAAAGTTCAGGCCGGTATCTACATGTCCATAACATGGAAGATTATAGCTGGCCCGCTTTTGTTTGCCCTATGCACCTGACCTATGTGCCGTGAGTGCTTCAAGGTGTCGTTCGTATGAGCCAGCGTGATCCAGTATGAGCTACCATGATCCAGTATGAGCTACCATGAGCCACTATGAGCCATTATGAGCCATCCCCGGAGAACCTCCCAACTTGCGAGGAGATGATTGGTGCAAGGCCAGAGGCTAGACGGCTCGGCTTGCAGTAGTGGAGAAGAGCGGAACAGTACGATAAATTTAGTGTGCCCCACTGATGTTCCAGCGTTCCCCACGGTAGCAGTCTGCAGGTGGGACTGGGAGATGTAGTGGGATGCACATGTATACATTCGTTCATCGAATTTAGCTTAAACATACAGAGTAGATTGTTTGAATAGTGTAATGAGGTCATAAGGGCTATTTACTGTGAATTACTTGGGGTCTACCTGGCAGGAGCATGGACCCGCATTGTATACTCGGTAGAGTACGCTTCATCAACCACTGAAGGCGGGCCATATCTTGGCCTTCATCACGTTACACCAAAGGAGGGCGTAGCAGGCCAGGTTAACTACAAGATCTGGAGCCTCGTGGGGAATGGCCATTCCGGTAATCAATCTGACAGGTCGTACTGCGTAGTACGATCATCGGTATGACAGCCGCTAGTCGGAGGGTATATAGATATCTCGTAAGACAGTGAGACTTGTTTGCTTCTGTGTCTTGGCCGGGATATAAAAGCAAGCAAGTTACTGCCTCATACTCGTTCTCTCTTGCATTCCTCTCTCATCCTTTTCGTGATTCTCGAAACGTTTGAGGATAGGTTCTGCTGTTCCGCTCGAGATCTAGCTGGTAAGTCAGAACGCCTAGCACTTATTCCCCGCTGCCTCCATACCGTGATTAGACACTATTTTGCCGATGTGAATGTCATCTATCAGAGATCATGATCACACCATACCTTGCTTTGGAAGAGCGACATCGTCTGAGGATATTATTAAATCTTGCTGGTTTCTGCGTTCTCTTGACTATTGCCCCCGTGCTAACGTTTCGAGTCCGTCCTCACTAGGTTCGCACTAGCATAGGTTCTATTGTCCATCGAATGAATGTCCGTTTTATCTTCAGATTGCATTTCACGTAGATGGCTGTAGATTCTAGATACTCCGTACAACATTTGGAGATAGAAGTTGGACATGCCTGACCCTAGGGCGATGGAGGTAGAGCACATGTCCAGCAAGCCCTAACCATGGATAAGGTAGACGGCGGGGAGATCCGGCCAATTGTACTTGGGCAACCATTCTCCTCCGATAGACAGCAGTCAAATGACAAGGCATACCACTAAGCACTAGACTGGCTATGGACGGTTGGGCGTATACTAGAGATCCTACTGATCACTGAGGCTCCCCATTGCCGACAGATCGTCAACGTTAAAGCATATATTGCTGGTGGAGCAGCAAATTGTCTAAGGTGTTAACAAAGCAAAAGGAGGTGGTGCAGATGTTGCTCTCCTGAATTTGCCTCGTAATTGTAGATTTTTTTTTTCAATGATAGAAAACAAGATTACCCTTCTCTTTCCGCCTGTTTCTCTAGGTAATAACTATATTTTCGCTCCCAGTTAGTCATTTCTTCTTCCCCTTGGGTAAGAAATATAACGGTCACATATTTTCCCGCGTATACTAATAATCAGATCTTCAGGCTTCTGAAGCTGGCATCCAACCGCTATTTGACTATAAGTTGACCACTCGGCAGCAGTGGAAACTTATGCTGTGGAGTTAGGGCATCCAGCGAGGCTATAGAAGAGTAGACCACGCGACAGAAGCCCATAAAAGAGGATCAATGACGATAGTTGTTTCAACCCAGTGGAAGTTAGAGCAAGTGAATAAAGCCGGAATGTTTATCCTGAGGCACCCCAACACGGCCGGGGACTGGTATGTCCAGCGACAGAAACCCTTTTGTATCGATGAGTAGGCGGCAGTCTCATCCATATGTTTCCCGTTGGGTGTAGAATGATGTGACTTACCTCTTCCACTCCTTCCCGTATGGACTCCACACAATAAGCGCCGGGAGCTTGGTATCTGCCTGATATGACGAAAGACATCGGCCCGGATTACAGTACCATCTCGGAGGGACACCGCGACGTCTTGGTCCAAAAGTGTATCTGCACGGAAAGCACGATAGTTGTGGCCCTTCCTGAATCCTCCGGAAATTTTGACTCTTTGGCTCTATGTCATCTCAACGTGCGTCAGCGGAGTGGGCATCAGCAGGTTTTCGATGTAGCACTGGGATATCCCCCGCTCGGTAAGTTGTCTTGATCATTTATTTGACAGTTCGAGATACTCAAAAGGTTTTGGCCCATCGACTCCTCTCGGTTAGAGATAACTTCAGCATACAGAAGTATGAGAAAACAAGAGATTTGAGATAACGGTGGTTGATAAGTTACATCTTGGTTCCGAACCTGCCTGGTGACTGCAAACAGGAAAGCCTACGTAGTTAACTAATATCCATCGATCTTCATTACCCATGCTAGAGATTCTAGGTCTTTGGTAACTGGCACAAGGATGAGAAACAGGAAGCAAAATAAATAAAGCACAACTATGGGTGGTCAATTGATTAAAAAGCAGATGGATTATATTGACTTGTTAGACCCGAACTATTGAATATCCAGCTGCGTAGGCGCCTTGCTTGTACAGCAGAATGGAAATCTGAATTATCAACAACCCTCGGGTCTGTAATAATCAGCAACCGAATTAGCAAAAGGATACGCATAATAACTTACCTGCAGGCCTCGAGTTTCTTACCCTCGGCCTCTAATTCAGCAATTTGTTTCTTCAATTCATCGTCCAGTTTGCCCTGAGACGCATTATGGGAGATGGCATTCGCCTACAAGGATATATCTTAGTAAAGTGCCAAGGGTCGCTAGTGCTTTCCTATACACTTACCCATTGTGATAATCGGAACGACTCGCTCTTAAAGGTGCTGCAGCTCATTTTGGTAGGGCAGGTGTTGTCTGTCTGTCTTTGCGAGAGAGCCTGTTTGGGGATCGGTTCGCCGAGAGCGAGACCAAGAGTCATAAGTGACAATAGGATTTGGATCTTCATTTTGACTGCAGCAAAGTCAATACGCCAGAGGGTGAATGTTATGACTGGGCAATAGTGGATTGAGAAGATGATGAGAAAATCCCATGCTCTGTTGCTGCCTTTTATACGTTGCTTAGCGGGAGGAGCCAACAAGAAAGGCCTATAAAATAAACGCAGCGTGGATTCAATAACTAGTTGATCAATACTTTCTTAGAAATCGACAATCAATTGCTATGGATCGACATCAATAATCGTCAATCTATTTGCTTATGCATTGGACTTACCGGCTGCATTCAGACCGCATGTTCCGACATGTCCATTCAACACTTTTATCGGGATCTTGGTGTATGCTCTCTCGTATTTATTCCCTTCTAAAGGCCGAGGGGAGCTCAAGTTGAACATTAAGCACGAGTTTCTGCCCCGGATTGAGAATTCAAATGGGGGTCAGTGCCAGAGGCGAAGGATCATTAGCATGACCTGTCAACAGGCAAACAGGATCCGCATAGAATTGCGTGCACTAACGCATTAGGCATCCGGGTTCCGCTGTCATCCACCATTTTGACAGCTTTAGTGCATATCAGTTTCTTTCGGGTAGTACGTACACATATCGACCAGCAGTAGAGAATCCATGAAAGATTGCAAGAAGCCCATACTCCCCGCATTGACAACTTCCGAGGTGCTGTAGTGCATTGTGACGAATTACGTGTGATCTCAGTCGTTTCCCTTTTCTCTATATTTAGTCTATTGTATAACTCCTTCGCACAACTTAGTAGACACAGGTAGACTGAAAGACATTACGCCAATCGATTTCTCTACCACCCGATGTCGTCCCGGTGTGCAGCTTGCTCTCACATCGCAATCACCCGGATAGAACAGACATAGGGAGCAATTCCATGAAAGGAGTGAATGCCGCCTGGGTGAGCTGACATATCCAATCTCCAGACCGCTCTTCCTGCGGACTCGCTCCACCATGACTGTTTTCTCCTTGCATCGGACACGATCGGCGGGGATGAAAGGGCGTCGCTGTGTGATTGCGGGCTCACCCAGGATCAACACCCTCGGAAGAAGCTTCCTGCTGCCCATGAATATCTTTATGAGTCACTCGCGCGACTGCTTAATCGGTACTCGCGATGGATGTGCGCCTAGATCAGAGAGCAGATGTAGAGCGAGAAAAGGCTGACGCCAAAGCGGATTGTATGTAGGGAAGGATTGGTATGTCTGTGGGCGATGATACTAGATGGGGAAGCTCCTCGTTCCGTACAGACGATGCCCCTCGACTGACACCTTTCGGTGAGACGGGATATCTGTGACTTTATTTCTAGACATTGTTCGGTGGTGGCTGGAGCAACACCTAGGAGGAATAGGAAGTCTTATTTAGAAATAGTCCATTGCTATGATAATTGGCTAGGAGACGGACATTGCCGGTATGGCCCTCGCCGTAGATATTGGCGCGTTCACGAAGATGCAGAATGGGACCCGCTAGTAGAAGGAAGATGTCTTGCAGTAGGGGATTTCAATCCTCACAGCCCTCTATGGAATTCCCAGACTGAACAACATATCGATGCAGCACCACCAGGAGATCTGATCAGCAGACCCAATCTATATATCAATAATGAACCAGATATTCCTAGCAGGCCCCAAGCATACCCCAGGTATCTCAATCATTGATCTGGCAATATCTACTCCAGAACTAGGCCCCTTGGACAGTTCGCTAGTGGATAACAAATACCTTATAAGATCAGATCACGAGCTGATAGTACTTGCATGGGTTGATTCGGAAAGAAGGTCTATTGACACCAATAAACAAGTTACTGAATGGCAGATTCAGAAGTGTTGGGTTGTAGTTCTGCACTTCACAACGACCGGCTTTCTTCAGGCTGGGTAGGATCGAAAGCGTAAACCACCGTATTGGGGAAAGTATTAGAAATACATGAGTGACATCCAGGACGAAAGAATTTCCGCTAGAACTTTCGCCGATGAATTCTTCGAACATGATCCCTCATGTTATCCATCCGGCTAAATAGCCGTGTGCATTGCTCGCCCTGTTGATTTCGCCAGTTGCACCTGATTTCCGGTTTATGTTTGGCCTCATGTCTGTCTCGATCCTTTCGAGTGGCAAAGCCTCGTTTACTAGGGCTCTGTGGATCAGGTGCTGACTGGGGACAGTTCTCGTAGTGGCAGAAAAAACTTCTAGCGTGTTGGCGATAGTGCCGCTGAGAGCCTTGTGCAGTCGTGAGACGCGCTGTCGATCTGCCAGGAACTGGACATTTGGAGTGTGAGAGAGAGGTGAAATCACCAGGCGCGATGTGGGCGAAAACGAGTTCGGGGGGTGAACTCGGATGGCTACTGCTGCTTCCAGGGGAAGAAAGGATCGGCTTATCACGAGAGGGTGGTTCCATGGGTACGTCAGGAATGTGTAAACATGTTGGAGTAAGAGGCTCTGAGGGGCTTGCAAGAATGGGAGGCCCGAGAAGACCTGGTATCTGCGGCTCAGGAAAGCATTTGAGACCTGACGTATCCATAATACAGGGCATTGATGAGCTTGTAGAGCTCTCGAGGTCTAAAGGTTCTGTTACCCATGGTATCGATGGTCCTGTGAGATCCTTGGAACTTGAAGAATCCATTGTCCATGGTGTTGATGGGTATATAGTGTGGCCGAATGCAGAAGCATCCATAACCCACTGAACTGGCGTTTCTGGCACTTCACTGCGGCTTGACGGATCCATGAACCACTGTAATGACGGCTCTGGCAGAGGATGGGGCCATGTAGATACGTTCCGTGAAATATCAACGGCAGCATCTCGATTGGATAGCGGCAAGGCCATCCACTGCTCTTCTTGTACGTTGTAGTTATAGTTCATTGTCAAGTCTTGGTCTGCTGGCATGGTACTAGGCATTCAGGGACAGCACAACAGGGGTATGCGGGTATATCTATCATCAAGCTTCCAGCGGGTTGCAGAAACCATCCTCCTGCATCACGCTGACTTTGCATTTGCGAGGCCGGTATCCTATTTTGGCTTAAATTGCATGCAGTGGGCGAATCGCCGCGCAAATTCTCAAGGAACCGAGTATGACGGCGAACCCGCGTACGTCGCAATGATAAAGGGACGCGACATCAGCAAAATGGTTCCGGATGCTTACATAGGGAACTAGCTGTCAGCTTTAGAAGGTGCATTAATACAAGGCAAAATTGTGACATGGGAAGTCAAATCGGGTCGTTATGGGTGACGGGATGCGTGCCTGATATTTGGTCTATAATATGGTTTCTCGGCTTCCTGATCTGGACCAAGAGGTTCTCGCTTACTTATGGTGGCATTGAACGAGAAGCATCAGCTAGTATGAAATGGATACAGAAGTAGTTGGACGACCTTGCTCATCCCTCCCACATGTCTTAGACCTTCTTTTCTGTGTAGACTCGACATCTACTTATCGGAACCTTGGCTCTATCTAAAATCTCAAGGTATTAACGTAAATTGCACCATACAAGCTAGTATAGAATAGAAAATGGCACGGACTCACAGTAACCTGATAGACCTCCTAGCCATGTTGTTCAGGGTGGCCATACTTCAAGCTAACAACGACAAAATCTTGAAGAGCCCATCGTCATTTTCATCGTGACTTCATTAAATAAAAGCACAAGACATAGAACGCCAACAACAGATCCGACATATAAGCCACACCTATCGACGCGGCTTCCTGCCATACACAAAATACAACTTCCCATACTGATGAATTGTGGTATCCAACAACTCCTTCCTCGCCCCTGCCATCAAAACCTCAACCTCGTCCGCCCCCCACGTCAGAACTTTTTGCAACAACTCGGGTACATAAGATTGAATGCCCTGCATCTGCTGCGCCTGGAAGTACTTCCCAATGTCCTTCTGCTTCTTCTCCAGCGGCCACGGACTAATGGGCACTTTGACAATCTTGCACGTCACATCCTCGAACCCCTCCTTACTCAATATATCTGCCCACTCGTCCATATTTGCCATCGGCTTTCCGAATTTGGCACTGGCTTCTTGTATCAATGAGCACATTTTTGTGGTATATGGTGCTCGGTCGAGGGACTCGTCGTCGGCGTATACCTCCACGCGGAAGCTCTGCATCTCGAAGTATCCACCCGGTTTTAGATGTCGGAAGGCTTGTCCGAAGAGTTTGTCGAAGTGGCTGACAGCCCCTGCTAGTTCGCGACCGTGGATGTAGTCGAAGGGCCGGGAATAGACCCAGTCTGCTTCATAGTCGTCGACTTCGAATTGGAGGTTTGGGGGGACCCTTCAGGCTCGTTACGGAGTTAAGGTTGGCTATCTTGACACTGAACAACACAAACGAGGCAATCCTTACCAGGTCGGTTGGATGGGACTCAGATCGTTTCCTATGCTAGTCAATCAATAATTCCTAACAAGCAGACAGCAGCATACCTAGTACTTCGGCAGATTTATACTGACTATAATCCGGATGGTATGAGCGAAATGCAACCCAAGAAAGGTTCCAGAAGCATCAATACGCACTCAGCAAAGTCCATCGCCCAGATCCCAGTCCCCGTTCCCAAATCGAGGACTCGCTCTGGGTGGGACTTGATCGGCGCCATGTGCAGCTCGCCATCGAGGATCAGGGCGTATATATGATGGAGGAGGTCCATGCGGTCCTGCTCCTCCTCGTCGTTTGGCTGAACCTTTCTAAGCCATCTTGCCTGCTTCGAGGATGCGGATGCGACTCATATACCATTAAATATGCGCCTGAGCGATAGGCGTGATATCTTCGACCATTCTGCGCTCATTTATCTTTCGTACCGGAGATCAAGAGTGACTTGGCTTGCGAGTCTTACCTTGTACCTGTGGACGCTGTGGTTAGTGCCTTTCTGAAGATACATGCGTGATGAAGATTGGAATGAGGATACACCTACTCGTAATTCAGAACACTTGACGCCAACGTAGCTACATCTAGCGATGCCTCATCCGCCGAGGCCCAGTCGCTATCTGAAGCTGGGGGCGAATCCTGCGAAGCGACACCTTAAAGTTAATATGGACACAGATTCACGAAGCTACGGGGATTCACCTCGATATCGCCAACCATGAGGGGCTTGAATCAATATACCACAAACCGAAGCGTTGCCCACTATACAGAGAACAGCCGTAGGACAATCGAGTGTAGGAGGTGGGGGGGATGACCCTGTCCATTCACAGGGACTCTGGAATGAACATACGATCCCGGACAAAAGTACGGCTTTCGAATCCCGACGCAAGACAAACGGGATCTGCTCTACATTCACAAACAAAGAGATCCAACAAACGTTATTCGCTGACGTCGCTTCCGCAAACCAGCGTTCGTGGAGCCCTATAACTGCTAGGCAATCCTAACCCTGTCACAACGGCTATATGCAAGGTAGAATGTCCAATCAGTTCTCTCCCTTGCTTGGATAATATGAGTAATTAGGCCTTTTTACCCCTTTGGCCTGTATTTGGCCTCTGTCGATTGGTGTTCGGGTATAACGGTGCTCCGTTTAGGGCAGGGTTTCCTGCTTGATGGGCTGGAATAGCGGGGCGGTCATGGCGTGGTTTCTTTTGGCCGTTGTAGGGCTTTTCTTGGTGTCGTGCTTCTGTCAGCAATCGCTATGTTGGCCATTAGAACATGTCTGTGGAAGTTCAAACGTCACTCTCAGTTTACAGGTTCTCTGCTGCCTTGATATATGTCTGCATAAATACATATCTCGTCGTCCAGTATGGTTGTTGGTGAAGGCCCTTTGAGTATGGGCCCTGATCCTCCTTCATCCCGACAAACACCTATCTCTATCTGTAGTGTGCTAGATACCAATAAGAATATGTATACACAAATCTCCATGGAGACCACAAACACACTTAATTGACCACACAGCAAGCAAGTTAACCTTCCTACCTGCGACATCCAGAGTCACGCCAATAGCAAAATCTCATATCATCCGAGCCAGAAGGGGATAACCGTCGATTATATATCACCTTCGCCGACCTGTCTTGCCATCTCGCCGAATTACGTATGACAAATCGACATATTTGTTCATTTTTATAAAAAGAATTATCATATCACCAAAGTTCTGGACGCCAAAAGTATGAAATCCATAACCTGCATAATATATAGTTATGCATGCACAATATATCTGACTAATCTGCACAACACCGCCTTCCAACCATCCCCGATAAGCATACAATCAATCATCAACCATTCTTCAACTTCGTCCTCAGCCACCACTGGCTTACAGACTGGTCTCCAACCGGAGCGCCAGCGAACAAATTCCAAACGAGCCCATACAAACAACCACCCCAAGTTTTAACCCCATCATACCACCCCCAATCACCCAAAATGCAGGGCTTCAGTAAGATCACACCCCCACCGCACACCCACTCAGCAAACAGAAAACTAACCCAACAATCTAGACATGGGACGGTATGTCCCCCCAGACCAAGAAGGTGTAATGAGCGGCAACCAGCTCGCCAAAAAACATCCCTTCGGTTCGCGCGCCCGCCACCTCCACACGACCGGTGCCCTGACCGTGCGCTTCGAGATGCCCTTCGCCGTCTGGTGCACGACATGCAAACCCCACGAGACGATCATCGGCCAAGGAGTGCGCTTTAATGCCGAGAAGAAGAAGATTGGGAACTACCACACCACCCCGATTTACAGTTTCCGGATGAGGCACCCCGCGTGCGGGGGGTGGATTGAGATTCGCACGGATCCGAAGAATACGGCGTATGTGGTTGCAGAGGGGGGTAGGAAGAGGGATACCGGAGAGGATAAGAGGGTGGGTGGGGCTGGGGAGATTGTGGTGAAGTTGCCTGGGGAGAAGGGGGACGAGGTTGTTGATCCATTTGCGCGGTTGGAGGGGAAGGTCGAAGATAAGAAGGTGGTTGATGAGGGGCGGACGAGGATTTTGGCGTTGCAGGAGCGCCAGGCGAGGGATTGGGTTGATCCGTATGAGATGTCGAGGCGGCTGAGGAAGACGTTTCGGGCGGAGAGGAAGGTCTTGGAAAGTGCCGAGGCCAACAGGGAGGCGTTGAAGGATAAGATGAGCTTGGGAATTGAGATTGTTGATGAGACAGAGGAAGATCGTTTGCGGGCTGGTTTGGTCGACTTCGGTCCCGGCGGTGATACTACTGCTGCACGCACCCGGCCGATGTTTGAGTCTAGGGGTGTTTTAACGAAGAAGCCTCCTGGTGCATCAGCTGGAAAGACCAAAGACGGGAAGCGGAAGAAGGCGGCGGACGTCGTCGAAGAACGCAAAGCGATTTTTCGCAGCGAGTTAACTGGGAATACTCGCGCCATCGTTGATCCTTTTCTTAGCCATGAGGGAAGCCTGTGGCAGCCGGAGGTTAAACGCCGTAAAACTGCACCGAATAAGGCGGATACAAACAAGACAGACAACCAGAATACAAGCAGTACGGCCAGTGAGGATCAAGCATCTTCTGCATCGAACGAGCATTCAACCGAAGTGACTGAAACTGCCAGCAAGACACCAGAACCGCCGACTGCTTTGGTGGCTTATGCTTCGGATTCAGAGTAGTTGTGTCCTTACTGGGTTTTTTCATAGTTGGCGTTCGGTTATAAAAAATGATACCCCATCGCATTGGAGTTTTTTATTTACATTGCCATGGAAGCAAAATGCTATACATCATGTACATTATCTCAAATGTCATTGGACTATGTATACTTAAAGAATAAGGGAATATATTTTATATCATAGAGAAGAAGTAGCAGCAACTTTTCGCCACCATATGTCATCATGCTATCTTGCCCAAGGAGCTTTTGTAGTAATATCATTGGCATCACCAGTAGGGGCCTGCCCAGCTGGTTGCGAACTCACCCAGGGAGCTCTAGTAGGAGCCATAGGACCTGGAGGAAGTCTGGGGGTATCGGGAAGTGCTGATGGTATTCTGGACGTAGCAGATGAACCTCCGCCAGCTCTTGCAGTCGCCCACGGCGCCGCAGTTCCGGTTGATGGCGGTGGAACACTCTGAGATGCGGTAGCCCAAGGAGCTTTCGTTCCCGGGCCCGGGTCTTGTCGTGCAGTTGGAGGTGCCTGTCGTGGCCGAGTTTCTGGTCCGGATGAGGTATGAATTCTGGGCGGTGGAGGAATAGCGCTGGGGTCACGGTCCCAACTGAACAGGGAGCCAAAGCGGAAGTGTTGGACAACCGGGAACTTGGAAAGCACTTCGGCGTTGTACATTTTGATCATACCCTGCAAGTATCATTAGTCGGTGAACACGGAAAGTGACATATTGGTCTGACCTTGTTGATCTTGGCCCAGCCAGCCGGGACACCGGAGATATTATATAGCATTTGGCTGTGCTCCCAGAATGGTCCTTTCTTCACATCATATATAAAGCCGATGGCGGAGAAATACATGTTGACGCTCCGTTCTTTCTCTACAATATTCGCTTTCGTGACACCGTCAGGGTTTACTGCATCTGGTAGAGAGCCCGTCTCCGGCACTAGGTCCGAGTCTGATATAGCTGGACCCAGCTGTGCTGAGCCAAAAATGTAAGGAATGAAAGAATGATCATCCAGACCCCAGACGCCATGAGAGCCAGCGGGTTCCAACTTGAACTTTTTGATGATGGCCCGTATAAGTTCCAGGTACCTAGGCCGCTTGTAAGTTGGTCATAATCTGAACTAGCATAGGGGAGATAGACGCACGGTTCTATTACTCCCAGAACAATTGTTCTCTCCTCCACTCCGGGAATATTCTTTGGAAATCCATTCAGTTTCCAGATCGCTCCGAGAAATGTTAGAAAGCTTAGTTCGTGTCCAGTTCCATAATCCATTCGCTCACGACTGCCCCAGCTCCCGAGGAAGTATTCCGTCAGCTCCACCTCTGCTGTTGGGCCGTCTGGGTCCGACGACCGGGCGTGCAGAATTTCCGCCGGCAGACACTCTGCCAGAAGACTCGGGGTCTCTTTTTTCACTTTGTCATGCCAAACTTGGAACGCACCGTTTGCATACCGCCACTCGCCGGGCATCAGAGGCGTAGCATCCAACAAATCTTCGATCTTCGACAAGAGCTGTTGCAGCTGGCGGACAGGGGCAGAGAACTCGACACCTTCGGCGTTCAAAGGCCACGTCTGTACCCGTCCATCCGGTAACTTAGCGGGGAACATTGATCGGTTCAGTTGCAAAAGGAATGTCATAATATCCACATAAGCTTTGGAGCATAAAAACTCGGAGACATCATCCGTCTCGTTAATCCTCTTGCTGGGTTCGAGGAACTTATGCCCCTCCGAGGGGTCGATGGTGGGCAGCACACGAGCTGACAACCCATCTGCGGCCATTGTAGCTTATTGATGGCAATATAAGTTGAAGATTAATTTCGTTGAGCGTTAATTCCGAGTGTATCCGTGCGACTATGTTTAGGTGACCAGCATCAATCAGGCTGGCGGTACATTGGCCGAACGGGTTGTTCTATCGGTGATGACGAAATTTATCCGAGTTAGTGTTAGTGCTCGGCACCTGATTTATTTATCGGATCTTATCAGATTTATTGAAATTCATTCAAATTACTAGTAACGATTAAATTTATGGAATACTATCTTATAAAGGAGGAAACCCCTTAATACAATTTGCCCCTACGCGGCCGACCATGAATCCGCAGCCTTAAGAGCAATTGTAACCAGTGAATTCACTCGCTTACTATTCCCTTGTCTCGCCTTAGAATGTCATTGTTTACTTTTTTTATTGTCTATGATTTCTCTCCCCGCTTATGTTTTTCTTTTAGGTAAAGTATTCGAGGTAAGTAGGCTTCTGACTTGTTTCCCTTCGCAAACGATGCCCAAGATCATCCACTGTAAGCCCTAAAAGATCCATCAAGCCATCCAGGCCTCCGTCTCCCTCCCATGTTGCGAGATCAGGATTTCCACCCAAGTCCATCAATGCAGCACCGTTGCTAAGCAGCAGTTTCACTACTGCCTCATGTCTGTACTCTAATGCCAATAGCAGTGGTGTCCGGCCGTACTTAGTGTCCATTGAATCAATCGCAGCACCTTTTTCAATCAGCAACCGTGCAATTGTCTCCCGTCCATGGTGTCCAGCCATATGTAGCATCCACGGTATCCACCGCAGCACCGTTGTCAATTAATACTCTTGCTATTGCCTCATGATCTTCCGCTATGGCCCATAGCAGCGGGGTGCGGCCATATTTATGGTCTAGGGAATCCACAGCAGCATTGTTCGCCAGAAGTAATTTGGCTATATGTTCGAATCCACTTAGTGCGGCGTATAGCAAAGGAGTCCGGCCGTACGGGTCCATCGAATCCACTTCAACACCACTTTCAAGAAGTAATTTCACTATTCTGTCGAACCCGCCATGAGCGGCGATTAAGAGTGGCGTTTCCCCAAAATTATTCTTGGTATCCATTGGTACGCCTTTCCCCAGGAGTAGTCTCACGGCCGCCTCACATTCATACTCCACCGCATATGACAGCGGTGTATTTTTGTTCTCATCATTCACGTCCACTGCGGCGCCGTGTTGTATCAGCAGCTCTGCTATCCATTCATGTTTGGACTCAAGAGCGAGCAAAAGAGGTGTCATGCCGTTCAAAGCTTGAGGGTCTACTGAAACGCCTTTTTCGATCAGTAGTTTCACTATCAGCTTATGTCCAAGTTTTGCGGCCCAAGATAATGGCGTATAACCTATTATATCCCTCGAGTCAATATCACTCGCCACTGTCAGATGTAGCATGATGCTGTGTATGCCAAAGAAAGCAGCTATATGAGCTGAGCTGACTACACTATGCAGCTCTTGCTCTTTGTGACGACCTGTGTACATTTCCCTGTACAGTAGGAGCAAACTTGTATCATGGATCACCTTTGCAGTGCCGAGGTATTCTTTTGCGAGCTCTAAAGGTGTGTCTGGTAAGTGCTCACTCCTTCGAAGGTGGTGGCCCCATTTAGTCGCGGCATAGGCCAGAAGCGTGACATCCATATAGTCATCCGCAATCCCAGCCGGGAAATTTAGAAATGTAAGACATGTACGCGCAATTTGACTGTGCCACTCTCCTTTGCTAAACCCGAACATCTTGCTTTGTTGATTGAGATATTCTTGGAAAGAATAATGGACCAAGCGCACAGTATGGGTTTCTTGGTCAATTACCACTAGTCCATGGCAGCAGCTTAAAAGCGTACTTCTGACTGGTATGCCTCTTGGGTTAAAGGTCTTATCACCATCTTCAATCGCGAGGGAACATAGAAGTTCATTCACGCTGATAGGTCGTTCTGCTAAATAAACCCAAGCAATAATCATTTTTGCCTTCGCAGAATGTGCAATAGGTTGTTGTTCTATTCGAGCTACAGTACCAGAGAAGGCATCGCTAAGATTGGATGGCAACGTTTTTAGAGCTTCCTCGCGACGACGCATAGTTGCGGCCTGAAGAACAGCGTGCACTTGCATTACGGGCAACAGAAATCTGATCAGATATCATCAGTACTGCAAGAAGTCATAAAGCCAGGCTCACTTACATTCCCTTAGCTGATGCGAGGACTTTACTGTGGATCTCAAGTCTTAACTCCTCGTCCATTGCATCGGGCTCGATGTCGTTGGGCCCACCGATCTCACGATCAATGAATTGTCGAATATCACCTTCATGTGCTTCAATGGGTATCTCTTGACTCTGCTTGAGGTAATTTTGAACAGTTTGCCGGATATGGGGACGACCGGTAATGAACAATTGCAGAGAAGGTCTACCCTGTAAACACGCTAAAAGAGTTCCCTGATCCTTCATTTCATCCAGTGCATCAATACAGATATAAACTTTGTTAAACTGCTTGCAGGCTACGTCTAAGAATGCCTGCGCACTCAGCAAGCTCAGTGGTGCCTCTTGCTTTTCCTCTTTCTCGTGTAGTTCCAGGAGAGCTTGGGGAATCTCCGGCAAGAGCATTAATAGCTGCTTTATGATGACCCCAAGTATATTCTCTGTAGTCTGGACTTTATGGTCACGATAATCACCGTATAAATATGCTATTCCAGTAGTCGACTTGGGAGTTATCGACTCCCTTATTCTGTCAATCACGACAGAGCTGTTCCGGATTGTCAACTAACGGAATCAACACCTCACTGTAACTGTTCATTACTCACGATATAATTGTTTTGCCAGCCCCCGGATTACCAAAGCAGCACAGGGCCTGGGAGCTGGGGCTGTTGCCGGACCAATCCAAGAATCTAGCATCCTCAAGAATCCATACACTGGTGCCTTCCACTCGCACTCTTTGATTCTCGGAATGCCTAGCAGACGGGCTGAGGGGAGATAGCCACCTGAACAAATCTTTCTGTTCTCGGTCTCGGGCGATGCTCTTGACGATCGTTTTAATCTCCGAAACTAGATAGACAGATTAGCAAGGTTGATACGAAGAAATTATGAAAAAAGGCACTTTAAAGACAAGTGAAGGTATCCTTCATCGGAGTAAGGATGAGCGGCTACTTCATAATGTTGACCAAGATTGTGTATGAGTGATCCACAGCAAGACATGGAAGAGTTGCAACTCACGGTTATCCATAACAATACTGCGGGCTTCTGGTGTGTTTTGGATGTCCGAGGAGTCAGTAGCCTGAAGGAGCTCTTTGGCATATGCAGCAGCAGTAGCCGCAGCATACTTCTGCCATCGATCGTTTTTATGGGTATCACAGTAGTCACATATTCCACGAACGACAAGACATGGGAATTGGTTCATCAACCCTGCGGCTTCCATTTCAAAGCAAAGGCAGTTCTTTGCCAACAAGTCACGCACCTTCGCATCTTTTATGACCTTATTACCTGATGCGATAGTGCCATAGTGGATACAAGGATCTTGGACCAGCCTTTCAGGTCGTTCGATTACTTTCTCAGGATCACACGCACCACAATCTTTTGCGCCATTCTCATGTATACAATCAGAGTAGAACAACCGATCATAATGTGCACCCTGGTGAATATATGCTGGTCCTCTGCGTGAATCTGCCATTGCTGGATAAGCTGTGTACATGGACTCCAGTATGTCGGGTATGGACGTTCCTCCCATCATTTCATGGTTGCTTTGAAGCTCACCCATCGCATTGAGAAGGGCCTCGGGAGGGCAGTTCAGTGCACCACACTCTTCAAATCCATGCGCAGTGACCTTGCCGCAGTCATATTGTCTTACGCCTCCAAAGGCGCCAGTTGGTTGACTAACCACAACGTCGCCCAGGCGGATGTCATGATCGTCACTCGGAATACCACCACCAATGCCAACCATTAGCCCGAACTTGATACCGGGGAAAGTAGAAAGCATCTGCTTAGCAGACGTAGCCGCAGTTACAGTTCCATATCGACCGGATGGAAGGCTGGCAATAACCACGTTGTGTTCCCCATTTGGTCCATTTATGGAGCCTAGCGTATAGCTATTATGATCTTTGGCATGTTTGTGCCGTGGCGGCGCATGCACTGTATCCAGCATTGCCTTGGCAGCTGCTCTTTCATGAGGCAAGGCAGCAATCCAGCCGACGGCATACTCTGGATTGTCCAGTTGCAGTAACGAGTGACCCATCGTTATGCTTTGTATACCATAGAGTGCCACCAGGCGACGGTTGTTCGACGTGCTTGACGTCTGGATATTTTGTTGGACTACCGGACAGTAATTCAATACTTTGGCTACTGACCGAGTTCTCAATTGAGTCGGTACCCATAGCTGCGAATAACCTGCATCTTGATTTTAACTAAAAAGTTATATAATGAGTCGTGTCCGGTGCCCAATGCCTCGCACATTTTCTCTTCACCCTATCAGGCCGTTACAATAGCCGCCGGGCTCCCAGGAAACCCCACCAGATTGCTCAGCCCCGCCAGACTCCAGGCGCGGAGTGTTGCATACGACCCTTATCCAGTTTTATCTAAAAATCCCTAGGAGAACAACTTGGGGGGGTTGCCTTGGAATAGCAAAAGCCTGATACACAGCCACAAGTCGGGCTGTACGTAAGACAAGAAGCAACATCACGATCAGTCAATATAAGCGCTCAATAAAGATATCTACTAATATCTGCCAGCTCAGAACAGGCAGACTTAAAAGCCGTCGCGGCGTATGTTCGGGAAATAAGCTCTGCATTAAGCCATATATGAGCTTTAATATTATAGAGATTGTAGTTTGAGAATTTTAGGACCTATTAGCTCTAGCCCTAGACACTCGTTACACCAGCTATGTCACCCTTAGCTAAGGGAGCATCATTGCTATCAACCTGACTATTGAGGTATTCTCCTTCTGCTTACTGGGGTTACTGTCTCAATATTACAAGTGCTCTACCCCTCTTTTCTCGTCGTGTCTCGTTTGGACAGAAAGGCTGCTTTGGAGTCACCAAGTGTTCCCTTAACGGAAGGAGTGATATACATATCAACTCTCAACTCACATTCAAGCATCGTAGCTTTACGATGAACTCATCCAAGCCGACACAGGCACAATGACGACCGATTCGATTCATCCCGCTTCATTGACTATCGCATCGATTCTCGACAATACCGAAATGTGATACGCAGATCTAGACGTAGTCACCATCATTGAACAAAGACGAGGCACATCTGACTCTCCAAAATCCTCCTTCCCCTTTATACTAGTGTTTCGCGGAGGATAGCCTTTATGACCTGAAAGCTTTCGTATATTTAGACCTGAATCCTCTTCATATCTGATGTGCTTAGTATCTGTCAACCACGTTCCACAAGTCAAATGCTGTTTCTCTTGAGTATTGATCAAGATGCCTCTCAGATTCGATGAGCTGCCTATACCCGTTCTATACCTAGTCCTTGATAATGTGCCGGCTAAGCGACTTTCCCAGTAAATGTTAGTCTGTTACTAATGTACTGTAGATTCGTGCATCAGCGAGTGCTCTGTGCAGTCTGGCTTTAGTGAATCAGGCCTGCAATAATCTTGCTGCCTCATTCCTTTATCGGAATGTGGCAATCAACATCTCCTCACCACCGAAGCTCCGCGAAGATTTGGCAGAAATTGAAACAAATCCTCGTCGCAGACGATTGATAACACATGTGCGCCACCTCAAAATCTTAGGTTATATGCATTTGTTCACGCGTGAATATGATTCTGTAAAGATCTCTGTCGAAGATGAGAAGCTAAGAGAATATGATGCTGCAGCCAGTGAATACTTCGGAGAGGATCTGCGCGATGGGTCGGAAGAGGATATTTCTAAAGCCTGGACCCCTCTCGCCGAGATGATTCAGAAATGTCAACATCTTACAGAGTTGATCTGGATCTGTCCTAACCAGCTTCCACCATGTATATTACAGGCCGTTCAACAGTCTCATCCAGCGTGTCATCTTGACATGCGGTCGTTCCGTCTCCAAAGTCTAAGAGATGCGGCCACCAACCCACATGAGCTAGGTCTGGTTCAACCACCCTGTCTGCACAGCATCAGCATGAAAACTATCCGTAGTAACAAGGACCCAGAGCCAGGTTACAATGAACCGGCCATATTTGAGGTCGTGACTCTGGCCCCCAATATCAAGCACCTCAATGTGATTCATGTCCAGGAGCCCATATATCAGTGGATGTTGCGCGGCCACAACAGGGCGCCGTCATCATGGAAAGGATTCCTGCCACCTCCAAAGGGTTCACATAAAGGGGCTCTTGTCTCGCTTTCGTATTTCGGGTGCTTTGGTGTATCAGTGGAAGACATCGACAAATGGTCTAATTACACTGACATGTCCAAGATACGCTATCTGAGACTTGGGGGGGTGCCGGGTCATCAAGTATTCGGACGCTTAACGCAGAGTGTCAAGTACATGTCTCTTGAGCTTCTAGATCTGGAATTATATCCGGGGCGTAATACCTACAAACAGCTTGCTCATGCCCTGGAGTGTCTCCTAGAACCGTTAACCCCCCTTAAGGAGGTTACCCTTCGAGGGGACTTTCAGTTATCTATACTTGATAAACTCTTTCATCGTCACGGACCGACACTGCGAAAACTGGGCTTATACCTATACCCTAGCTTGAGCCCATCGGATCGAATTACAACGGGCGACCCAGAAGTGTTTCGTAAGATCCAGAATCAATGTCCGATTCTAGAATCGCTGAGTATTTATATGCCGATCTCCGCTGCTCACATTCTGTACCTGAAGGGGCTCCCCGCAAGATTTGGGACTTGATTGAACGACACAAGGGAGCATGTCGTTTAAACCGTCTTATCATATCCTTCCTTTTTGTTAGTCTTCCTTCCTACCATCTCACAAGGGTCAAAAGAAAAGATACAGAAAAAGGAGTAGGATATAGCCGAATGTGAGCACGTACTAACAATGGACATAGACTCTGGTTACTACTATTATTGTGTCTGAGTTTTATACTCCTCTACCGGCTACTTCTCATTTATTGCAGGCTAGAAAGTGATTTAAACAAAAATTCAAGAATTTCATGTCGCTATATTAAGATTTATGAGGGCTAGCCCAATTAAAATGCTACTTTAGTTTTATAATTTATAGTGGAAGGAGAATATACCGACTTTTTGTCTTTCCGCTTCTTGGTGTGATGGATGTGATATATAAAAACTGGCACCTGGTAGATAAAAAAACTCCCGCATCTAATAGATTCTTCATCTATTGTTAGTATAACTTTCCCAAATCAACAAAACAATCATTTCCAATGCATTTCGAGGACATCATATTACAATCCAGAGTATAAACCTTACTATACACTGATATTAAATAAGTATACGTAGTATCTAACCCTAAGGATATGGAAAGTGAAAGGGTCTAGACCTGCCAAAAACCCGCAGCGTTTGTTTTTCCGCTCACCATTAAATGTTTGTTTTATGGCCGTGGCAACAGGTCGATTGACACCAACGACCTCAGGTCGTCGTCGCTCCTCCAAACCATCCTAAATGTACTCCCCAACCAAAGATCAATCCAAATGAGCTCCCGATCAACTCCACGACGGAGAAAAGTCGTCTCGACGTCCCACGCGCTCGACCTTCTAAACAACTTAAACGCCAACAGCGTCCCCCGCGAGCCAAAGTCCAGCGCCGCCCCTACCCGCGCCCGCTCGTCTCATCGCCGCAAGATCGACGACGTACCGCTTCCCCAGAGCGATGATATCTGGGAAGTCCCCAATGACACAAATAGTGGCCGATCTGGACGCGTCCCTTCGTCGGAGCCCTTGACTCCCCGCCGATCGTCGACTCGGTTGCGGGCGAAATTGGCTATTAAAACTACTTCCTCTCGGAAGGCATCGCGTCGCGCGAAGTTGACGTCTAGTGGGAAAGAGGGGCGGGGGGAGTCGGGTCCCGAACCTGAACGTCAGTCTGGAGGGGACTCTGAGAACCATTCTGAAAAAGAAGCGGAAGGGGAATACACCGGTCCGGTTGAGGAAGACCAGCGGAGTGGTGAAAGTGACGCGAGCTATGTGGATGTTGTAGAGGATCACGGAGACAGTGGGTTTCCCCAGCCTGTGCTCGATTCGCCTCATAACGTCCCTCAGTCAAACCGACTGTCTCCTTTTGATATTCAGGAACGGGTGTCAGATCTAAGATCAGCTCTACACAGAGGAGCAGATGAGAGTGGTGATAGATCGAGAGATGAATCGCAGCATGAGCGTGAAAGTGAATATGAAACACCGCGCGATCGCTCACCAGAGCAACCAGATGAGCAACGCCCTGGTTCTGATGATGCTGTCAGTGCACATGAACACCAGAGACGCTCTCCCGCCGTCGTTGTCGTAAACCCTGTTACGGAGGTCAGGAGCTCTGTGGGCAGGGCAGAATCGCCAGCCCGTTCGCCAGAGTCCGCCAGCGGGGATACTCTACCGGAGGACATTTCAGAACATTCGCATGTGCAAGCAGAATCAGAGGGCTTGGTTGATGAAGTAGAGCCCGATGAGGCGGAGGATGAGAGCGACCGAGAAGGCCACACAAACATCGCCGTCGGGGACAAGTCTTCGGTTCGTGTTCCAACGGATGACGAGGGCAGCGTGAGAGATCGCCCCATACGATCCGGGTTATTTAGGTACGAAAGCGATTCAGAGGACCCGTCCACGCCGCCAAGCAAGAGACGTCAAACCTCGAATCAACATCCAGTCTCAGAACATCAAGGACGGAGTCGTAGACGAAGCATTGAGACGCCTCGAGCTGTCACCTCGGACTCTCACCAAGGCCAGGCCGAGCCTCTACAACCCCGTCACAGTCCAAACTGCATCGAGCAACATGCTGAGGACATGTCCGAGGATTATACGGAGGATGATTTCGACGAGGAGGAGACATGGTTGCACCAGGCGCTCAAAATGGCTGGCCAGAAGAACAACTGGGACACTCTGATGGTTCAAGCTCACCACGTGAAGAAAACAGACAACCCTTCTATGGCAGAATACTTTGACGATTTTGAGGATCTAACTTCCACATTACAAAAGAAATATATGGAGATTGTAGCTACCTAGACGCCGGACGTGGACCTCGCCACGCGACTGTGCGCGAATGCGATGAGCTCCTGAGCGCAATTCGCAGTGATGGGACCTCTTCGGTGGACTATATCGTCGAACATAAAGACGACGACCCAGAACCAGGCCGACCCAGTAGCGAAGAGACGCTGGACGAATTCGAAGCCTGTCTAGTATCGGGAATGATGGGTGTATTGCTCGGCTGTTTCGAAGCTTACTGCAAGGAAGACGGGCTCTTTCCCAAAGCCTACGAACACCTGCACCGGGTGCTAGATGTGTTTTTACGATTATGCTACAAGATCTACTGTGTAGTAGATGCGGGCTACGTGGACTCCGAGAACCGTAGCCATAGTCTGCAGCTCCCGCTCAAGAAACTCATCATTGCGCTAGAGAAGGACTTATTTAAGGGCAGCGCGCCGCAACCGGAGCCTGTACCAGCCATGTCCATCAAGCATGGGAGGAAATGGACCGATGACGAGGGGTGTGCTCTTTTAGATGGATTGCAGCGTTACCAGGGTAGGTCTATCTGGATCCACATAAGCCACAAGGGAAGCGAATGCTCACTACTTCAGGTCGGGACCGCTACGCTCGAATATTAAAACATTTCGGGGATCGGCTCCGCGGGCGGACGATCCGGGGTACGCGCGAAAAAGCGAGACAGTTGCATGACAAGCTTCTGTCAACGGTGGTCAACCCGGAGGTCCTCCAGACGGAGGAAGGACGGCAACAGTGGTACTGGCTGCTGAGTGTGCGAGAGGAGTGATGACACCTTTTTTTTTTTTTATTTTTTTTCTCTTGTCTTTCTTTTTCCAATGATGTAGGGCGGGCGTTTCATGGTTGATGTTGTATACCCCTCTGGTTTATTTTGATTTCTCTTTGAGCCTTGAGTTCCGTAAAGCAAAAACCAACGTACCCTCATTGCGGTGAACCATGGAACCACTGTTTTGGAGACGCGACCACGTCAACAATAGTTTATGACCCGTCGAGCCAATCCAAGGGCCTTGTGAGGACACAATCATGGCTAAAAGTGAACTCTGTATCCATTAAGTTCAACAACGGGTGAAATGGCTGGTCGCATGACAAAAAGGTCATCACCGCCTGAGGGATCGATTGGGCGATCCTGTGGGGATCGTCGCCTGAGGCTTTTGGCGTGGAGTGGGAGTCCCTGAGATCCTGAGGCACCCGCTCCCGCTTTCCCCCTCCTGACCTTCCTTACTGTCCCTTTTCCTGGACTACTTGAACTTACTTACTCTACTCTTTCTCCCGCATCAACTTTTTTTGGGTTCTCAACCTTCACCACTTCATTCTCACCCTTTCCCCCTCCACTTTCTTCCTTTTCTTGTACCAATTTTAATCTGTTTAATAGTATATTCTCTTTAATCCCCCTTCTGTTCTTCTCACCATCTTCGTGTGGTGTGGGTTACTTTTGTCCTTTTTTGTTTGCCTCGTCACTTTCGGGATAAAGGACAAAAACACGCGTCTGCACGGTACCGACTCAGCGAGTCCCGGTACCTTCGACTTGGTCTCCTTTCAATTGACGGTCGAGTGCATTGTTGAGTAAGTGCTTTGCTGTTTTGTTTCATCATCAGGGGAACCTCGGAAGGACTGAAAAGGAGAACCGTCCCGAGGGATCTGTTCCGCCGCTGCTTCGACCAGAATCATGGATCGTCTCTGCATGCCACATGCACATCACCTCCGCAGAAGCTGCACTGCGGGAAGCTCCTGGTTGACTCGAGCATTGCATGGGTTCATGGCCCAATCACCCAGTTTGTTGGTTGCCCACCGAGACTAACGTGGACTGTCTCAATTCGCTAGACCGCCATTGAAGACCCATCGCTTGTTCTGTACCTGAGTTCCTACCGACCCTGGAAGCAATTCCGACTCCCCGCCCACTCACAATGGCTTCTACTGAGGAACCGGTCCCGGTTGCCGCGCCCGTCGAGGTCGACTCTGAAAATGCACCCCCCGCGACCCCAATTGAGTCGACCGTCATGTCCGGCAGCGAAGGACCTCTGACCAGCCCGGACGTCTCCAAGGACAAAGAGAATACCAAGGCCTCGCCGGTCAAGAGCCGCCCAACATCAACTACGGCCACCAAACAGCCTGTCTCGGGAACAACTACAAAAAGGCCCAGCTCCATGTCTGGCCCGCCCAAGACCACGTCCACCACGCGTGCATCGATGAATGGCAGCACCTTGAGCAAGCCTCCTACCCGCCCGGCCACTACATCGACCGTCCGGAAGCCCCTGAGCACGTCCACGACGGCCTCGCACCGATCCCGTGCCTCGATCAGTAGCTCCGCCGATGAGAAATCCCGAGGGGCTGTGAGCTCTTCCGATGAGAGGCGGGGGATCTCCGGGACGGCGAAGCGTATGTCTCTCGTCGGGACCCCGACCACCCGGGCACCCAGGCCGAGCTCCATTCACGACCGGCGGTCGAGCATTGCAAGCACCACCACAGCCGAGAAGAGGAGCTCTGTGTCCTCAGTGTCACGTACCAGCACCGCTTCGGCGAGGACCGCGACGAAGCCTACGACTACGTCGACCGTTCGCCCTTCGAGTTCCTCCACGAGTGCTACGCGGCCCGTCACCCGGCCCTCGACGGCCACCCGGCCCATGTCCACTGCTACGAAGAGGTTGAGCACCGTGACTAAGACCTCGGAGGAGGACGCAGAAAAGTTGAACGCTCTCCAGAGTAAGCTGTCCGAAAGTGAGACGACCGTGACGAGCCTCAAAGCCGAGCTAGACGCAGTGAATGAGAAGCTGGCCCAGCTGTCGGTGTCTCAAGCTGAGGATAGCTCCAAGGACCAGGAAGAGGCTCTTAAGACCCTTCGGGAACAGCACACAGCCGAGCTCGAACGGTTGGCCGCGGACCATGCGGAGCAATTGCAAGCCTTGCGGGTCCAGTTGGAAGAGGCCGAGGCGACGCGGAAAGAGCTGGAAGAGAAATCTCTGAAGGATCTGGATGAGGCGGCCAAGTCCGCCTCTGCTCAGGGAGATGACCAGACTGCAGCGGCCTTGGAGGAGCTGAAGGAGTCCCACCAGGCGCAACTGGATGCCCTGGAGAAGGAACTCGCGGAACAGAAAGCTTCTACCGCTGCATATGCAGAGCAGATCGAATCTCTGAAGGCGGAATTGGAGTCGCAGAAAACCAACCTGGAAAAGGTCACCAAAGAACTCCAGGAGGAGAAGGCCTTGGCTCTGGATAGCCTCGAACGGGAACTCAACGGCCGTGATCAAGTGATCGCCAATCTCAACATCGAGATGGAAAAGTTGAATCAAGCCAAGGAACAGGGAGTTCGTGCGGCGGAGGAGTCTGCCAAACAGACGGTTTCCACCCTCGAGGAACAGGTTGCTTCTCTGACTGCCAAGCTGGCCGAGGCGGAGTCGGCTGCGAAGGGTAGTGAGGAGACACCTGAAGTTGTCGCTGAAAAGGTCCAGGAAATCGCAGAGCTGAAGGAGGCTATGAAGAAGATGGAGGCCGAATTCCTGGAGGCACGCGAGTCCGCGGCGAATGCACGGGATGAGAAGATCAAGGAGTTGGAAGCGACTCATGAAGCTGCCGTCGCGAAACTCAAGGCGGAGCATGAGGAAGCCCTGTCCTCTGCATCCACAACCCATGCCCAAGAACTCGCGGTTGCCAAGGAAGCCGTCGAATCGGCCGGTACCACTCATTCCCAGCAGCTCCAGGAACTCCGGGATGCACTGGAGGCCGCCGAAGCTGCGGCAAAGAAGGGTCAGGAAGAAGCTGTCAGCGAACGGGATGCCGCCCACCAGGCGGAGCTGCAAGCCCTCCAGCAAAAGCTGGAAGCGGCAGAGCAGGCTCTCAGCGAAGCACGACAGGCCGCGGAGGAGGGTGCTAACTCCGCCCAGGCTGTTGCGGTCCAAGAAATTGAGGAGCTGAAAGAGAAGGTTGGCGCGCTAGAGTCCCAGTTATCGACCGAACAAGACGCAATCAAGTCTCTCCATGATGAGGTTCACAGCAAGCGGCAAGAGGCCGAGGCGCTGCAGCAAAGCCTCGTTGAATTCGAGAGTAAAACCAAGGCCAAGGATGCCGAGCAGGAAAGCCAGCTCAGAGCGCTCGAGGAGAAGGCTGCCGCAGCTGAGAAGGCGCTTGCGGAGAAGGCTGCCGCAGCTGACAAAGCGCTTGAGGAGCACCTGAAGGAAGCCTCTGCAAATGCTGACAAGCACTCCCAGGCCCTCGAGGAGAAGGCCGCTATGGCCGAGAAAGCACTGGAGGAGCACCTCAAGGAGTCAGCGGCCACTGCCGACAAACACTCCCAGGCCCTCGAAGAGTTGAAGGCGCAGCACGCTGCTGAGCTGGAGAAGGCCAAGGCGGACGCCGCTGGGTCCCATGAAGACGCTCTCAGTGAAGTCCAGGCCAAGCTCGATGCACTGACATCTACGAACCGCGAGCTAGAGACCAGCCACGCACAGAAGATCGAGACTCTCGAGACGGAGCTCAAGGCCGCCCTTGAACGCCACGCTGGCGAGCTTGCCTCCCACACCGAGTCTCACGAAAAGGAGCTGGCTGGTGTCCAGAAGGAGTACAGCGAGACCAAGGCTCAGCTGCACAACGAGCTGGAAGCTCTTCGGGAGTCTAAGGCTGCAGAGACCGAGGCCGAGCACAGCAAGGCAATTGAAGAACTCCTCACTGTCCATGAAGAGAAGCTCTCTGGCGTCCGCGCTGATCTGGAATCCTCCAACAAGGCTAAGGTTGAGGAGCTTCAGAAGTCACACGAGGCGGCTCTTGCAGAGGTTCATGAACAGCTTTCCCACGCGCAGGCCGCTGCCCAGGATAGCTCTGTCTTGGATGCTTTGAAGGCCACCATTGCGGACATGGAGAAGAAGCTGTCTGCTGCTGAACAGTCCGTTGTGGAGTCCAAAGAGATCTCCAGCAAGCAGGGTGCTGAGCTTTCCAAGATCGAGGCCGAGAAGAATGAGTGGGAACAGAAGCATCAGGCCGTGAGCAGCCGGGCGAAGGAGCTTGAAGAACTTGTGGCGGCTTCTGCCAGCTCCAAGTCGGAAGCCGAGACCGTGCAGCAGCAGCTGTCTGCGACTCAGGAGGAGCTGTCGCAGCTCAAGAGCAAGCAGGAAGCTATCCATATTGAACTCGACGAGCTGAGGACGCAGAACCGGGCGATGGACGAGAAGCTCGTGCAAGGCGAGAGGGACCTGAACGATCAGATTGACAAGAACATGTCGCTGCTCAACCAGTTGGGCGAGGTCGATTCGGCGATCTCGGGCAGCCGCAAGCGCATTCGTGAGCTCGAGGCTGAAGTAGCGGTCCTGAAGGCCGAGGGCAAGGGCGCAGGGCTTGAGAGCAGCCGGTGGGCGGCCGAAGGCGAGAAGGCCCCTGCTGGAGGAAATGCAGGTCCGGCCACAGCGGAAGGTGAGGACCTTGGTTCATCCATTGAGGGAACGGTGGGACCTCCCCGTTTATCATCGACCTACCCTTCAGAAATCCCCGACTGTCACCCCTTCACGTAACATCACATGGTCCGTTCCCTCGGCAGGCAGGAGTACTAATTGGACGGTTCTTGCAGATAGCAAGCATTCAGGAACAGCTTAAGCACATCCGCACAGCCAACGATGACTGGTATGACGAGCACCAACGGTGGGTTGACCTTCTGGAGCTTTTGAGGGTTTACCTAACACAGAATACAGACTCATTCGGGAGCTTGCCTCGGTGTCGCAACGCGCAACCCCAGATCGGAGCCCCGCGATGACTCCACAGCCGGAAAGGTCAAGCAGCAGTTCGGATGACAACCAGGCTGGTGAGGGAGCGTCGAGGTAATCGCCCATGGTCATCGGTTGGTGACGAGGTTACGCATGACCTCGACGTATCTTTCCTTTGTATCTGATTGGATTGTCGGTTCTTCTTGTATTAACTATGCCGTTGTATGTAATAAGAGCTCAGGATACCCCTGTTTAGCCTCGCTGTGTTCGCCGCTCCTGCAGATTTATTTTGGTGTGGACTGGACCCCGACTGGAACTGGACAGCGGACGATGCGTTGTTCAGCGACTCCACGAGTTGGTCTTGGGCCGCAATATTTTCTTATCTCTTTTTCTTTGTCATTATCTTTCTTATGTGTGCAGTCATGGGTCACCGATTAATGCAGTGTACTATATCGGACACGTCTACCGTGTCAAGAGAAGAAAGAAAGAAAAAAAAAACGGAAGAACCAGGATGATATTTTTTTTTATTTGATTCACGTACTGCTGACATTCATCCTATCCATGGGTATCAATTGTGACACATTGTAGTAAAACAGAGAGAGAAAAAAAAAAAAAAGACTAAGGAATGGAACAGGTATTACATGTCGTATCTCACCGAGACCGCCGCAACGAAACCCAGAGTGCTCGCACCGGTCCCCAGAAACCTCTCTGCGCCTTCTGCTTCTGCTTCAACTCGTCACTCTTCTCCTTCTCCAGCCGATTCGTCTCCGCATACCGGGCCGGGGTCAGGATACGACGTGGCGGCGAGACAGATCGCCCCGCCGTCAAGGGGCTATACCCATAGTGTCCGATCGGCGTAAATCGCAACAGCTGGTCGGCCGGAACACTTTCCGAGCTCTCGTATCGTCCCAGTCGATCCTCTTGGTTCTGGAGAAACGTGTACGTCCCCCTCGTGTTCGTGGTCTTGCCCGGTTCCCCACCCCGATCTGCGTATGGATGGCCATAGCTCTCCTCCCCCTCGTGCCTCCCAGAACGTGGTCCCCCGAATTCATGATTTGGGGGGTCTTGGTGATCGAAATCGGAGAATAGATTCTCGTCATACTTCTTCTGTCCATGATCAGGACCATGCTCATGTCCTGATCCATGACCATGCACGGGTCCATGTCCATGTCCAGAATCATGTTCACCATAAGACCCATAACCATACTCAGGGTCATCATATCTATACTCATAACCATGAGTATTTCCCTGAGGATTCCCATGAGAATGAGAACCGCCGCCCCCGGTCCTCCCCTCACTAAACGCCCAACACCAAGCCGCATAATCATCCTCCGTCGTTCTGCCCCCCTCCTCCTCCCCCTCTTCCTCAGACAGACTTCTCCCCTCATTAAGTTCCCCAGCATGATTGGGCAGCCTCTGTCGAGACATCTTCCTGGATACCCATCGTGTCAGACTGGTTAGTGTTGGGCGCCGGGTGAGTGCGTTATTACTGTGATGACTGTGATTATTGATGCTAGTGTCAAGCTTCGAGGTGAGGGAGTTGGTCGAGATGGAGGTCGTGAAACTGGATGTTGATGTGCTGTTGTTGCTGTTGATGGTGTCGTTGGGGAGGAGCTTTATAGGGGGCATTTTGTTTTTGGGCTTCCGTCTGGCGTTGGCATGTATTTGTTTGGTCTTCTTTTTTTTTTTTTTTTTTTAAGGGATTGGGTTGGTTGAGTTGGGTGTTAGTGGTCGTGGTGTTGGTTTGGTGGTTTGCTATAGTGGGCTGTGTTGTTGTATAAGTAGCAATTGGTTCGATTTATTTGGTATAAGTATCAGTGTAGATATAGGTAGTAGAGGGAGAGGTGGAGGTCGAGGGTAGACAAATGGAAAAATGCAAGGACACCATGTCTCGTTTCCCAGGCGAAGACGACGGGAATATAAACTAGGTGAATACGTCCAGTCTCAGACATGCATTGGCTAGTGGAAGTAAGGTAGTAGTAGTAGTAGGAGTTAAGACCAGATATGAGCAAGGCCAGATGAGGAAGACCAACGCCCAGATAAGAGTTCCTCCGGAAAGAAAAACGAAACGAGAATGCAATAAAATAAAATAAGATACTATAATATAACATAATACAATACGATAAACTATAATACAAACCGTCTTCACCGTCACCGCTAGAAAAGGACCGGGTCTTGCCCCAATTCGGCGCGCAAACTATGACTAGTATAGTTTCTTGATACCAGAACCACATGCATCTGAGATGTTAGATTGGCAGCCAAGGGATGCATGCCGAGGCTGTTGGTCGTACATTGGCGCCGTGGATTCTTTTCTGGCGCGGTCAGCCGACGAACAGAGTGAGTTTGAACGAGGGTCGGACGATGTGAGACAGGGTATTATGATTGATTGATTGATTGGGTATACATATAAGATGGTCTAGTATGGTGAGTGAGTGAGTGAGCTAGTCTAGTACAGGATCTATCGCAGGTTGCAGGTTTAGCCCGAGACGCCATCCCGGCCCAACCCCCATCGACCGACTTCGCGCATGGCTTCGTCGCCGCCTTCCGCCAGTCGCCCGTTGGCGTTGGCGGCATTGGCGCTTCCCAACACGCCGGCCACGCAGTCCCACCCGTTGCGGCCACCGCCCCAGCGGACGCACTTCGTTCTTGTAGCGCTCGCCCGCCTCGCGGTCCACAGCCGCCTTACCGGCCTGGAAGACATCCTCCCAGAGCTTGTTGGCGATCGCCCGATCGAAGATATAACTGTAATAGGTCGCGCCGTAGCCGTAGAGATGGCCGAAGAACCCCTGCCACGACGTGGGCGGCCGGCTGTCCGTCGGATCGGGCAGGGTCGAGTGGGCCGACGAGACCTGGTGGTAGATTGCCGTGCTGTCAATCTGGCCGGCTTTGTCGGCCGGGATCGAGTGGTAGGCCTGGTCCACCAGCGCCATGAGGATCTGGGCCTCGTTCTCCACGGCGCCGTAGATCGAACCGTGGGCCAGGCGATCCTTCTCCATGCTCAACATCATACTCTCGGACAGCGGTTGGTCGGTCTGCCAATGGCGGGCGTACATGGAGAGCACCGCGGGTTCGGTAGCAAACCGCTCCATGAGAACCGACGGTAATTCGGCGAAATCGGTCGCGCACCGCGTCCCGGAAATGGACTGCAAGCGAGTCTGTCCCAAAATGGAATGCAGCGCATGACCCATCTCGTGGAATAGCGTCCGCACACTGTGTTCGCTGAGCAACGACGGCCGCCCCGCGCCGGTCGCTGGCGGCTCCGCGAAGTCACACACCAATGCGATCGTCGGCAGCTGTCGGAGGGTCTTGGATTGCGGATCAACCGCGGTGGCCATCCCATCGTTGGGATGTGCCGAATGATCCATGGTGGCACACTCCGCCACTTCCTCGGGGGAGATCTCCCGAGCGCATCGCAGGGTGAAATGGGCCGGGTTGGGATGTTTGTTAGGCCGAGAGAACAGGTCACAGTAGATCACTGCAATATGGCGCTCGGCTTCGTCCACGACGTCCAATCGACGCACGTCTGGGTTCCACGTCTCACCTGCAGCTGTCTCCTGCGGCACGAGCCGGACACCATAAAGGCGGTCAAATAGCCGCGACAACCCTTGCATCACCGTACCCAAAGAAAAGAATTCGGGCACAGCACTGAGCTCACGCGACCGCCGGGACTGCGAATATTGCAGGACGCGTTGGTGAACATAGTAGGCATGGTCCCACGGCTGCAATGGGGACGCTCCTTTCATCGCCTGCAACTTGGACAGTTCTTCCTGAACATACTCGCGGTTGCTGCCCACCAACGCCGTCAGAAAGTTGGAAACGGCCTCGGGGCTTTTGGCCATTTTATCGCTGAGCGTCATATGGGCGAAGCTGGGGTGGCCCGACAGCTGGGCAAGCTCCGCCCGTTTGCTGAGCAGCTCCTCCAATCGGTGGAGCTGGCGCGAGCTGGAGGTTCGGGTCGCCAAATAAACTTCTCGGCGGACACCCTCGTCGTGAACGGACCGCAACGCCAGCCGTGGGATCATCCCCGTCGTCGGAACAGACGCAGTACGATTCCATCGTCTGATCTGCTGGATAAGAATCGGGTCCAGGCCCCGAAGACTATTGGCGCCTACTACCACCTGCGATTTAGCGGGCTCCGCGCTATTAACAAAGTTGGACCCTAGCTGACTGATGTCGTTCGAAAGGTTCACGAATCGCTGTCTCTCATTTGGTGGCATGTGAATCGCAGAATTGGAGAAATCCTTAATCAGGATCTGCGCCACAATTTTCTCCTCCTCCGTCCAGTGCGAAGACACATCCGGATTGCTGGCAGCCTTCTTCAGCTGATCGTTGAGCCCGGTGGTGGTATTCAGAACATTCATGTACTCGAACATTAGCGCATACGCCTGCGTAGCCGCCTCCTGCACGCGCGGGTCAGGGTGAATGACTCTGATAAAATCTGACAGGTCGATCACTCGGCAGAGCAGATCACTCAACCGGTCAAGATCCCGAGCCATGTCCCGATATTCCTCCAGCGTGGATGCAGAGAGGACTTTGGAGACGATCGCTTGACATCTCTGCAGCGAGACATTGGCAAAGGCGCGAAATCCATCGGGGCTGGTCAAGTATTGGTTCTGAACCAATCCGGTGGGCTTGGATTGGGTGGCGCTCCGTTGCGAGAACTCTCTCCAGAACGGTTGCGAATCGAACACTCGTCGAAGGGTTTCGTCATTGGTCTTCTTCTGGGTGGAATGGTTCGTGGGGGCATAATCGTATACATCCGATCGGGAGGATGGCGACGCGGCTGTTTCCAAGGATCGACGAGGCTGCTGCAGTCGCTGCAGACATGCCCGACAGGTCCATGGCCGACGCCGGAGCGGCATCAGCATGTGTCCTGCCATAGGAGCGAAGGCAGCCCAATCAATTCAACATGGATGTCGTAAAAATGAGCGTCAACCTTCAATCGTAAGCAGCGCAGAATTGACTGAAAGCAAAGTAGGCCGTAAATAGTCTGGAGAGAGGGAAAGCAGAGGGGAAATGGAGGAAAATCAAGGCGAGAGTCCGAGAGTCAAAAGAAGGGCCGGACGATGACGGAGGCACAGCCGAACGCCCGCCGAAAAAAAGTCTTGGCGTAGTCACGCTTTCCCGTGAACTTCATCAAGCCCTCAGACGACCTTCAAATCACTCCCCGTCTTGTTCTCCCGTCCATTGGCCTCGCGCAGCATGTCCTTTCGGCCGATGTTCCAGCAGGTAGACTCCCTGGCCCTTCCGTAATCTCCTGCAAGTATTCTTGTTCCGTACTGACTCGTTTTAGCGGGCTGTGGCCCCCATCGCTGCCACTCTTTTGGCTGGAGGTGTAGCCTTCTATCCCCGGCGAACCGCCTTCGCTGAGGAACCTAATGCTGTATGATCCGACTTAAGCGTCTCTAGACCAGAAGAGATCTAGTCCTTACATCCCAAGAATCTCAGTCTAATCATTACGATTCGTGCAGAGGAAACCGATTTATGATGACTTCCCTGCCGATATCCCGGAACCCACGAAGACCCTTCCTCCTGCTCCTCCCAAGTCGTCTCCATTTCCCTCCTCGTCCCCTACTCCCACAGATATCTTGACGGCTCAGGTCCGACATGCCCGTCTTTTCCTCTACGAAAACTCCCTCGCCGCTGAGAACTGCTTCAACGACTTCCTGTCCCGGGCCCTCCACATCGAGAACGCTTTCACCAACACCGTCGCCTCGCTGGCTCCGTCGCCCGAGTCCGGCGAGCGTCTCCTCCCCGGCGGCGCCTATGTCATCGTCTCTGCCATGGCCGGTTCCATCGTGTCCCGCAACCGTGGTATCTTCTTGCGCACCGCCTCGCCGCTCGCGTTCGGTACCGTGGCCGCCTGGTCCCTCCTGCCGGTGACGATGCGCAACATCTCCGACCTGGTGTGGGAGTACGAGAAGAAGGTCCCCGCTATTGCCGAGCAGCACCTCTACCTCCGTGAACGGGCTGAGCACATCTGGTCTACGGGCGTGGCACACAGCGGCATGGCGCGTTCCATGATGGAGGATAAGATCGGGGAGACTCGCAAGAAGTTGGAGGAGCTGGTTAGCAAGGGTCACTAGATTATTGCATTTTCAGTCTGTCTCTCCTCCTTTTTTCGGTTGTTTTCCTTGTAGCGGATGCCATTTGGAGCCTGTGCTGCGATTATCGGCTTGGATGGCTTAAATTCCATTGCATATGTGTACTTTAAACAGTTAGATTCAAGGACTCCCAGTTCGGCACATTCTCTTCATGTCTAAAATTCAGTGTACTAGAAAATGGTGCGCAGCACCGCCGTGAAAGGTTGACTGATATTGGAAATCCATCAATTGGTATACCATACCCCACTCGACCATCGTAACTCCGGAGACTCATGATACTCTACAAACAAGAAACTCTACGATCGGAATGCCTAGTTATCAGGTAATTCACTCCCCTACTCTGTCGCCGGCGCGGGACTTCCTGACGGTGGCGGTGACCGAACTCCTTTCGGCGGAGGAGGCAGCGGCGTTCCCTTCCGTGACGGAGCGAAATCCTGCTCTTTACTCTTCTGTTCCCCCTCGGCAAAATACTCATCAAACGCCCGGTTAGGCGAAACGGCGTATTGACGAGTCTTGCCGCGGCGCGCAGCGGGTGACGGACCAGGTGCTGGTGACCCAGAAAGACTTCGTGGCGCCTGTGATGCCAAGGGAGGCGGCGCTGTCATATTGGCTGGGACCAGAAAATGACCGCCAGCGGTTGCACCAGGTCCGACACCCTGGCTGTAGGTAGGATTCATCTGATCCAGGACAGGTGTGGAGGTGCCATCGGCGCGCGTTTCAAATACTACCTCGCCAGGGCCTTCTACCTCCTCGCCCAATCCAACCGGTAGTCTGTGCAACGCACCGTACCCTAGCTCGGCCCCTAATGCGCCCTCACCACCCCAGCCTCGGGTGGGCACCAACTCGACCTCGCGTACTACGTCGAATTCGCTGTTGTACACCCACAACACCAGTGTCCGGTCCAGGTGGTCCTCCACTAATTCTCCCAGTGCGGATTCTCCCCGTAATGTTCCACTGGGCGTTCCGATGATGTAGTCTGAGTGTGGAAGCAACCCTGCCCGGTATGCCGGACTGAGCGGTGACGGGATGTTCAGGACATGCCAGATATGTTGTGTCGAGGAAAGAGGCGCAAGCTGCAATGCGAGGCCCAACGTGGGGTTGGATGGGGGAATTGGAATAGAAACGGTGTGTGTCTTCTGGCCCTGGGCACAATAAATTTAGTCAGAATGAGATGTGATCTGGCAAGGTTTGGACAGAGCCCACCTTTGCACTCCAAACTTCAAATGTCACACTGGAGCCGGCGCAGTTACGAACTTCCGTAGCGAAGAGATTCGGGTCTGGATAGTCCTGGTCATAGTATAGTTAGTACATCGTCTTGAACCAGAGATACCGTATCTGCACACACAATCAGACGCCCATTAATGCCAACAATAAAGTCAAACCACGGCTCCAGGGGCAGTTCCGGGTCCTTGTTGCGGAGTACTTGGAAGCCAAATGCATTATCGTTGGTGGCCCGAGCCTGCTGGGCGGGTTCGCCGTCCAGATGGCCGATAAAGCGGTTCAGAACTCCGAACATGACCAGCCTTGGTGAGAATAGTTTATAAGGTGAAGTGTTTTAACCTGAGTATAACCCCGAGTTCTGGTGCTGTAAACACGATCGCATTGTGGAGAGCTGCTGCCCGGTTGCAAACCAGACAAACATACACGTTATCAACTTATCGGCATCATGATTATTTATCGCTAGTTCGTGCTTTGTAGATTTCTGTATGACAATCCAGCAGGAGTCCGAATGATGGCATGTGATTAATATATTGTACACAACTCAGGTGATATCAATTTATCGTCTTTTTGGCCTTCAACTATGTCTGCAGATCATACTACAGAGGAAGCTCCTCCGGAGGTTCACCATTACAATGATATCGGAGAAGTTCCTTGGGATATCCAGAAGTATGCGATTACTGCCAATTCACTCTAGCTTAAAATCTCTGGATACAAAGCTAACTCTGCGTAGCTATTGGGCACAGCGCTATAAAATCTTCTCCAAGTATGATGAGGGTGTATGGCTAACAGACGATGCATGGTTTGGCGTTACGCCTGAGCCGGTTGCCAAGTGAGTAGACTGTTCCTTGTCCTTGGGAGATATGGTGGACTAAGAACACGGCTACAGCAAGATAGCTGAGCATATTGCCAGCGCTGCTCCCGCGTCTCGCATGATTCTGGTTGATGCGTTTGCTGGCGCCGGCGGTAACACCATCGCCTTTGCACGATCAGGTCGCTGGAAACGGGTTTATGCTATTGAGAAGAATCCAGCTGTCTTGCAGTGCGCGAAGCACAATGCCAAGATATATGGAGTTGAGGATAAGATTACCTGGTTCGAGGGGGACAGTCTCCAGATCGTGAACAACCAACTCAAGGAGCTGGGCCCATACAGTGTTCTGTTTGCAAGCCCTCCATGGGGCGGTATGTTCTCAACTCCTTTTGCTTGTCCATAGCTTCGAAGGTGCTAACACCTACACAGGCCCTGGGTATCGCTCCGACAAAGTATTCAATATGAGCACAATGGAACCCTATTCCCTGGATGCGTTATACAGCGAATATGCTTTGTTTACGGAGCATATGGCCCTCTATCTCCCTCGGACATCGAACGTGAAGCAGCTCGCAAAACTAGTCAAGGATGGCGAAAAAGCAACAGTGATGCATTATTGTATGGAAGGCGCTAGCAAGGCGCTGTGCATCTATTACGGCGGTTTCAACCTCCAATAAACTCGGATTTTGCGCTTGATGGCTTGGCTTCAGCAATTGATAGTATTCTCATATAGAGGATCTAATCAATAAACCCGAAGAAGACACAGCTAGCCGCCCAATACGAGATTGGCATAAGGTGCGATCTTCGTAGGTCCATCAGCCTCCAGCTGGCCCTCAGAGAACTCTATCAATAAGCGCCGGCTCCAGACAAAGCTACTAGGTAGTATATGAGCTATAGCGCGGTGTACAGCAAGAAATCGCTTCAAAGATAGTTCAATGTCGAATGATGTCAATAAAGTTCGTGCCGCAGGTAGGTTCATGGGGACTATCTCGGGACGTTTCGAATTTACAGGTGCCGTGTCGGACGTGTGGAACAATTTTCGAATTTTCGGAAAGGTCCATTGAAGCTTCTCACATATTGTAGCGGTACGAGGTCTAATTGAAATAAAATAACTTACCAGTGGCAATTGAAAACTGTTGCCATTGTCAAGTTTTAGGATAATTTTACGGTGGAAAAAAGTTCGGCATAAAAATCTTAATTTGAGCAAATCTGGGTATCATAAAAAAAATCCAAGTCCCAATCATATCACCAACATCAAAGTGAAAAAGAATGGAATCAAACACCTTTCAGACCTCCTCAACACCCACCAAATCTGACCGACCGAAGTCAAGACATCAAGACAAGGTAAAGATCATCACCACTCCCTGGACAGAAGGCACTCGTACAAACTCACCGAAGCGAGTTGTTCGCAGAAACCAACTATCGAGGCGGGAGTAAACACGGCTTCACTTTAGGGCATTGAGGACATAGAAGTCATCAGCAAGGGTGGAGATTCTGTAGCTCTTTAGAAGAGTTCAGAGGTGGGACGTCTACTCTAAAGTGATTCTTTGAACTGTAGTTAAAATGTTAGCTGTCATTCTTTGCGCTGATTTTTCCTTTGGGATTCCCAAGGTAGGGGGGGGAGGAACATACGTAGAGTCGCTTAATTTTCGAAATGAATGGGAAATGGCCGGTATTTATAGGAGGCGACTGGCGCTAGTGGGAAGCGAGGTCATGTGGGTTTGCATGTATACCCGTTAATACTTGTGTATGCCCATGAGAGTATTTATTACACACGACGATAGACATGATGTACTGACCACTTCAGCTATCAATACAGTATTGTATGACTGATAATTGGAAGGCAGTGAGGAAACATTAACACAGTCTCATCTAATAAATGTGGAAGTGGTAAACTGCATAAGGCCATGAGACCATAGGACATTTTGAAAGCATGCCTTAGGCTACGAAGATCGACTCTAGTTGGTTGAAAAAATATATAGTTACTACAGATCTCACTCACAGAATCACAATAATTTCATGACCTAAACCGAAACTGGTGTAAGTATATATAATCTATTATATAAGACTTAACGACAGCCTCTTCTGTATGAATATATTACTTTGCAATTAAGATAGCCAAATTTTGCTGCAAACTATAGTAGTTGGCTAACAGAACGACCCGACCCAAGCCTTGGCCTGAGGATTCCACGATGCCTGATCCACCCGGTAAAGTTCAGCCCTTCAATTAGTCAATCACAGTTTCAGCCCCACCACAAGGTACACTCACGTGACACGCATACACTGAAAGGAAGGTGAGTCGGAGATAGTATTACTCCGTCGATAAGCTACGGCGGACCTAGCTGCTGTGCCGCGAAACCAGCTCCAACCGCCCTCCGCAATTCATTGTATCTCGCGGACACAAGAATCCTGATAGCTGGTCGGATTTTCGCGCAGTCATCATCGTTCTCGATGCGCGCTCCTTCATAGCGTCCAGTTGTCCGAGCATCGCCGACTATCGAACTGTTCCTCTCGCTCTGTTGTTATTCACAGGAAGATTTGCTCGTCTGATTATCTCGACTTGCTGCCTTCAATATGCCTCACGCCACCGACCTACCGGCACCCGATGCCGAAGATGCCGACTTCGAGAGTGTTATGCGCCAGATGAACGGGCCCCTCGCAGATGGCGGCATGTCTTTCGATTTCTTACAGCGGGACTTGGAACCTGGCGAGAAAGCAGACGACGCGGTGGACTACGAGGATTTCGATGACGATGAGCTTCCTGAAGAAGAGGAGAGAGCACAAGTCCCCGCAGAAAATGGAGAGGCAGCTATGGATGAGGACAAAGACTTGTTTGGAGCGGGAGAAGAGGATCTCTTCGGGGACCAGGGAGACGAGCCACAACCACAACCAGAAGGTGGCGATGAACTTGATGACCTCTTCGGTGAGGGACCCGCATCTCCTGTTCACGATCATGCCGATGATACCCGTGATTTGTTTGAGGAGGACGAACAGCCTCAACCTGCGCCGGAGACGGTTGAGACACCTGCTCCCGAGCCGGAACCCATGACCATGGAAGAAGACGAGGAGATTTTGGACGACGAAGACATGGGTACGGTGGCTGAGGACATGGACCCAGCGGCTCTGCGAGCATGGAAGTTACAACAAGCTCTATTTGCCATGTCGACTGTCGGTCCGGACAACCCACCCGCACCACCGGAAAACGTCGAAGAACTTCTACACTCACTGTTCCCCAAATTTGATCGCAAAACCCTTCCTCGCTTTCTCGAACTTATTCCCCACAAGAAGGCTTTCTTTCTCGGCAAGCAACCTCCGAAGCCTCCCAAACCTGTGCTCCCTAGCAAAGTCAACATCGAACTTGCTCAAGATCAGGAGAGGGCTTTTAAATCAGGTGGTCAGGTGTTTAAGCGCTCGCTGGAGTCAGAACATCTGGGAGTGGTGGCCGTTGCCGAGGCTGCGCCGGAAGAGGAAGAGGAAGAAGAGGTTAAGGAAGACTTCGACTTCGACACAGATACCGATGAGGCGCTGCCAGGGGGTGTTACGTTGAACGATCTTCGCGTCGTTTGTATGGACTGGGATGTCAAGAGCGATATTTCTATCATGGATGTTGACGAACCGATTGCCCAAGAAGAGATAGAGGATGCTGAAGATGATTGGCTCCTGGAGACTACCCGCCCAGTGAAAAAGCGCAAGCTTGGCAGAGACCCTGCGGAGTTGATCGCTTTCTCTCATATAGACGTGCCATTACTTGATGATCCCGAACGAGCAACATCGCGCATTGCCCAAAAGGTGACAGTGGACATGAATGATCCTCACATACTCCTCGACGAACGGGGACCCGAATCTGCGACACAGAAACCGAAGGCTATTGGTGCTCTTAATCGGGATGAGATGGATGTAAACGTCACTCGCCGCCTCACCTCGCGGTATAACATATCGAACGATCAAGCGTATGATATGCTGAAACAAAACCACCAGAACAAGGTCCGAAGCACCTTGGGCAATGTCACCCTCGAACACAGTATGCCGGCTCTTCGTTTGCAATGGCCGTATTACAAGACCGAGCTTGCCAAAGCGGAAGCTCGGTCATTCCATCGCCCAGCTTTGGCTTTCCGGCCCGGCCAGACTTGTTGGTTCAAAAACGCTACTTATATCAAACGCAAGCATCAAAGGGGCAAAGATGTCAAGGCTCTGTACAACTCGACCAAGGCACTGTCCCTCGCCGACAACTCCAGTGCCTTACTGGTGGAGTATTCTGAGGAGGTCCCCGTCATGCTGTCGAACTTTGGTATGTCTAATCGAATTATTAATTACTACCGCCGGAAGAATATGGACGATCCCACTCGTCCGAAAGCAGAAATCGGTGAAACAGCAGTTCTCCTCCCTCAGGATAAGAGCCCTTTCTCCATTTTTGGTCATGTTGACCCGGGTGAGATTACCCCAGCCATCTCCAACTCGATGTATCGGGCTCCACTGTTCCAGCATCAGGCCAAGCCCACGGATTTCTTAATTATACGCAGTAGCACTGGTTCCGGAGGCAGTGATTACTTTATTAGGAACATCGAAAACCTATTTGTCGCTGGGCAACAGCTCCCATCCGTGGATATTCCTGGCCCTCATTCAAGGAAGGTTACCACTGTTGCAAAGAATCGCATGAAGATGCTTGTGTATCGTCTCTTGAAGAAGAGCCCTGATCTGCGGCTTTCGATCAGCGATGTCACCGCTCACATCCCTGGCACCAGTGATATGCAGAACCGCCAGAAGGTCAAGGACTTCCTCCAACACGACAAAGATTCGAAATACTGGGTGCCATTAGAACCCGTTCCTGAGCAGGACGTAATTCGCTCGTGGGTTCAGCCCGAGGATGTATGTCTCTTGGAATCGATGCAGGTCGGCCAGCAGCATCTGCATGACACGGGATATGGCAACGATGCTGAAACAGGAGGTGACGAGGACAACGACGAAGAGACAGAGAGTTTCGAACAGCAGATGGCCCCTTGGAAGGCGACTCGCAATTTCCTCCTAGCATCTCAGGGCAAAGCTATGCTCAAACTACATGGGGAGGGTGACCCCACTGGCCGTGGCGAGGGATTTAGTTTCATCAAGACCTCCATGAAAGGAGGTTTCAAGGCCATTGGCGAGAGTGTTGAAGACAAACTAGATGCCCAGAGACTGAAAGAGCTCGGCGGTCACAGTTACAACGTCGCCAGACAACAAAAGTCATATGAGACCTCGATCCGTCGGATTTGGGATGCGCAAAAAGCTAGCCTCTCGTCGACGGTCGAGCATTCGGACGATGACAGTGACATCGACCGGGAATTAGAAGAAGAATTTAACAAGCCTACTCCAAGATCTGAAGCCCCCACTCCAGGCCCGGGCCGCCGTGATGACGAAACAACTAGCCAGTTCAGCAAAATGAGCATGCCGGATCAGAGAGGCAAGGTCTTGCGCATCGTTCGACAATTCAAGGACGACAAGGGCCAGATATATTCCAAAGAAACCATGGTTTGGGATCCTCGGGTCATCCGTCACTATATACAACATCGCCACAAGTTGGAAGCTCTAACCACCAAGTAAGTACAACCGACACGAGGACCGCAATAGCACCATCAAACTAACCACAACCCCAGACTCGAGAACCTTCAGCCAACAGGCGACCCAGAAGTAGACGCTCGCAACAAGAAACTGTACGTTATCAACATAACCCTCATCTCAACCCCAACCCTAGAAAACAAAGCAATAACTTAGAAAATACACAGCCTCGAAGCCGAACTCAGCCGCCTAAACAGAAACAAGGAGCGACGATTCGCGCGCGAGAAACAAAAAGGCGTGACCCGCACATCCGCCGGCGATTCCCCAGCCGACGGAGGCCCCGGCGGCAGCGGCAAAGGAGCAGGCACCCAACGCAAATGCGCCAACTGCGGCCAAGTCGGCCACATCAAGACCAACAAGAAGTGCGTCCCCTCTTCAATCCCCCTCTCTGCTTCTGATAGAGTCCCTCTCCCCTTCTTTGCCTCTTCTTTCACTTCCCCTGAACCCCCTTTGGCTCGTCCAAGAGCAAGGCGAAGAACAAGGACCCCGGCTACAATGCTTCAGATGCCTATTTCAAACTCCGACGGTATCAAGATGCAGATTGGCCCCTAGACGCAAAGAACCCCCCAAGGACCCGGTTTCATATCCAGGCTCATGTCAGGGTCGAAGTAGCTGAACGCTAACCTTTTTGTGACTGAATCAATAGACTTTGTCCCCTCCTCAACGGCACTATGAAACCCGAAGACCGTGTCAGCGATTCTGCCTTCGCTATGGGCGCTCCTCCCGCCATTTAAACTAGGAAGTATTCATTCTACTATGACGGATTTGGCGAGGTCACTGCTACCATGTTTTGTTTGTGATACCCTTAGCATACTTATTTTATTCGCATTATCTCTTTCTTTTGAAGACTTCGGTCTGTGATATTGGGGCTTATGACGTGACTCTCCCCGAGATTTATGATACTACATGCAATGCAGTGCCTTAGTAGAAGGTTAATAAGCATCTAGCCATTTAACCTGAGCCTATAGTTCAGGTCTTCGTACGAATTTGACATTGGGTACTGATATCTAAAAATACATGATGGCCCAGTGCTTATTTGGCACGCGCTGTTCGAATTGCCCATCGAAACATATCCACGGGCTGCAGTGTGAGATATACCTCGACTGGTTGAACATGCTACAATCCATAGATCTCAGACAGCTGCCCTCGTGATAGATAGAGTCGGCCTCTTTCGGGAGCAAAGGCCATTGCAACAGCCTTAGGTCGGCGATATGTATAGCCCACGAACGCTCCCTCCTTGCGCATTTTGAGGACAGTCTTCTGGATCCTCTTGTCCCGTAGCATCTTATCCCGCGGCCTTTTGCTATCTTTCTGTCTCTTCAACGCCTTGGCAGCAGGCTCTCTAACAATTGAAGTGTTCTCATCAGGGGTAGGCCCCTTTTGCCTTTGCCGTGACCCTGCCTGATTTTGCATGGGTTTTAGCTTGTGTCCTGTTTCTTCTGCCCCATCGCTGGAACCTTGGGCATCCGTGGCGATGGAAATCTCGTCATTGTCGACCACGCTTCCAGCATCTTCAAAATACCTTGTATCTTCCCAGCCTTTAACTTTTGGAATAAAGGGCGGACTGGACTGATGGAGCTGTTCCCATTTGATACCGCAAAAGAATGGATGCGCTTTAATATCGGCTGCATCGTTAGGGTACACATAGAAGTTTCGATAACTTCGGCTGCGGGGGTCAATACTGGCCAAGAGATGTCTCGCCATTGATCGTGAATTGCAAACATCGTTTTGCCGGTACGCATCACAAGAGAGCCGATACTCTTTCTCCTGTAGTAAGCGGTTCATGAAGTCACTTGCCTCCGGTGAGACAACTCTGTCCGTCTGCCACTCTCCTGGGAAGTGTAATGTTTGGTGGTGATGCTGCAGGAGACGTCAGTAACTTTCAAGATCTCGCCGGACACAAGCCTACATGGATCTTCCATTTCGTCGTTTCTCGATCTTTTGCAGCAAACGGGGTAAAGCCATACAAACACTAGATAGCTCGTATTGAGCACATGTGTTACAAGGTTACAAGCAAACATTTTAGGACAGGAAAACTTACTTCATACAGGATAATCCCAACACTCCACCAGTCACACCTCCCATCATACAAACTTCCCCGAATAACTTCAGGGGCCATGTATTGACTAGTACCGACTACACTCCTTGCCAGCCTTCGCATCTGATGTTTATCCCGCCATTCAAGAAGATTTACGGAAGGGGGTATGAAGGTACCCGTGTCGTCGCTGTTGTTTAACAAGGCTTGTTGGGCTTTTCTTGTTCGTTCTTCTTTCTGGTCCTCAACATCGCCATCAACTTGAATCCCTAGCCTCTTAACTAAAGAGTACCGGTGATCGTTGTAGTAAAGTTGGTCATGGGCCCAGTGCCCATCAAAAGCCAGGCCGAAGTCTGAGATTTTCAAATGTCCTGAGGCGGATATTAAGAAGTTGTCTGGTTTGACGTCTCGATGAATCCAGCAAAGCCTGTGGGCCTCCTCAATACACAGTACCATCTCTGCAACGTACCATTTGGCGATATCTTCAGGTAAAACGCATCGTCGCATTAACAGACCCAAGAAGTCCCCGCCGACCATGTAGTCCATGATGAGGTATAGATAATTGATATCCTGGAAACTTGCGATCAAAGGAACGATCCAGCGAGACTTTGCAGAGGCCACAAGAAAATCCCGTTCAGCTCGAAGGTGGCCCTCTTGGCTGTTGCGTATCATCGCTGACTTTCGGATGACCTTCATGGCAAAGACGTCCTTCTTTTCTCCAGCCATAACTTTCCGACGATGATTCTCGTGCCCGCTGGCTGCCCTAGAATCGATGGACTTAGAGCGATGGCGTGTCAGCATAGGAGGAGTGTCGTCTGTTTTGTTCTCCCTAACTAAGCGAACAATACCGAAGCTCCCTCGACCCAGCTCTTTGAGAACCTTAAATCCGGCAACTGATACAGTCTCATCATGGCAAGCACCATGGAAGCGCGACTTGAGTACTCGGCATTGGCGAAGATATTCTTGTTCCTGGACAATCCAGTTCTGCCATACTCGGCTCTTCTCCTCTAGTGTCAGAGGTAGTGAATGTATGTATTGCTCGAGTTCTCGCTGTCGCTGTGAGCGTTGGTTGATTTCAGAATAGATCGATCTGAAGTAGGTTTCGAAGAAGACCTTAGCATTAGCAGCAGCTTCAACGGTACGGACCGTTGGTGATACGCCAGGAGACTCCTCGATGGGAGTAAGCTTTCTACCTGTGAGAGGATTTGGTGTACTTAACGTCGGCCTCCATCCAACCGTATCATCCTGATAGTGCTCTGCTCTTTCGTGGAGGATTGATGGTTCTGCCGAGGTTGGAGGCGTTGATTTGGCCCTCAATGGAGAGCCGCTACCGGTAGGCGAGCTCGAGGGATCGGAGCTGTCATTAGCACTATCACCTTGATTATTGAGGTTGGGAATGGCAGCAATCGGGAATTCAACAATACGGACGCTTGGTCGTTGACGTAGACGTGAACGACGAATAACCGTTGGATTTCCAAAAGTAGTTGATAATTTGCGCGACACGAGGTGGGTGAATGCAGCTGGCGTAGACCGGCTCCTCCGTTGCTCAAGACATTTAGGCCCTACAGGCTCTGTTTTACCTTTATGTATTTCTCTTTGCCTATTGGAATGACCGGCTGGCATAAACCATCCACTAGAGCCGCGACGGTGGAGATTCGCGGAAGAAGGTGGATGGGCATGGGCAGTTTCGACTTCTCTAACAATTGCATTTCGAGAAGCCTGTGTACCTTGTGTGTACCGAGACTGATATGCCTGCGTTGCCAGAGGATAACTTTCTGTGTGTAAAGGACAACCTGGCTCAATAGCTCTCGGCGTAGGCCCTAAGTCATGGCTTTCAGTTCGCGTGGTGACAGATGATGGAATAGCACTGCAATGCAATAGCTTACCGCTAGGAGAGCTTCGAAAACCGAGTAAAGATATTAACCTTGAACTTCTTCTCCTGATATGAACTCGGATCCTATCTCTTCTGGCCTGTTGAGCCGCGGAGGCATCAGAAGCTGACCCTGACATGGTCGTAATAAACCGTCCTTTAACGCGATAGATAATATCATTGGCTTGTCGATGGGAGTCTGAAATAGATGAGGACTTTCGCCTTCTTCTGTTGTTATTGTCACCTTTCCAAGAAATGACCCTCCCAAAGGTTGACCCTAGCAGTAAGGGAAAGAATGTTCTTTGGGCCCTCTATGCTAGGAGCATAAGCGTGCATATTAAAAGATAGTATGTTTGCTCGAGCAGGGCGAAAACCACTGAGTGAGGTGGTAGTATTATATGAGGCGAAGGGAAGAGAAGGGGAATTTGAATGAATATCTACCTCGACGGTTGGAGGAAGTCACGACTTACGCGGCTCGGTTACCCTACGAAACGGCTTTCTTGTACATACCGTGATACTAGTATAGACCAAGGGTGAGAATCATAGCATTCTCTTTTGCTACTCTATTGAAGAAAATACGCAAAGTATTTGTAATATCCTCATCCCTGCGGTATACATGCACAACAGTGCAAGGAGGAAACAAGTCGGATATCACACTGGAAAGCAATAGCAAATGACATAAAATGAATTAAACTGAAATTCGAAGCCCCTAAAACACCATTTTTTAACAGCATGAAGATAGGAAAGAAATATCCATATGGACAACACTGCCACCGTGATACCCAAACATCAAGCTAATATGCAACCGAATACATAGAAATGGCGAAGCGTCTATTTGATCTCAAGAAGCTTGACATCGAAGATCAGCTTAGAGTTGCCCGGGATGCCGGGGAGGGCCTTCTTGCCATAGGCGAGGTGAGGAGGGATCGAAATGCGGCGCTCAGCACCAACGGCCATACCAGCAACACCAATGTCCCAGCCCTTGATCACCTCACCCTTGCCGAGCTTGAAGCTGAAAGGCTTGCCCTTCTTGTTGGCTGTACAGAAGATACGGTCAGCGAATGCTTATCTAGCGCGAATATCAGGGTGGTCACTCACCATCGAAGACCTTGCCGTCCTCGAGCTTTCCAATGTATCTCATGGCAACAGTGTTACCGGCCTTGGCGGCAGGTCCCTTTCCAAGCTTTTTGTCATCAATCTTGACGCCCTTGATCTCCTTGACACCAAGGGTGCCGGTGGTCTGCTCGGCGGGCTTCTTGTCCTGGCCGGAGGGGGTAGGGCCCTGTTCAAGGTTCTTGGCGAACTGGACCTTCTTGGCCTCCTTTCCTTCCTTGGCCTCCTTCTTCTGCTCAACAGCAGCTGCGTCACCGTTGTTCTTCTTCAGCTTCTTCTGCTGCTTCTTGCTCAAGGTTTCCTCACCGTTGGCCTGCTTGGCGGGCTTCTCCTCCTCGGCGGGGGCAGAGCGCTTGTTCTTTCCCTTGGTGTCAACAAGCTTGGGGGCTTCCTCCTCGCTGTCAACCTCGGTGATTCTGGGGTTCTCGAGGTCATCGAGGTCATCGCTCTCATCATCTTCGCCCATGAGGGCCTCAAGATCCAGCTCGTCCTCATCGGGGGAAAGGTCATAGTCCTCCTCATCTTCTTCATCCTCATCATGGAAATGACGGCCCTCGTCGGTGGGCATGACGTAGTTTCCGGTCAGGTAAACAGTGTGGGTACCGGTGACCTTGAAGAAAACACGCTCATCCTCAGAGACGGTGATGTCCAAAGGCTGCTGGAGGTTCTGTAGGACATCATAGTTAGTACAACACAGAGCAGCAGTCAAGGCAGAGATCGTACCTTCTCGGTATCCAAGGTACAGACGACCATCTCATCGAGTTCCAGGCCCTCATCCTCCTCGTCATCTTCGTCGTCGTCAGTAGCGGGGCCCTTGCCCTTGACGAGCTTAGAGATAGCAGCCTGCAGGTCGAACTCTCCATCCTCGTCATCATCATCATCATCCTCGTCATCTTCGTCCATGGCTTCCTCCATTTCCTTAAGAGCGGCAAGCTCCTTGAGCTTGCGAGCCTTCTCCTTGTCACTAGGACCGCCATTGACTTCCTCGTCATCAGAATCTTCATCAGAGTCCACATCCTCGTAGTCCTCATCCGAGTCGTCCTCAAGGTCCAGTCCGGGGGGAGCGCGCACGATCCTGAGGGTGGCTCTGGGGCGCTGGTTGGTATCGTGTCCATCAAAGTCAGGTTCCTCGTCAGGATCGATGGCAGCCATGCTCACACGAAACTGTCGCATAACAATTAGACTCTATCACGACGACTCAATGTTTATGAGGTACCATCTGACTTACCATGGCCGCAGCATCGGGCACTGCGGGAATGAGGGCACCTCCAGCAGGCACCTTGAGAGCATAGACGGCGACAGGTTGAACACCAGACATGGTGGGCAAGAATTCAAAGAGAACACGGGGTATGAAGGAGATAGAGGAAAGGTGAAGGGAAGGTAGAAGTAAGAGGTAGGAAAAAACAAACAGAAGCCACGAGAGAAGGGACGAGAAGAGACGAACGAATCCTGAGGAAAAGTTTTGATTGATACCGTCAACTAGTCTTAACTGCGGATCCCTCAAGGGAGCATAAGTGGATCCGCTTTTTTTTTTTCTCTTTGCTTTTCGAACTTTGAAAACCCAGTCACCAATCAGAACGCTCACCGCCTCCATCTCCCCCAATTCTGCCACTGCTGACCGCCCAGAGCTCGCCGCGTCACATGACTTCGTTCCGCCCGTCACGAGCTCCGCCGCCACCGCGTATCTCCAAAAAGTCCCCTCATCGTCTTCGCGTCCTGCGCATGAATTGCTGACGCTGTGGGTCCATATCATGAGAACCGGTCTCTAGCCCATCATGGGCTCTGTGCTCGAAGCAAACTCTAGCACCGTGCGCAAGCGGATCGCAAATCGTACGTTCGTTGAACCTCTCTAAAGCTATGATGTCAGTGGGTTTAACTGCTACATTTTAGACACCTTTGACAATGAGGAGGGTGAAGAGTATGGGGCTTCGGCCTTTGGGGGGCATGGCGATTATATGCGTCGGAAGAAGATCAAGTTACAGAATCTAGATGCCGAGATTCGTTCCTCGGCATCGGATTGCCCCCCAATCTTTCGCGGTGTGGTTGCGCATGTAAATGGTTACACTCAACCGTCTCTCCAGGATCTTCATCGTCTGATCGTAAGCCATGGCGGCGGTTTCCTCCAGTATCTTGACGGAAAGACGGCGGCCACCCATATCGTCGCAACCTCTCTCACGCCGAAGAAGCGAGAAGAGTTCCGAAGATATCGTATTGTAAAGCCAGCATGGGTGGTGGAAAGTATCAAAGCTGGACGCATACTTCCCTGGGACTCTTTCAGGGTGGTGGACGAAGGCCATTCTCAGAAAGTTCTCAAGTTCGACAATGGCCACATTTTCAGTCAGACGAATTGCCCACCCTCGAGCTACAAAGATCAGTCTCTTCCAAGCCCGTACGCCTCTCGAGCAAAGGAGCTAGACATAGCGGATGATGGCATTGTACAACCGCCAGTCTCTGTCGCTGGAGCCCATAACGCCACTGGCTCGTCGCTCATGGCTGCGTCTCAGTCGGATTATGGCGACTTCCCAAGTTTTAGCTCTACAGAAGAAACGAGCAAGGTCCCCCTTCCACAAGAGCCTCCGGAAAATCAAGCACAAGAGCCTCAGCCAAGTCTAAGCGATACAGCCCGTAACCCTAGTCGTAGCATGTCACCAAAAACCAAAGCAACCGTAAAACCTGCGTCATCCCCTTCTCCTGCCAAACCGGACATGACATCCGAAGCATACAATGCGCAACTTTTGTCGGATCCCCGCATGAGGAACTCAAGCGTTGTCAATCCGGATTTTCTTCAGCAGTTCTATAAGGAATCTCGTTTGCATCACCTATCTGCGTGGAAAGCTGAACTGAAGGCCCAGCTTCAAGCAGCAACGAAGGAGAAGTCGCAATCTCAACCGGCCAAGAAGAAAAGTGCTCCTGGCGCAGGACGGTATATTATACACGTGGATTTTGACTGCTTCTTTGCGGCTGTATCTACTTTGAAAAATCCGAGTTACGAAGGAAAGCCAGTTGCTGTTGCGCACAGCACCGGCTCTGGCTCAGAAATCGCAAGTTGTAACTATGCGGCTCGTGCCCATGGGGTTAAGAACGGGATGTGGATGAAGGGAGCCCTACAGGCATGTCCTGATTTGAAGGTTCTGCCTTACGATTTCCCTGCGTACGAAGAGGCAAGTCGGAAATTTTACAGTGCCATTCTTTCCCTAGATGGAATTGTACAGAGTGTGAGTATTGATGAAGCGCTCATTGATGTCACTGCCCAGTGCTTGGAGGCTGGTGGATCGGATGGCAAGGATATTTCAGAAGGTTCGCTTTATCGGGAACAAGCAAAGGCAGACGAGATAGCCCAGAACCTGCGGGACTCTGTGAAGAGCAAAACGGGCTGTGCTGTATCGGTTGGCATTGGTGGGAACATCCTGCAGGCCAAGGTTGCATTGCGCAAAGCAAAGCCCGCTGGTCAGTTCCAACTCAAACCGGACGCGGTGCTGGACTTCATTGGGGGCCTAACAGTCCAGAACCTACCAGGTGTTGGGTACAGTCTGGGAGCTAAACTTGAAGAGCTCGGTGTCAAGCTTGTGAAGGATGTGAGGGAACTGACGCGCGAAAAGCTTACTTCTACGCTTGGGCCGAAACTTGGCGCGAAGATCTGGGATTATGCTCGCGGAATCGACCGCACAGAAGTTGGGACTGAGATCATGAGGAAATCTGTCTCTGCCGAAGTGAGTTGGGGTATTCGTTTTGTCAACCAGGCACAAGCCGACGATTTTGTGCAATCTCTGTGCGAAGAGCTACACCGGAGACTCGCTGAAAACCTGGTCAAGGGCAAGCAGTTGACCCTAAAGGTTATGAGAAGGGCAGCTGATGCGCCCCTAGAGCCAGTCAAACATTTGGGCCATGGGAAGTGTGATGTGTTCAACAAGAGTGTGATACTTGGGGTAGCCACCAATGCAGCAGAAACGCTGGGGAAAGAGGCTGTGTCTATGCTAAGAAGTTTTGCCATCACGCCTGGTGATCTCAGAGGCCTAGGGGTTCAAATGACCAAACTGGAACCTCTTAAATCTAGGAATGCGGGAAGTCTCGACAACAGCCAACAACAGCTAAACTTCAAGACGTCTCCCGCTCGCAAGAACGTCCACAAAAGCCACGATCCAGATGATTTAGATAGCCCTTGCAAAGGAGAGATTGATTCCGTCATCCATAGGCCATCCTTGAATGACAGCGGTCATAAACCCCTAAATATATCGGGGACTCAGTTTATTATGCCGTCTCAGCCGGACCCGAAAGTTGTTGCTGAACTTCCGAATGATATTCGATCGAAACTTATATCACAAGCGAAGCCTCGCAGCGAATCGCGGTCTTCATCACCTTGCCCTCCGAGTCGGCGTGCACAGCCTTTCGATGGCGCAAAACTCCCCCCTCAATCTCAGCTAGATCCAGAGGCCTTAGCTGCTTTGCCGGACGATGTACGAGCTGAAGTCCTGGGCTACTATGACCAGTCCTCAAGGACCAGTGGCCCACCATCTGCCGCTTCAGTAGCGCCAGTCACCTCGACGTCCCGCCCTTCTTCGTCTGGCTCACTCAAATTGAAGATGCCGACGACACCGACGAAGAGGAAGCGTGGTCGCCCGAGCACGAAAGCAGTTGGCAACCTGCGACTCACTCATTCGAGCTTCCTCGCCCCGAGATCTGCTACTCCTACCGCTAGTCATGATGAGGACCCGCCTGTAAGGCAAGAATCCCCTTCAGTTGAACAGAATGGGGTGTCCGAAGAGTTCCTTGCAGCACTACCCGAGGACATCCGTCGTGAAGTACTTGAAGAGCAGAAAAGATCTCGGATGCTACAGCGTCCCGGTAGCGCAGCCCAGAGAACACCGAATGGGCCATCGGCCTCGGCATCTTCTGCGCCACAAAAACGCCTCTGTCTACCCCCTTTGCCCGAGAGGCCCACCTTCACCTCCCAAAAGCTCTCCAGCTTGCCCGATTTGCGGGATGCTGTTGGCGCCTGGCACGCAGCCTTCGCTGATGATGGACCCTTCGATGAGGACGTGGAATCACTCGCACGATACGTGAAGCGTGTGGTTGTCCACGAGCAAGATGTCGACAAAGCTGTGTCGGTTGTTCGCTGGCTGATGTGGCTAGTCGAAGATGCCAAAGATGAGATTAGCGAGCCACCCGATGGACAGGGATCTCCGGTGGGCTTGGCCCGTGGCTCCCAGAGTACCGTCACATGGGATGACGCTTTGAAGTTGCTCCAGGAGAACATCCTCGCTGGATTAGAGGAAAGAGGCTTACCCCCAGTGGACTTCTCGTAGCCTGCTTTTGTATAAACCTCTCGAAGCTGTATCTATATGGCAACGCCCGTTATGTTGATATATCCCTGATGACATGGAGTTTTTGTTCAAAGCATGGGTTACGGTGCACTTCACAAGGGACATGGTTACATATCTTATCTTCCACAGTCCGATATTCTTCGTGTATAAAACCAGTTCCTCGTTCTATCGTCTAATGAAATATGAATATAAATCTCAACGTGATCATAACCCCTCCCACTCACCTCGACGAAGCACTCTGAAACACCTTTACCCTGGCTTAAAATATCCATAACATGAAACCATAGTACACCAGCGCACCTGTTCACCTCATCCGGTTAGTCAGAATCCATAGCCCCAGTTTATGTACACCAAGTCTATATAGTATAAAGCAAAGAACTCATAAACATACATTACCACCATGACTACATATAAAATCCCACTACCATTACAATTCCCCCATGAAATCTTTCATCCAACCCTCCCCCCTTTAGTGAATTCTTCAACACCACCACCCAAAATAACCTACACATATATATTACAAACTCGACCAGAACAAAACAAATTCAGATAACATCAATGCACCCCCGAAGCTGCGCCCCAGACTCAGACCCCAACGGTGCCCCCTGCGAAAAACCAACCAGCGCTTTCCTGACAGCTGGCATCCCGGCCATAATCCTAGGACTGTAAGTTATAACACATCCTGGATATGCAATACAGCCTCCCTACCCCCTCGGGGAAATCATCTCGACGATACAAGGACAAGACTGGGGGGAAAAAAAAGAGGAAATAGCTTACAGGGATGCATAGGGTTCTGTTGGTTGGGATTACGGTGTGTTGTGTTTTCTTTCGACGACGGAATGCGTTTGATGATCAGGTGGATGGAGAGGAGAGGAGGTTGGGATTGGGGTATTATCGGACCGGTGGGAGGGAGTTTTTGGGGACGAAGGGGTTGGGTCTGGGGGATGTGTTGAGGAGGGGGGATGGTGGATTGTGGAAGTAAAGGTTGGATTTAGTAGGTTGCCTGGTAGAGGATTTGATGGAGGGGTTGTTGGGTTCTTGGGCCTTAGTTCTGTTGGTATATTTCTTGCGTAGGCTGTGCTCTGCTTGGTTGGAATGTGTATATTAAGTGGGTTTTTTCTTAGACGATTCATTCCACTTCAACACAGGTGTCAGCGGGGATGTATGTGTTGTACTAAACAAAGCCCAGTATCAGGCAGAGATATAATCGTTGAAGAAGCGACCCTCGCTATCTCGGCCGTGGATGGCATAGCCTTGCACCTGGTTCATCAAGAAGAAGTGCTCTCGCTCGGCAGAGTCTGCGTAGACAGGTTGCATCGTGTAGATTTTACGGCCGCGTGTCGTTTCCGTGTCTAGTAGATTCACGATCCGGGAGAAGCACGGTAATGCTCCTACTGTGTCCTCCCGCAGAGTATCTGTGCGCTGCAAACGCGGGAGGAAGTCGTCCTTGAGGTATAGCATGACCTCCCGAGTTGGCCAGCGCAAGGCTAGCAAGACCAAGACCCAGCTAATGTTCATGTTGTATACACTGTCGCAGAAGCAGCTTGCCGGGTCGTATCCTTTTGCGATACCTAGGATCATCTTGACATACCCAGTCACATGTGGGTTACTTTCGATTTCTTGTTGGTAGAGCAGACTTTGGAGAAGCTCTCCGTCGCAGTAGATTTGCGAGAGAGCATATACGGCGTAAAATATAGCATCCTCACATTGATCGAATCTGATTGGATTTAGTTCGGGGATATTGAGAAAGGGGCGCATCTTGTTGGAGCTTGACTCTCTTGGCTTTGAAAGCATCGTGCCGAGTGGTCCATATCCCGAATCGGAAATGACGGCCTTGTTTCGCTCTTCTAACTCTTTCAAGTATACATAGGTATGTCTTCCTTCGGTTGCTTCAGATAGAATGGGAGTATCCGCTGTCTGCATAGAGGTATCTTGAAATCGACTATAAACCTTACCAGTCACGGTTTCCCAGGTATCATGAGCATGCTGCATGCAGTGTGCCAGAATGAGGCGCGTCGTCATGGATACAGCTCTGGTCATGTTTATATATATGATCTCTCGTGGTTGGGCTATTTCATCGGCAAGTCTCTGAAGATACCTCCTTGCCGCAGGTTCAGTACCGAGCGACGAGAGCGGATTGAGCAAGAATAAAGTCCGCATCCTGAGAAAAACACCTGCTCGCAAAAGAGTACGACCATAGTGTGAATCCATCAGAGCATCCTGGTGCAGCATGAGCAAGTTCTCAAGCCCGGCAACATGGCAACAGACACCCCAGAGTGTCCCTACCTCTAACTCGAAGAGGACCAGGTGTATGACTGCGGCGAGCACACTCTCTATATCCGCAGGATATGATCGTATATGCTGGACCGCGGAGATAAAACGACTAAGTGCCTCAGAAAAGTGCTGGAAGCGAGGTATCCGTAACGGTGCCAATTGCTGTTCGCTTTCGATGGATGCCAGTCGGGCAGCTGAGAGGGCGATGGCAGCCTCACGAAGACTGGACAGTTCTGCCATTCTAGAGGCCACCGCTCGGACACTTTCTGGCAACATGTTCGTCAATTCTTCTGTGAAATAGGATACATATAGTTGCTCAGTAGCTATGCCTAAAACGTTGTCCTGTAAGGGTAGTTGTCTTTTCTCATTTGGCGGCGAAGCACGCTCCGGTATGCTATATGAACCCGAGCAGTCGTCCGCGCGGGTATCAGGGCTGCAACCATAAGGCTCCTGCCAGCCACCATGTCGCACAGGCTTAGAGGGTACTTTTATAGCGATCCCATTATATTCCCACCGATTATCCTTCGAATCGTTCGACCTTAATCTTTTATTCGAATCCACGGAACGAAACCGTAGCGGCATCTTCTGGAACCAGCACGTAGCCCCTGTACGAGCACATCGGATACACCGTGGCCGAACTTCATCGCACTGGAGACGAACAGTATCAGTAATTGCACATGCGTCTGGTATTGACGGAAATCCCATATACTAGTACCTTGCGCTTTTTCTGCCGACAAGGAACGCAACCGTCTCTGCTTCTGCTAATGTTGGTTTTCCGGGGGCGTGGGGGTAACGGCGCGTACATTGTACAGCATACGGGTCATTGAAGAAGAATTCAGAAACAGCACTAGGCATTTGGATGAGATTGAAGTATAGTAGGAGAATTACTTCGAGTGATGATCAACGCTTCAGTAGAAAGAGACAATAAAATCCACTAAGCCTAAACGGGTCAACGAGTGCGCTAGCGGCAACCTTAATCGAGTTAGTCTTCAAACAGGATTTCTAAATATAAAAGCAGGTAAAGATGTAGGCACTAATCACTATGTACAGTACTAATGGAAAATAGAAAAACAATGAAATCATTTCTCCAAAGACCAACATTCCTTTCGGAAATACCCTATCATCTTTCCAACAAGCTCCTGATCCAGGGGTCTTGCATCAGCCAAGGTCGTTGACACTTCCCTTGCCCGTTCAGTATGCCAGTTGAACGACCGTCGGGGTTTATCGGTGTCGTACTTGCTTGCGAAGAAATCAACAAGCTTGATAGGCGGGTTGGCGACAGGATCTGGGTTTGACGTTCTCAGACGATGTATCCAGTCCCGTTGCTCCAGCTCCTCGAACTCCAGACCCGCATCGCGAACATAGGGGAGGAGGTCCTTGGTCCAGTGGAACGCGTGGTGGCTGACGATGTTGAAGACAAGCTCTGTGTCGGGATTGGAGACCGCCGTGCTGGACAGGGAAATGTCGATGACGGTACCCGCAACAGTGTCTACTGGCAGCCACAGCGGCGATTCGTTGAGTTTCGGGAGTGCCCCGATAGTTGTTGCGGTTTGTAGCATGAGTGGGATGGCCTCTGTTGCATTCCAGACACCGTGGTCCTGGTCGCCAATTACCTGGCCAATTCGGAGTACCCTCGCACAGATGCCTGCTTGCTGTGCGGCGTTCATGCATATGTGTTCGCTTACGAGCTTTGATTGGGCGTAGCCCATGTTTTGGGCACATGAGAGCTTCTTGGGGAGTGCCTCGGGAATGTCGTCTTCGGCTGTGCCCACCACCGAGCTGACTGAGGAGCAGAAGTTGAATGATGCTGGGGCTGGGCGTTGAGCCTTGAGACATAGATCTAGGAGATGCTTGAGGCCTCCGACGTTGTCCTTCTCGAAGCTGCTGAGGTGCATGTTGAAGTTCACAGACCAGGCACAATGGATGACGTCCGTAATCTTGGAGGTCAACGTGCTATAGGTTAAAGTATCCAGTCCCAAAGTAGACTGGGATAGGTCGGATGGCAGAGCAACGATTTTCTGTTTAGCGGCGTCCGTAAGGCCATCAAACACGCGGCGACTGCGCATGGATTGGAGTACGCGGCCGTAGGCTTCGATTGGTGAGCCGGCGCGGACAAGACAGTAGATCTTCTGCACCTCTGGACGGACGGAAAGCTTCCTGACTACGTGAGCTCCTAATGAACCGGTAGCGCCTGTGATAACCTGTATTGTGTTAGCTTCGATTCCTTGACCGATGATTCACAGAACCTACAATATATCTCCCATCTAAGCCATTCGACATTGGAACGTGTTGCTGGAAGTCGCTATACTTCGAGATTAATTCAGCCATTTGGTCTTCCACAGACTGAACATCGGTTGTAGCTCCTGAGTTAAGGGAATCAAGATAGCGAGCCAGAGACCTGATCGTAGGATGCTCAAACGCCACATTCAGGCCTAGCTTTTGGCCGTTTGTATTGAGCGTCTTCATCAGGATAGATCGAAGCTGGGTAGCCTGGAGAGAGTCCATCCCAAGGGCAAAGAAGTCAGCATCTTCCGTCAGGTCATCTTTCTTTTTGTGTGCCAGAATATCGCGCAGTTGGTCCTTGATGAAGGCCTTGAGCTCCGTTTCGGATAGAACAAGCGATCCACTCATGGCATCCTCCGCCTCATATGCTTCTTCGATCAGGCTACTGAATTCTTTGTAAAATCTTTGTCGGATAATGGTTCCCTTGTCCGTTCGCGGGTAGGGGGTATCTTCCGGTAGCACGCGGACCATGCTTTTCAAGAGCTGTCCGTACGCCGGCATTGCCTCATGCGCCTGCTCGACGGCGGGCCAGATACTCTCAATAAGTTCTTGATCAGACATGGAGGCAGTCTCGGGCGCACGAACAACCGCCAGCCCGATGCTCGCCTTTCCTGCTCCAAAAACAATCGCCTCGGAGATTGTATTGAGTTGTCTGACCCTTCCTTCCATATCAAGGGGGTTAACCTTTTCTCCATTCACGAGGACGATGGTGTCATCCAGCCGGGCGTAATATTTATATGCTTCCAGGGTCGGGTGCTTTACGAACAGATCCTTGGTGGCGTAGGATCCATCTGGTCGGTTAGAAATCACCTTCGAAGGCCAACCATCGAGGCAAACTAATTCAAATATCCCCGGGTAGCGCTCTTCGAATCGCAGGAATTTCTTCACTACCTCCGAAGGCCTGAGATAATCCCATTCTTTATCATCTCGCGGCCTGAAGGAGGTCATCAGTTGGCCTGTTTCCGTCCTACGGCCGAAGTTAGCCAGAGGTCATCCATCATGCCCAAGTATACTTACGATCCGTAGTGACTGATCAGATTGACGTTGTTCTCGACGAGTAGATTTCCCAGCGAGTCCGGGCATGCAGATCCTCCGAACATAACCGCCTTGAACTGTGCAAGAGCAGCAATGCCCTCCGCTGTCTCGGCGAGCAATTTCAAGGCGTACGGCACGCCGTAGAAGATTTCGAGAGGATGTGCTTGCATGATATCAAGCAGATGTTGTCTGGTGAGCGGAAGTTCAGCGTTGTAGAGATAGAGCCTCTTTGATGAGTAGATTGTCCGGAACAGGACACTGATTCCATGATTATGGTACAGCGGCAAAGTGATGAATCCGGACATATTCATATGACCGGAATAGTTCCTGACGGCAGCTGCCTGAGTCTGGTAGATTGGTTTCGGGAGGCCAGTTGAACCACTCGAGTGGATGATCCACGCCAGGTGCTTGGATTCGGCCACAGGATCTAGCCAAGGGACCATGTTCGTATCAACAGCCTCGTCTGGAATCGGAAAATCGAAGGATTCCTGTGGTGGTATCACCTCGACTTGCAGATCCGGGAGCCGCTGCTTGAGCTCCTCAGCCGTGGCTTTGAAAGATTCATGGATGAAAACATGGCGTGAGTTCGTTCTTTCCAACAATGACACATACGCTTCGATAGAGATCCGAGTTGAGAGAAGCAGCCCGGTGTGTCCCAGCTTCGCCACCGCGAGGAGCATGACAAGGTAGCTGAGATCGGAGGTTCCCAGCAGGGAAACCACTGTTGGGGTCTCTCTTGAGGAAGCTCGAGGTGGGACCTTAGCAGCGATGGCTCCGGCGACTCGAAAAGCAAAGATATCTAGTTGGCGCAATGGGTAGTCCACGTATTCAATGCCGGTTCTTGGATAACATATCACGGGTTGTTCGGAACCAAGAGACGCACGGCTTCGGACGAGCTCGTCGACTGTGAGTGGCACCCGATCTGGATCATGATTGAAACTCGTATTTCGCAAGATCGGCTTAGGCAATGGTGTACTTTGGGGGGCGGTTGCAGAAATCATCTTGGATATATCCGTCACTGGAGACTCCACATTACAGCGGTAACTGAAGATGGAGCGGAAACGCACCGCTTAAATAAGTGTCAGTCAACCCACAGCCGCGGTAAATGATCAATTTCATCATAGGTTCCGAATCTCAGGATAGGCTTCATCTTGGTGCCGTCGGAAAAGGCTCCAGGCGCTCGGATATTTCTCCGGCGGCATATGGAGGTAAGCATCTAAGGCCATGATCCCCACGGTTCCAGTACGTAGATCATGCAGCAAAGCCCGCTGATTCATCGACGCTCGGATAAGATGCTTACGTTTGGAATAACGGTGTTTAGCCAGAGTGGTTATATTATCGCCCTATACTTCTAGTTACCACGACCACTGCGGCGGCTTGTCGGTAATGATAGAGAAACAGCCAGATATAACAACATAAAATAGCAAGCGTCTTTCACTAAGATTAAAAATAGTTCGCTTTAGAATTCAAATCTAGTTTTATTAAAGTAAGATATAATACAACGGTGTTTGTTAAATTAATGCATCAATTAAAGTACGTTAATGGCCCAAGCCAAAGTTATATACAGTGGTTAGAGCTGTCGTGTACTTCGGCATCCATGGATCTAGGAAGAAAGGACTCGGCCGTGTCATGACTTGGACTGGTTACTAGATTTGTTATGATTGTAGAAAGCAGATAGACTTGTGTATTTGTGTTAAGCCACCGTCTTTTGCGTGGACTACCATTCCGCACCCTAATGGATCAATTCTTGAGGCTACAGGTGGTTGTCATATGGCTCATCATATGGTCTAATTATAGGAACGGTGGTGTCTGTGCCTACGATATGTGGACTTGCTCCTGCAAGGGCCACGCACTAAAGTATTGTATGCTTCAGGGCTTGAGATGCACAGCTGGTCCGCTAGGCCCAAAGTAGTATAACCCGATCGAAACCCCATTTTCCGATACAATAAACTTGTTCCCGAGCCGGGAATCTATTATCCGACGATTTAATCTGAGGGAACTTTTTTTTTTTTTTTTTTTTTTTTTTTGGTAGGTCGAGAGTGTTAAAGGTATTATCGACGAGATAAAGGATATGCGGTGTTTCCTAAGTGGATGCTAATGACTGAACCTTCACGTTTTGTTTTGGACTCTATAATTGATCATATCTTCCAAAATAGGAATAACGACATTATATATACACCAGCCAGCAGCAACCACAAGTGATAGGCTTCTGGTTTTTGTTCCGACTGTGACCCGAGGTTCATAGACCCAGGTTCGAGGGCTCTGTTGGAAGGGTTGAAAATGCCTATGTAACTGTCAGTGATGTACCGAGGTATAGTGTTATCGAAGTGCAGACAGAATAAGTGTAAACGCACCCAGGAGTCTAATTGCGTCCACCAATTCAGTCCTTCCAAATTATCCAAAAGCCCAAAGTCCTCGCTAAAATCAAACGTTTCTGCGACTGTGTCGGGAGGTGCAATGGTATCTAAATGGTGTGTAGCGCGAGAAGGGGACGGAAGCGATGATGGGATATCTGCTTGGTTCGCATTTCTTTGGACCAGAAAGGCTTGATCTTGGACGGCTGTAGTGGCAGATGGTTGTGAAGCGCTTGCAAGAGCATCTGGAAATAGATATGATCCGGTCTGTCTACGTGCCTCCAATCTGAGCTCCCCCAAAATGATGCTATAACGACGGCTGGGGCAGTTCTTGCGGGTAGCCTCGGCAAGATGTTGCTGACACGCCTCGGCGAGGTTGAATAATGAACACAGGTAGCTTTTATCCTCCATATTCGGCGAGGCATCAGGGTATGAGGACAGCTGACATTGCTGGATGGTATATATGTACACCACCGTGATGGCGCAGAAGCACACGTAGTGAGTGAACCAGAATGACCGGATCAAGACGCCTTGTTTGCCAAGTGTATCCACTATCCTCATGACGTCTTCGGCAGCCCCTATACATTTGTGTACATGGCTTGTTACCGAGGAGTATGAGACTGGCGGCCTGCGACTGAGGTCCGTGAAATTATTTAAGAGGAATAACCGGGTGGCGTGGATTATTGAATGCGAATACGCGAGTTGCAAAACTTGGCTTTGCCTACATAGAGGCGGAATGAGACTGGTCGCACGAACACTGTTGAACAAGGGCGGTGCGGCCTTTTTCCATTCCTCTAACTCTGCAGTGAGCCGTACAGCTACTTCGAGAGGGGGCTCTCGGGATCGAGGATTGATCGTGTATAGTTGTCGGGAAACTTCACCAAGTATGCGACCGAGTCTACCACAAGGATTGTGAGCTGCGAGTTCAGCAAGAGGCACTCAGGGGAGGACACACCGGTAGTGGAGAACGGATGCGATCATCATACAGTCAGGAGTTCCTGTCCTTCGGCGTGCGTCGTCCTGTAACATATCTTCGTCATTGACCTCGTCCGGGAGTTCCTGGTCATGATCTTCTTCGTGAATTAGCCTCGGCCTCCCGAACATGACACTGAGATATTTATCCAGGGTGTAGGTGCTCCAGAAGATCCGTTTACGAGTTTCACGCTCCAAGTAAGTATTGCCATTCTTCGACAACTTCGCAGGGCATCTTCGGTGGAGCCCCAAGGCCGTCACAAGCTGCAGCGCGGTCCCAAAAGCATACCAACATTCGTTGGCTCGGGATGATGAAAGCAGGTAAAGGCATTGGCCTAACCTCGCCTGCACGGACTCGAGCCGGGGAGGTCCTGACTCTAGGGACAACAGATATTTTGAAGCAGCGTACCATTGCTCGCTACAAGTGTTCAGTATGTCTTTGGGGAGTGTGGAAGCGCCGGTATACGTGCTTACCTTCCATTCCAAACGTCGATATCATTTTCTGGTTTGAGCTCTTCATGCAATGAAGCTACAGCAAATATTATAAGGACAATCGCTGTTCGAGCTACCATTGGGCCCGTGGGTAGATTCAGGGAAGAGATATTGCTCTCATACACTTGTTTCAGCCAATCCTCCACAGTTCCTCTATGCAGAAAACGGTATGTGACCATAGAGAAGTCGAAATATATTTCAACCAACTCTCGGGCCCGCTCAATAGAGGGAAGAGTAAAGCTAGCTTCCCGGTCGTCTGAGTAGGGTCTATCACCAAACATGAACACGGACGTACTTTTGGAGCACGGCTCTTTCTGAAAGTCACCGGGAACCGCCCCTATTTCATCCTGGTGAAGACGACGCCAAACACGGTTAAGGAAGGAGACTCCCGACGCAGGGCCAAGGTAATTGCCCTCGAAATCAGTGACCACGGGGTCGGGTGAGTTACGACCTGAGATCTCAGCACCATTCTTAGGCTGCCGATGCGAACCAGTGGCAGGTCGGGAACAGCCCCTTGTCGACCGCTGAGAAGAATAGCTCCGATTAGTATATGTCGGCGAAAGAACATGATTTTGGTTTGCGTATTCAGCGGCTACCGCTGGGGGCGCCGGTGGAGGCTCTGGAGGCAGGCCTCTGGAGTAGGCGGCATTGTATTCACAAGGAAGCGAGAGCCTTGTGCATCTCATGCACGGAAGCGTTCCAGTACATCGGGTCTTCTTCTCCTTGCAGTGATCACAGGCTCTCGTGATTTTCTGTCTTGCATTGCTTGGCTTCGGCGATAATGATGACTCAGAGGCTTTTCTTTTTTGTGCTGGACGAAAGCTTTCGCTTGGCCCCAGACCCGTTACTCTTCTGGTATGACAAGCATTTCCGAGTGACGGCTGCGCATCGGCCCTAATGAGGCCTGTCGCCATCGGATCGGTAGGAGGCACGTCACGTCACTTGGTAGGAGCTAGTACTGCTAGATGCGGCATAAGTCACAGCCCCACCCTGTCCCTGTGTTTCCTTTTTTTTGGGGGGTTTCCGCCTCTTTCAGGTGAACGTGAGAAAGTGGAATGGCAGTATGCATCAGGAGAAATTTCCGGGGATTAAACGGATTTTGTTGACGTGCGGGGGTCTGGAACTAAAGTATACTTAAGTGACTCCACAGTCCGGCAAAGAGTATCCGGGGCCGAAACGGCTCACTTCCGAAGTATCTATGCCAACAAAGCATCATGGCGCTTTTTCTCCATAAGATGTAGGAAAATTCACTAAGAGATAGAAGATAGTGAGAGCGCCATTGAGGTCTTCCCCTCTCATGTTCTCCATCACGAGGGGCGCCCAATACCGATAGAGGGTGGTAAAGGTTAACGTGGGAAAGAAAGAATCGGGGCCAAAAGCCGGCCATCTGCCGGTCACCTGGTTGGCTTAGTCACCCATTGACGGGTCCTTGACGAGCAAGATAGAAGAATATCAGATCCCTTCCCACGGTTAAAAGCAGACCACACCGCAAGAAAAAAAAGGTATAAGGCCGACAGTGCCGGGTTTGCAATCCATAGAATACATACAGAACCGAACAAATCAAAGGGAATAAACACCGCTGTGATTACAATGGCCCTACCGTCTCAGCAGAGCCCAGTCAAGATCTCCCAAGGCACAGCTTTGGCGGAATTAGCTGACCGTGAGTAGCATGCCTCACCATAACCCCTGCGATTAGTGCGTCCTGCCATAAGATTCGTGTCAACGCTCCCAGGAGGGGTTGGATACATACCACCAAGCTAAGGTATGCACTCGTGTGGTCATTACTGACCCACCTTGGCTCGTGGGCAGAACCACAGCATGAACAGGCTCAATATTTGAGTAGGGTCGATCAAATCTGACGCATGACCAAGTCAACGGCCAGATGCAAGAGGGATGGGCAAACCCTATGTGCAATGTCCTCATGTCTGGTGGATACTCCACCTGCGAGGACAACTGCGGCCATTTTGGATCATATGCTGGCTTCTATCTAGGGCCGACTAATGCACTATTTGATACTGAAATTGCACTCGGAGAAGAAACATAGCGGGCTAATTTTCAATTTGTTGAGGCTAATGCGTGGAGCGAGAACGGGATCCGAATTCATCGCTGCCACAAGAGATAGAGCAAGAAAGGGAAAATAACACCATCGCCCCGTGAAGCAAGGCCTGATGTGGTGCCTGCCT